TAAAAACAAATTAAGGAGATAGTAGTGACTAGTAAACAGATAAAAAAGCAAATAGACAAACCAAAGCCTAATGTCACCTGGTCCCGACGAGATATTGCCAGAGTATTAAAGGAATGTAAGGAAGAGCTTATTACCCTTAGCAAATTGCTAACATGTCCTTAAAAACAGTAGTACCAGAATCCTTAGAGACAGCTAACTGATAATAACCGATTTTCAAGAAGGGGATAGATCACTAACCTCTCTAACTACCTCCAATCAGTCTAACATCAACAGTAGGCAAAATACATTAACAATCATTCCAAATTCTATTCGAAATCACCCGGAGAAGTACAGATTGATCAATGACTCCCAGTATTTCACAAGCTGACGTTCTGCCCAAACCAATCAATTAACATTCTTTTCATCAGTTTCGAATAGGTGGACGAGAGGCACAATTAGGCATATCCACCTTTAGCAAAGCCGACAGAGTCCCCACGCAAGACTAATTAGAAAGGTAGAAGCCATGGCATCAAAGTTGCAACATCCTTAAATGGATTAGGGCGTGGTTACAGGGCAGGAAACAGAAAGAGCATTAACGCACTAAGTCCCATTGAGCAACGCCAAGCTGAGTTCCCACGGCTCAGTACTTGGACCATTATTATTTATTATATACATAAACGACATAGATATCGGCAGAGACACAACATACAAATTTACTGACACACTAAAATAGGACGACATCAAACGGACTAACTAGGCAAAACAACAGAAAGATCTAAACAAACTTTAAAGCCCAGTCTGAAAACAGATGAAATTCAACGTTGACAAAATGTAAAGTACTCAGTATAAGAGATAAACAGGAAACCAGATACCAGCATGAACAACGATGCCATAGAGAAATCCGACAAGAGAGAGAGATTTAGGAGTAATGATAAGAGGAACTTAAGCCAAGCAAAACAATGTGTTTTGCTCATAACAAGCATAAAGTACTTCGGTTCATACAAAGGAGTGTTAGTTACAAGACTACCCAAAACTGTATCTGCTCAGAGACCACACCTGATTACAGTTAAGTTCAGTTCACTATAACACAGAATGGATATAGAATCCTTGGAAAGAAATCAGAGGAGAATGACAAGACTAATCCCGGGCATTAGGAACCTTGAGTATAGAGACAGGTTAAAGCACTTAACCTGCACCCTTGAGAGACGTAGAGCGAGGCGACCTGAAGAGGTGTATAATGAAGGCAGGCTAACACAAAGGACATACAAAGTACTCAAATTATCCAACCAGGAGCTAATCAAAACAATGGTTTTAAATTACACAAATTTAGATTTAGCCGAAATAGGTAAACACTGGTTTAAAACAGAGGGATAAATGGAACAAGTTAACAACATCATAAAACCTAACACGCTGAATAGCTCAAACATAGGCGATGACATGAGCAATAGGTTAAACGGACTGCCCGGTATTCTTGGCACCTACTGACTTTTGTGAGTCTTCCACAATGTGGTTTTGCTCGCACAAGGCTAATACAGCATTTGGGTTCATATAAAGAAAAGCATATAAGACTAGTGTCATCCTAAAACTGTATCTTGCTCTTGTGAGACCACACCTGATTACCCAGTTCAGTTTGGTCATCGTATTACAGATGATATAGAATCTGGAAGAATTTGAGGAGAATGACAAGATTAATCTCGCATTAGGGAACCTTGGAGGCAGAGACAGGTTAAAGCATCTTGATCAGACCCTCGAGAGACGTAGAGCGAGGGCGACCTGGATAGAGGTGTATAAGTGGGAAGCTAGGCGAAACAAAGGGGACATTACAAAGGGTACTCAAACTATCCAACCAGGAGCGAATCTCAGAACAATGGTTTTAATTAGACAAATTTAGATTTAGGCGGAAATAGGTAAACCCCGCTTGGAAACAGAGAAAGTGTATGAATGTTTCGTTACCAAACATCATCATTAACTTGAACACGCTGAATAGCTTCAAACATAGTTGGTTTATATGACAATAGGGGTTGGGGTAAACGGGACTGTCGGTAAGGGGCTTAAGTAGGCCCATTAGCAGTTTCTCCATTCTTATGTTTTATGTTCTTCTTCAAACATAGGTTGGATGCTTATATGAGCAATAGGGGTTGGGTGTAAACGGGACTGCCCAGTATGGGCCAATAGGCCCGCTGCAGTTTCCTCCATTCTTATGTTCTTATGTTCTTAAGAACAGCGAGACTTCTAAAGTATACAAGAGAGTCCAGACAACAAAGGGCATCGCGTTGTCTCATAACCGTCGTGAGTTGATAGTTCACAGCTTAACCACAACTAAAAAATTGTTTGCAGCTGTTAAAATATAAACTGAATTTGTTTTTGTTCAGCTTCATATGGATTTTAGTACACTTGTTGCACCAGAGTTTATTAGGCATAGAATAGACAGACAGACAGACAGACAGACAGACCCAAGCGGTAATAATGTCCTCGTCACCTTTTAAACCTGTAAATAATAAGAATTATACACGTTGATCTTAACAGACTCGTACCTAATTAACTGTATACCTGTAAGCGTCTGTTTACACCTGGGGATGTTACCTTACTCTAAAACATTCATAATTTCGTTTAATTAAAAAATTTTTTTGAAAGTATTATTTAAAACATAGTACTATATACTGTATACATACCTAAGAATAATGTATATATTATCAACAAATTTCTAAGCGTTTCTAAAAGTCTAATAAGCTTTTACAAATAACAGTCGTTTAAAGCTTAACTGAAAAGCTTTATGTATCAAATCTTAATTTAAGAGAAAAGTTTTAAAAAGTAATAAAACACAAAAGTAGTCAGATTAAAATAAAAATCTATATATAACACACATTTAAAAGTTGTAGAAGATATTGTATGTATTTAAACCAAACTATCTGTAGCCTGAGGTCTATGTAACAGGTGAGTAATTGTTTCATAAGACGTATGGATAGTTCTTAGTTTTGTGTTGTCATAGAAGAGTTAACCTGAGTAATGTTCCTCCACACCTCACGCTCCACCACTACTCCACACCTCATCCTCCACCACTACTCCACACCTCATCCTCCACCACTACTCCACACCTCATCCTCCACCACTACTCCACACCTCATCCTCCACCCTCTCCACACCTCATCCTCCACCACTACTCCACACCTCATCCTCCCACCACTACCCACACCTCATCCTCCACCACTACTCCACACCTCACGTCCCCACCACTACTCCACACCTCATCCTCCACCACTACTCCACACCTCACGCTCCACCACTACTCCACACCACATCCTCCACCACTACTCCACACCTCATCCTCCACCACTACTCCACACCTCATCCTCCACCACTACTCCACACCTCATCCTCCACCACTACTCCACACCTCATCCACTGATCCACCACACCTGGATGCTCCTCATCCAACTGTGCGTCATTATAAGGTTACTGAGATCGAATTCTTAGTCAATCTTAAAAAAAAAGAATCATTTTGCAGTATTATCTCTCCGGGGTAATATAGTGCTTTAACCTAACCCAACCCAACCTAACCCAACCTAACCTAACCTGTCTATATCAACAACCATCATTATTGTTGTTTTTGTTATCTTAATGATTGATTATTTGTGTTAATATGTTTTTATTTTAACTTATCAGTGAATTCTTAAAAAAAATTATATTGTTAGTAAGGTGTGGCTGAGGTGGTGTGGCTGTGGTGGTGTGGCAGCAAGGTGTGTCAATAGGGCGTGGCAGAAAGATGTGACAGTGGTTGTGTGGCAGGATGTGGCAGCGGTAGTGGCAGCAGTGAGTCTGGCAGCAAGGCATGTCAACAGGGTGTGGCAGCGATAATGTGTTCGCAGGATGTGGCAGCAGGGTATGTCAGCAAGGTGTGTCAACAGTAGTATGTCAGCGGAGTCAGTGTTACAGAGAGGAACAGGAACCTAACCTAACCCACTCCTGTAAACACACACTTTTAACTCCATAATATTCCTCAACAAACCACAACAACGACCATTCGTGAGAGAGGACAAAATAAAGATAATAATAATAACATTAAGAGTACTAGTGATCAAGGACAGACTGTGTAAGTAAGTGCACGAACCTTGGAGTAATGGTTCATCAAAATGGATTTCAGAATTGCACATGACCTTCTCCGGCCTGATGCCTGAAGGAGAACGATAGAATCCTTTAATAGCGTTATTCTCAGGCTGCCAACTACGTTTATATTATCCCTAGGGACACCTGTATCCTGTACCCTAGGTCAGGTCAGGTGAAGGGAGTTTATTTAAGGTAAGGTCAGTCGTAGGTCATATCAAGTGAGAATAGTCCCTCAAATTACATATAATGTCAAGGTACAGTTTTAAAGAGTCAGATTTTGTCACCGACGTTCAGCATCTTAAGTTAGGTCAGGTCAGGTCGTCAAGAGAATGGCTAAGGAACTGTACGTGGGGTCACATTAAAGTCTAAAGATTCTCATAAGATTAGGGCAGTCCAATGATCTGTCTACACGTGTTAAAAAACGGTTAAGCAAGTAAACTGGAAGGCCAGGTCACGCTAAGATCGAGTCTTGAAGGTCATGACACAACCATCCTGAGGTCTGGACGAGCGATCAGGACTAGGTCAGATTATATATGTAACTAGACTAAAAGTATGGTTACAGAACTACCACAAAATTACACTTTTAAGTCAGGTCAGGTCATGGAATTACCCTTGGGTCAGGAACAGGTCAATCAAGTGCCTTTGGGTCAGGTTAAGTCAGGAAAGTGTCCTTGGATTAGGTCAAGTTAGGTCATGAATCTACCATTGAAGTCTGGGATGTGTCGCGGCTTTACCCAAAATAAGACACTTTCCATATTCTCAAAGATCCTAAAGACAATTCTTCCTTGTAATTGGTAAGGCGAAAATACACCCAGGCACACTAGAGTCACAGCGGCACTTGAACGCCATCTATGCTACCAACAGGGTTTGGTCAGGTGCTTCCTTACGTCACCAAATGAATCTTTGAGAATTAGTCACCAGGGTCAGTGAGAAAGATAAGGTGATGTCAGGTCACTTTGTCTACTTCATGATAAGGTCAGATAAGAGCTAATAGGCTGACTTCGGCTGGAGTATGCTCAATGGGTTAAGCTCACAAGACTACCCTGAGGTCAGTTCAGCTCGAGGAACTGCCTTTGGGTCAAAATCAAATTATAAAACAAATTGCCACTTGGGTTATATCAGGTCACAGATCTACCTTTAAACAAGGTCAGCTAGGGACAAAATTTTTGTCAGGTCAAATCAGTTGGCTACTTTGAAATTCGGGTCAGGTCACAAGACTAATCAAGAGTCAAGTCATGGGACTACCTTTGGGGCAGGGTCAGGTAATGAGACTACATTCGGGTTAGATCAGGTCAGTTACATCCAAAGACCATTAATTCAAGTCTATGAATGGCCTTCATATTGAGTTAGGTTAGGTCACGACACTACCCTAAAGTCAGGTCAAACTATCTACCGGGTCAACTACTCGTCCTGTGAGCAGTACACAACTGGTACCGTATGGTAGAGTCAGATGTGCGTGACAGGGCTGTTTTCAACTCCAGGCGTGTGATGAAGTAGTATTTGCTTCAGGTATGTGACGAGGCAGTTTGTAATTTAGGTGTGATCGTACATTGTATATAGAGCAACTAGTGTGTATCTGGTAGTGTTAAGGTAGAATTGTGTGTGTGTGTGTGTGCGAAGGCCATAAATCTTACGCTCAGGGCCTCTCCGTGGTCCCCGGCCACTACTACACCCACCTCACCATCTCATTATGAACCATTATGGGACCTTTACAAGCTAACTGGGATCGCCAGTACTGAGGTGCCACACACACACACACACAAACAAACCGAGAGAGACACACATCAACTCAGGGCAAAAACACTCAGTCCCCCTGGCTCCTACAACTCCCTCGAGCCACCCCAAACAACACACAACTCCCCTACACATCCGGAACAGTTCTTCATAATCATCCGCGTCTTTCACAGTATTTAACAACCTTGAAGATGTGATGAATATTTCCCGGTAATCGTGTAAGAAAATCTGGTTGGGGAAGTTACAGGCAAGGGAGGAGAGACAGGGGGGAAAGGTTTTTATTGTGGGCTACATGCAGGCATCACCTATCCGACTCTTCCGTGAGTGGGTTGGTTCTACACCTCTAAAAAAATACTAAAAACTCCGCCAGAAAAACAAAAGACTGCATCATGCTCATAGGAATAGATTTTTGTTTTAAATAAAGGAAAATTGGCAACCGTGAGATAAATTGGTGATACATTATAGACAAATAAAGAGGTTAAAGGCCAGTAAGTGAAGAGGTGTTGAAGGGGAGAAGATGGAGGATTCCAATTCACAATTTATGGCCCAGAGATAAATAATTTTTAATTGAAATTCATACAATTACTTAAAAAAATATTCCAGATTATATATATTAAAATTTAGATAAGAACCAAATTAAAATACCGATCAACTATAAATTACGAAACAGTGAAAAGAAAAACAAAAATAATTACTCTCAGAAATGGGTGAAGAGACACGCGGGGTAAAGTGAAAACAAAATAAACACGTCCATAAATCATACAATTACACATTAATAAAACAATTAGTGTCATCAACAGAGAAATTAAGGTGTTGGATAATAACGAATACATTTTTATAACAAAGAATATAATAATAAGAGAAGGAGAGACGTTGACAAACAAGGCAAAAGGTAAAGGTGAAAAAAAGCCTTTGTTATTATTATTATGATGACCACTGAAGGTAATACACAGGCGACGACACAGGGACAGTATAGTAAAGAGTTGATATGATAAAATCTACACGAAGGAGTCATATGTATAGGTCGTCACGGAGGTTGTTTACCATAGCTATTTTGTTGAAGGGAGAGGGGGGGGGGAGGGGTACCTAGGCTCTGTATGACGTCACACAACACTATACCTCAGTAGACAAATGACCAAAAAAAAAAACAACCTGTTGGCTCTCCGTTAACAGTAGATGGTACAAGGAGTCTGTTAAATGAGTCTTTAATATCAACCCCTTTAGAATCTGTTGCCGCTAACGGTATGATCACAAGAGAGGGAACATTATCACAGTCAAAGATCAAGGAACTTGTCTGTGTAACGGGGAAGGGGGGAGGGGAAACCTAATAGTTTATACAGAATATCTCCTTCGCTTCTGGTGCACCGCGAGAGACGTACAAATAAACACAATCTGTATGAGGGAACTGAACTGAGGAACGGTGGGGCGTCGGCCTTCAGTGGATGCTTCGTGTATGGTGATTATAACAGTACCCCCAGCAGAAGACGACTCCAGCGAGGGATAATCAGTGGTTGTCTCACAGGGGCGGTATGGGAGGTGAGTGTGTGTAGGGCAGTGGCATTGTTTACTCACCCAGGTGGATTATGTTCTTCTCGTGCATGTGTTTGACGCCCTCACAAATCTGGCGCATGTAGTTGATGACTTCAGCCTCAGACATTACGTAGCCCTCAGCTGTGATGCGCTCGAACAGCTCGCCTCCAGACAGGCTAAGGAGGACAGGCACGAACAATGAGAAACATTCTAATGATTTACAAACTAGAGAAATACCCTGACGACTGAAAGAGCAAATTGACTACAAGTAGATAAAAAAATTAAAGCTTTCCTAGACACTAGCTAAAAATTTCCCGAACCAAAAAGTAATCTGAGGGTTTTTCTAATCAGTCATACCACTTATCTGTCTATTTTTACCACTTTTCCCTCTAAAGAAAGTCAGCGCCTGATCTAAGACTTACAATTCGAAGATGAGGACCATCTCGTCGTCATCTTCAAAGGCGTCGTGAAGGTTGATGAGCTTAGGGTGGTGAAGGTGGTTCATGATGTCTATCTCCTTACGGATCAACTCCTTCTCCATGGCGGACGCAACGGGGATGAACTTGGCGGCGAAGATGTTGCCAGTCTTGCGTTCTCTGCAGCGATGGACAACACCGAAGGCGCCAGTGCCGATCTCCTCCAGGATGTCGTAATACTCATAGACAGAGTCGTGCTTGATGTCAACAGGCTGTGGAACGTACTTGGAGTAGACATCGAAGACGAACTGGTCATAGTCGTCAACAGATTCCTTCCTGCCGCGGATCTTCTTGCCGGTCTCATCCACCTCGTACTCCTTCTTCTTGTGCTTCTTGGCGAGAGGAGCGGGAGTCTCCACGACACTTGTGACGGTGGACGGGTCGGAACGGCCGTAGACGTTCTCGGCGTACACCCTGAACTGGTACTTGTGGCCAGGACTCAACCCCTTGATCTGGGCGGTGGTGAGACGAGTGTTGGCGCACCTGATCCAAGACTCCATGGGCAACTCTCTCTTCTCGATGATGTAGTTGTTGATGTTGGCGCCGCCGTCCCAGAGAGGAATCTGCCAGCTGAGGACACACTCGGTGCCCAGGACATTCTCCACCTTGGGAAGACGTGGCGGGTCGGGACGGTCTGCATCACAGTAAACACACGTTAATAACATGTTGAAATAAAAGGAAGGTAATTACAACAAAAAAACTTGCCCTAAAATATTAAAATATGTTTAGTTTTATGTATCTAATTATGTTATTGACCATAAGAAAGCATATGAGGCACAAAACATAAGAATATATATCAAAGAAATGGTGTCAGTAACGCAACACTGAACCATGAACCTGCCTTCAGTAAATAAAGATGAAAGAGCATTAAATTGAGTTTACTGTTTCAGGAACGACTTTGGGGAGGATACAGTCGGGGGTGGGATGGGGAGGTTCATGGGGCGTGAATGGGGAGGAGGGGAGTCAGAAGGGGGTGAAGGGGATGTAATTGCAACCTAAGAAAGTTCTCCTCTCCTAAGAAACGCCAAGATAACCTCGATGGCTTACCTGAAATCTGAATCTTGATGATGACTGAGTCTGAGCCGAGTTCGTTCTCAGCGGTGAGTCTGTAGCTGCCAGTGTCGAGGTTGTTGACGTCACGCAGGGTGAGGATGGCGTGGCGCTGCTGGGTCTCGACGGAGTAGTGGCCGCCGGACTCGATGGTCTCACCCTCCCTCTGCCAGGTGATGCGGGGACGAGGGTTGCCGATGAAGGGAATCTTGATGACGGCATTCTCGCCCTTGTCGAAGAAGGCGGTGTCGCGGAACCTGGGAGGAACGTTAATCTTCGGTGCCACTGTAAGAAAAAATGCATTAATGAGACTCTCAAAGCCATACCCTCAAAGCCATTCCCTCAAAGCCATACACTCAAAAGCCATATACTGTCTTATATTCTCCATGATAATCTGTGTGTTAGTGTGTATACATTTTTTTGAGACGCTGTGGTATATAGTCAAGTGTGATAGTAGCATTATGACAACACATGATTTGACTTAATTTTCATTCACAGGTTCAGGAACTCATAAGTCACTCACAGGTACAGTAACTCATAAGTTACTCAGGTGCAGTAACTCATAAGTCACTCAAAAGTAGAGTAATTCACAACAGAGCCACAGGTGACCAGTACTCACACTTGATAGAGATCTCAGCCTTGGTGCTCCTGATACCACCGGTGTTCTGGGCGCGGCACATGTACTCGTCCTCGTCCTCACCGTACACGTCATGCACCGTCAGGGAGTAGGTCTCGCCGTCACGGTTCATGGCATACTTGGCACTGTTGCACAACTCACGCATACCCTTGAACCAAGAAACATTGGGTCTTGGCTTGCCGGAGATCTGGCAGGTGAGGGTGCCACTCCTGTACTGGAGGGCCATCACGTTCTTCAAGGGCGTCACGATCACTGGCGGAGTAGCAGCATTGGGATCCTTAATCCTCACTGACGTCGAGCATGTTGAAGGCTCAGACATGCCAGCGTCGTTCTCGGCAAACACTCTGAATTCGTACTGGCGATCCTCAATGAGGTTGGACACATTGATCTGGGTAGGCAGGCAGATGTACTGGTTCACCATCGTCCAGATGTTGGAGCCGATCTCACGCTTCTCCACCCAGTAACCCTTAATGCGGGAACCACCATCATGCTCAGGCTTGTCCCATTCCAGGTGGACGAAGTCGCCACCCACCTCCGTGACGTTGGGGGTGCCTGGTGGGGACGGGGGGTCGTAAGGAGCCTTGGCCTTGATAGGATTGACACCTGTCAAGGGAGGTCCCATTCCATTGTCGTTGACAGCCATCACCCGGAACAAGTACTCCTGGCCCTCAGTGAGACCCTGGACCGTGAAGGAACAGTCTTTACAGAAGGAGTTAATGGTGATCCAGTTGGCATAAGTGATGTCCTTACGCTCAACCACGTAGTGTGTGACGGGCAGACCACCATCGTAGACGGGCGGGCGCCAGGTGAGGTGGCACATGTGGCGGCTGATGTCGGTGACTTCCAGAGGAGCTGTAGGGGCACCTGGCACACCTGTGATGTACACGATGAAGTTTCCACTGACGGAGCCAGAGTCGTTCTTGACAGTGAGAGTGTATGGGCCAGCGTCATCCTTGACAACCTCCCTGATAAAGATGATGATGAATTCATCAAAGACGGTGAACTTAAGACGCTGAGACTCTTCCACAGGCAAACCATTCTGGGTGAGTATAACATCGAGAGGCAGGTCACCAGTAAAGTAGATCTTGATCTTGGTGTTGTCGCCCTCAGGCAGGTAGAGAGCATCATGCATCTGGGTGATACGTGGTGGGTTGCCAATCTTAACATGGGCGATAGAGGTAGCCTGGCCAGCATCGTTGGCTGCCACACAGGCATAGTCACCCTCGTCCACCTCCCACATGTCAGAGATGATAAGTTTGAAGTGTCCATTACGTTCCTCAGCGGTGATGCGGCCACCAAGAGTCACCTCACGGCCGTTTCTCAACCAGCGGGCTGTGGGCACCGGCTTGCCTTCGGCTTCGCACTCGAGGGTGATAGACTTATGGAGAGCGGCGGCAGTGTTCTGCAGGTTCTTGATGAAGAACGGTTTCTCTCCTGGAGCTGCCTCGCGGATCTTGACTGGCTGAGCACTCTGTGATGGGTCAGACTTGCCAGCAGCATTAATGGCGTACACACGGAACTCCACATCACTGCCTTCAGTCAGGTTAAGCACAGTGTATTGAGTATCTACCACGTTGTAGTCATTACACTTCATCCAGATGCTGCCAATCTCACGTTTCTCAACCATGTAGCCAGTGATGCGGGAGCCTCCGTCGCTCTCTGGCACGGTCCACTTAAGGTCGACGTAGTTCTTGCCGATCTTGGTGACGACGGGAGTACCAGGTGGTGAAGGTACAGCGTACTTACCCTTCAACTTGATCTTCTTGCTTGGTGGTGAGTATTTGCTAAAACCAGCAGCATTCTTAGCCTTTACACGGAACTCGTACTCGTGGTTGATCAGGAGAGAGTGGACGGTGTAGGTGGTCTCCTTCACGAGGAAGTCGTTGGCAGCAGCCCAGTTGGTGTCGGTAACATCGCGGTACTCCACCTTGTAACCCTGGATCTTGGCGCCGCCGTCCGACGCTGGACGATCCCAGGTGAGGATCACGGAGTTGATGTCGTGATCCAGGATGTTGGGGCGGCCTGGAGGATCGGGCACAGTGAAGGGGAACTTGGCTGTGATGGGGTCAATGGTCTCCAGAGGATCTGAGAGGCCGTACTGGTTCTCGGCGCGGACGCGGAAGAAGTAGGTCCGGTTAGGTTCAAGTCCCATGACGTCGTAGTGGCATGAGCGAACAAATGCCGACACCTTCATCCAGATGCCCGTATGGGGTTCGAGGCGTTCCACTTGGTAGTTGGTGATAGGTGAACCACCATCGTCCGCGGGAGGACGCCACGCCAGGGAACAGGTCTCCGGGGTAATATCGGACACTTCCAGAGGTCCCTGAGGGGGTGACGGCCTGTCCACCACGTTGACTTTGCAGGAGCCAGAGTCTGCTCCCTCGGTGTTGGTCAGCTTGATGGTGTACTTGCCGATGTCGGAACGCTTGGCACTCTTGTTGATGAACACGGTGGAGGAGCTGCCGGTGTCCATGTGGAATTGAATGCGGTCGTCGGGGGCCACCTCGTTGGGGCCAATCCACCACTGGACCTTCGGCTGCGGGGAGGCGATGAAGGGCACCGTAATAGTGAACTCCTCGCCGGCGATCACCGTCATGTCGCGAATGCTCAAGTCTGACGTGATCTTTGGAGCACCTGGTGAACAATTGGACATTATTTGAATGGGAATATTTTATATGAATATCTTTTACCTGTGTGACTATGGCAGGGAGTGTGAAGTCTTAGTAAGTGCAAAAAATTTTTAATTAAGAATGATCACAGGTAACTTTTCACAATGGTATTTATAATAAATTTAGATACCATCAAACATTTCAACAAGCCAATTAAATTCTATTGAAGTCTTATATTGTAACTACCAAACGAGGCAATGATCAACTTCAAGCAAATGATATATATTATGTGCTTTATTGAATCAACACACAGCAAATATTTTATATAACATATTTATAGTATTTTAGTGTGTGTGTGTGTGTGTGTGTGTGTGTGTGTGTATCTGCCCGCATATGAAAGAGTGTGAGTGAGTAGAGAGGATTAGTGGCTGTATATGAGTCTATCAGTGAGTGTGTGGGTACAGGAGGAGACACTCACGGAAGCTGATACACTTGATGTTCTCGCTGGGGTCGCTCCACGGGCCCTGGCCGGCGGCGTTGACGGCAGCAGCGCGGAACTCGTACTCCTGGTGTTCCGTCAAGTTGATGACTCGGTAGGTGGTGTCCTTTACCATGGCGTGAGAGGCCCTGCTCCAGGAGATCTCTCCCACCACCCTCTTCTCCACCACGTATCCCTGGATGTGGGCGCCGCCGTCGTGTCGCGGCTTTGACCACTGGATGGTGATGGAGTCTTCGGTGGACTCCAGGCCGCGAGGTGCTCCTGGCGCGCCTGGTGGGTCTGTGGACACGAGGTACAAGTTTAGCATAAAAACAAAACCAAAAAAACATGAAATGAAGGATGTATTTTTTTTTCTTCAAATACAGCAGAGAGCCATGTTGTGGTATTGGGTCAACCTAGAACACTAAACTGCTACTAACCGAATGGATGCCTGGCCCTGATGGGCGTGGGTGAGGTGCAGGGGTCAGACTGGCCGTACTGGTTCTCCGCCATCACGCGGAAGTCGTACTCTTGGCCGACGGTGAGGTTACGGATACGGAGGAAAGGAGCAGTGACGTAGCTGCTGACCTTCACCCAGTTGCCGCGGCCTTCACGCTTCTCAACCACGTAGTTGGTGATGTCAGCGCCACCGTTGTCCTTCGGTGGGTTCCAGAAGAGGGTGAAAGCGTCGCCGTTGAACTCGTCAGCATGGAGGTTCTCAGGTGGTGCTGGGCGGTCAAGCACGCGGACATTGACGGTTACAGAGTCGAATCCACATGGATTTTGGAGTCGCAGCTTGTACGGGCCGGTGTCTGAGCGCTTGGAGTTGGTGACAATCATGGCACAGTAATCATCAGTGAGCTTCTCGTGGATGCGAATGTCAGCATCAATTTTGATCTCATTGTCATCGCGATACCACGTGGATGTGGGCTTGGGGAAGCCTGTGTACGGCACGTGGATAGAGAAGTCCTCGCCTGCACGTACAGTGATGTCACGCACGGCGCTGAGGTCGATGCGAGGCTTGTTAGCCTGTTCCTCGATCTTGATGAGGTTGGAGGGACGGGATGGTGCTGAAGGACCCACTTCGTTGACGGCAATCACACGGAAGTAGTATTCATCCAGCTCCGTCAGGCCGAGCACAGTGTAGTTGGGGTCTGGGTGAGGGAGGCTGTTAGCCGGCTGCCACTCCTCCTCGTCCTTCTGCCTGTACTCCACCAGGTAGCCCTTGATCTTGGCGCCACCATCCTGGGAGGGTGGCCGCCATGAGAGCGTCACGCAGTTGCGGCCAATACGGTCCGGCCTGGGCGCCTCCGGTGGTCCTGGCAGGTCTGGGGACACACAACAATCATGAATGTCAATCAAAATAATTATTATATATACACCTGGCCACTCTCCCACTATACAGGAGGACAGTACACAACTATCCTCACACATCACTACCGTTAACATCATCTATTCAACTATTCACTTCACTCTAGGAATCCCTCTCACTCGTATTCTAGTTGATCAGTTTTTCCTTCTCCTTCACTACCCCTGACTCCAACATCTCTCTCGCCATCACTTCTCTATGTATACAGTATTATTCGTTCAACCTTAACTGTCACTCTCCATTATTCTTCCTCTACACCAAAATATTAATCCTTTCAGTACGATGAAATTACCCATTGAGGAATACATTGAGTAATATAAGTTGACATTTGTATTACTATGACGTATCCTTTTGAGTAAGATTTATCAACCCTTTGATTACAATGACTTATTCTCAGGAGTATGATGATAACGTATTCAAGAGGTTAAGTCATCGTACTGTAGCGATTTAAACTAGTACTGCTTGCAATTTTGTTATCATTGTTGTATTGTACGCTTTTGTTTTACTCATACACCAGACAGATACCCTTCAATCTGTATTCCATCAAAGTCACAATATCTAATCCACTCATCAAAGCGTCTGCCACCTGCCTACCTCTCACGACCAAAGTGTTCCTCAAATATACCAGGTACTTCCTCAACCTGAAGAGTATCCTGAAGACCATCCGGAGTAGCTGAAAGAATACATTACTTACACTTCTGCACCTTGGCCACGATGGTGTTGGATGGCTTGCTAGGGTTGCCAGGGCCTGCCTCGTTGAGAGCAATGATACGGAAGTCGTAGCGGTTACCCTCTGAGAGTCCCTGCACGGTGTACTGGGTGTTGGGCGTCGGGTAGTGGTTCACCTGCAAGCAACACATCCTCAGTTAGTTTACTTCACTATCAATGGGAGGGATGTTGAGTCTGCATGCTGTGTGTTGTGGCTAGTGATGCTGGGGAATGTACTTAAGGGAGAAGAGAATTTGCTTCATAACAAAGACTATATGGATGTGGGTAACTTTCATGACACTGTGTTAACTCATAGGGTGAGCGGCTGTTTTATGCTTATATCACTGTCAGGTGGGTATGTGTCAAGTGGGTATGTGATAAGACTTCAAAGGGTTGTGTTATACTCAAGTGATTCCCATAATTACTGAGTGGGTATGAGATAAAGCCCTCACCTGATACACTCAACTCACCCTTATCCATTCACCGCCACGCTCACGCTTCTCGATAATGTAGCCGGTGACGGGGCGGCCGCCGTTGTTGACTGGAGGCTTCCATTCCAGCGAGCAGGTGGATGGACTGTAACCCAAGATGTCTGGACGCTCTGGCGCATCCGGAGGGTCGAAGGGATTCTTGGCTTCCACCGGTTTGCCTTCCAGAGGCTCAGACACGCCGTACATGTTCTCGGCGCGGACTCGGAAGCGGTACTTCTTGCCCTCCTCGAGACCCTGTTGAGGAACACCAAGAGATGCGGTGAGGAGGAGGTGTTGGCGGTGGTGGGGCTTGACGGGCGACACTCACCTGGTCATGCTTGTGGGTATGAAGGATGTGGTGTTTATGGTGATGGAGGAGGTACTGGTGATGGTGGTAGTGGTATGGTAGCTGTGATGGTGACGGTTGGTTGTGGTGGTGATCGTAGTATGTTAACAGTGGTGAAGGGTACTTTTGGCCAGTTATGGGGATAAAGGAGGTCACAGGTAAAGGTGATAATGGTGACGGTAGGTTATGGCCAACATTCCCAGGTAAATAAAGTAACTTACCTTGACAGTAAAGTTGGTCTTAGGGCAGTACCCGGGCACGACCTTCCAGATGTCGTAGTTGGCATCCGTCTTCTCCACCACGTAGCCCGTCACCTCTGACCCGCCATTATCCTGCGGCGGCTTCCATGACAGAGAGATGGTGTGGGCGGTGATCTCCGTGGGCGTGAGAGGACCAATAGGAGGACCCGGTTTATCCACAACGATGACCTGTGGGAAGAGTGGGCGTGGTGAATGGTTGTCTCTAGTTCACCTGGTGGGGGAGTGACTGTCTCTAGTTCACCTGATGGGGGAGTATCATACCTGTAGACGCTGGGAACAAGGTAAAATTCACCTCAAGGTAATTTAATGTTACCAAAAGAGTATTACGAAAATAAATAAAATAAATTAATTTTCACTCATGGGAACTTTCTAAGGCGGAGAAACCTGTCTTAGGAGTGAATACTGACCATGAACATACTCAAGCTATAAACTTTCCTATGTAAAAAAAAACATGACGAGTTTTAATACAAATTACATACAGAGTCGTGTAAAAATAATTATACAGGTGTGTGTTTACATATTTACATATAATTTAGTAACTATAATACCTTAATACAGACTCGTGCAAAATAGATATAATTGTTTATTTACGTTATTTACAAAACGTTTAATGTCTCTTCTGGTAGATATTGCTTCTTAATGAGTCGTGAGTAGGCAGGAGCCAAAGGTGTACTGCAGGTGAGCGAGTGAGTGTGGTGGCACCTCGATATAGCCTCTACCACCTATTATATAAATTATTACTATATAAATATATGCTTTCTTTGGCTTCACTCTGTAGTGTGTGTGTGTGAGTGTGAGTGTGTGTGTGTGTGAGTATGAGTGTGTGTGTGTGTGTGTGAGTGTGTGTGTGAGTGTGAAAAATAGCACCCAATATCCTTAGCCCAGTCGACAAGGCCCCCAAGCGTTTACCACAAGACCCAGCCAGCCAGCCTCACTGACCTCGATGTTGGCAGAGTCTTTGCCATAGGGGTTCTCTGCCGTGATGGTGTATGTGCCTGAATCCTCCCGGCGAGATTTGTCCACGAAGAGACGGCAGTGGTCGCTTGTGGTCTCCATCTGACAGAGAGAGAGAGAGTATCGTTGGTTAGTATGTAAACAATGGATGGTTATACATATGATTATTTTCTTAGTTTATTCATTTTTTTTTGTTCTTTTTTTGTGAAGATGTTAAGGAGATAAATATAGAAAAGATATATCTATTACTCAGTTGTCGTCTATAATGTGTAAACAAGAAAATACACAAACTTAATGATACATCTCATTTAATGATTTTTTTTTTACTATAATATCGTCGCTATTGAGGAAACCAAAGAAGAATAACAAAATCACTTTACTATTTGCCATCTACTTTTTTCTTTTCTTTTATTTACTCTTTCTGTCTTCGTAATTAAGACAACAATGATTGCACCAAAAATCATGACATATCCCATTTACATTCACAGAAGACCGGGGACTTACCGAGGTCCTCTTGCTGGGTTCGATCTTCTTGTCTTTCTTGGACCACTCGCAGGCGGGCTGAGGCGCTCCTGAGAGAGGGATCTTGATGTCGATGGGCTCTCCGGCACGCACCTTGAGCTTCTTGCCCAGCAGACCATCCAGGTACAGCTTGGGAGCCTCTGTAATGGTCGGCAGTCATCAAGACGTGGCCAGACAAGGTGTGTGGGTGTTGATGGACTGACCAGCGGGGCGGGTTATGTTAAGGGTGTCAGGATCATGTTGAGTGTCAGGGGGTGTCAGGGGGAGGGTGTCAGGATCATGTTGAGTGTCAGTGTCAGGGGAGGTGTCAGGATCATGTTGGGTCAGAGGTCAGGAGGTCAGGATCATGTTGGGTGTAGGAGGTGTCAGGACATGTTGAGTGTGTCAGGGGGAGGGTGTCAGGATCAGGGGAGGGTGTCAGGATCATGCTGAGTGTCAGGGGGAGGGTGTCAGGGGTGTGTCAGTTCAGGGTTGAGTGTCAGGAGGGTGTGGAGGGTGTCAGGATCATGTTGAGTGTCAGGGGGTGGGGGATGTTGGGTGTATCGGGGGTGTCAGGATCATGTTGAGTGTCAGGGAGGGTGTCAGGATCATGTTGGGTGTGTCAGGATCATGTTGAGAGTGTCAGGGGGAGAGTTTGTGACGTTTAGTTTAGAAGGATAATATTTTTAACAACAAACGCGTTCTCTAGCAAAATAAGATGAAGTAACATAACAAACCTACTATATACAAGTGATCATTTAGATGAATTTCTGTGCATGGGTATAGGGAGGTATAAGGTACTGACCGCGCATGGGCTTGGCGGTGATGGGTTGTGATGGGTCCGATGGGTTGGACGCTCCCATCTTGTTGTTGGCGATGACGCGGTACTGATACTGCTCGCCCTCGTTGACCATGTCGTCCACGAACTCTGTGGTGCGTAATGGGTCTCGGTTGACCTTCTTCCAGCGACCAGAGTGGATGCCGCAGCGTTCCACGTCGTAGCCAGTGATGGGAGAGCCACCGGTAGAGCGAGGAGGACTCCACGAGATCTTGATGAAGTCCTTGTCGGAGTCCGTGCAGGATGGCCGGCCAGGGGAACCAGGAACATCTGTGGGGGAGTGAGAGAGGATGACCCACCACGAGCGACAGGCTGCGTCCTTGTGTACATTGTGGGAGGTTTCAGTTGGTTGATCCATAAATCAGGTAATTCAATGAGAAGTTTACATTAGCATCATTAAATATGTAATAAAGTATATATATATATATATATATATATATATATATATATATATATATATATATATATATATATATATATATATATATATATATATATATATAAGGCTAGGTGACTAACCTGCTGAGGCCTTGGCTGTAACGGGCTTGTCAGACACAAGAGGTTCACCACGGCCCTGCAGGTTCTCAGCCCTGACGCGGAACTCGTACTGGGTGCCCTCCAGCAGGCGTGGCACTGTGGCGTGGGTCTGCTTGGGGTCTACCCAGTTCACGGCTGGCACCCAACCTCCACCGTGAGTGATGTCACGCTTCTCAATGACGTAGCCACTGGCGGGGGAAATGGTGTTAGTGTTTCACAAGAACAGGAAGTTCGTGTCGTGCTTAACGATACGGAACTTCATTATATTGTACATCTTCCCTTTTCTCTTTAATAGGAGATGAATATCAATGGAACTAACTTAACGTAAGAGGTTGTGCAGAGGTACTCTGTACTGTTGTACACTACTCAGAAAAGTGATGTTTACATGGCGCGTTATGGTGGGTAACAGTAATAAAGGAGAGACTCACGTGATGGGGCTGCCACCATCATCCTTCGGCGGCTTCCACGACATGACGACGCTGTTGGCCTGTACCTCCTCGTACGTCAGAGGACCCTCGGGTGCTCCAGGTGTGTCCAGAACAATTACCTGGAAGGTGGCCTCGTCCTGACCACTCTCGTTCTTCACCCTGATGAGGTACTCGCCAGAGTCATTGCGCGTGGTGTTGACGGTGTGCAAGACACTGTGGTTGTTGATGGCAGTGATGGTGGTTCGCACATCAATCTGTAGCTCCCTGTCATCATTGAACCAGAACACGTCAGGCTGAGGCTCACCAATGTAGTCCACGTCGACATGCAGGACCTGGCCAGCCTTGATGCGCACATCATAGAGCGGACCGAGGATCCTGGGCGCCACTGTAATTATTGAACATGAATTAGATTTCGGATCAGAATATGAAATATATAAAAAAATTCTTCATCTGAAGAATAATGAACATCACTTGACTACACAAGCTGTAGCAGACTAAAGGTGCCTCAACACACTCACGGTGCCTGGGCTTGCAGATAACGGAGTCTGAAGGCTCAGATGGTTCGGAGTTACCGGCCTTGTTGACAGCGATAATACGGAATTCGTACTCTTGTCCCTCTGTCAGGTTAGGTACTGTGCCCTTAGTCTCGGGGCCAGTCAGGCGGGTCGCCGTCTGCCAGTAAGGTGATCCACGTTCCTTCTTCTGGATGAGGTAGCCGGTGATGGGCGCGCCACCGTCGTGAGATGGTGGAGTCCATTCCAGGTCTACGTGATCACTGTCCCAGTCGACGACGTTGGGGCGGCCAGGTGGGCTCGGCTCGTCTGTGGATAAAAGAGAGATGTCAGTAAATATAACAAGAAATCAGTTAAATATTTATTTAGTATTTTGTTATCACCATTTAGAGAAGATATTATAATGCGCTACTCACCCTGAGCGTTCTTGGCAATGACGCTCTTGTCGGTGCACAGAGGTTCAGACTCGCCGATGGCGTTAACAGCCTTTACCCGGAAGTGGTATTCCTTCATATGGACGAGGCCGTGGACGTCCGCCATCAGGCCTGACACCTCAGCTGCCTCAGTCCAGGTGCCGCGAGACAAGTCCATCTTCTCGACGAGGTAGTGAAGGATGGGGGAGCCACCATCGTCAACAGGAGTTTTGAAGGCCACCTTACAGCTCTCTCGTGTGACATCAAACACGTTCAGTGGACCCTCAGGTGGTGAAGGCCTGTCAAGGACGATCACCGTGCCTGACGCAGATGCCTTACCCAGCTCATTCTCCAGTGTCAATGTGTAACGACCACTGTCAGTGCGCTGGGCGAACGGAATGTCCAAGATGGTCTGCTTACCGTAGGTCTGCAAGTCCACTCGTTCTGACTCTGTAATGGGCGAGCCGTTGATACTCCAGGACACCTTTGGTCTCGGTGCTCCGCGGATTGGCACTGTGTAGTTGAGGCGCGTGTTGACCTTGATGATCAGGTCCTCCAGGTCTCTCGTGTCAATACCAGGCTTCTCAAACCGAGCCTTGCAGACGACTGGCTGTGAGGAGTCTGAGGGGTCAGAGTTTCCTGCTTTATTGACAGCAATCACACGGAACTGATACTCCTCACCCTCAGTAAGGTCAGGAATAGAAGCCTTGGGGCCGTGCTTGGCTGGCAGCTCGAGGGCCTTCTCCCATGGTCCAAACCGCTTCTTCTTTTCGACGATCCAGCCAGTGACTGGCGCGCCACCATCAGAACGAGGCTCCGTCCATTGGAGATCAACGCGGTCCTTGTCCCAGTCCATAACCTCAGGTGTGCCAGGCTTGGTGGGTTTGCTGTAAGGATCCTTGGCGGTGACGGTGTCCACGCCGGTGCATGGTGGACCTTGACCTTGACGGTTGACAGCTGACACACGGAACTTGTAGTCGTGTCCTTCAATAAGGTTGTCCACCTGGTGGCTCGTTCCCTTGACGTCTCCACATGGCACCCAGCGGTAAGTCTCCATGTCCATCTTCTCCACGACGTAGCCAGTGATATCTGAGCCACCGTCATCCTTAGGTGGCTTCCAGGCGATGGTGCAGCCGTTGCGGTTGACATTGGAATACTTGACGGGTCCTTCAGGAGCGCCGGGCACGTCCAGGACGGTGATGTTGACGGTGCAGGTGTCTTCACCGTTCTTGTTGCGGGCGTTGAGGGTGAAGGCACCGCTGTCGGCGCGCTTACAGTCGGTGATCTTGATGGTGGTCATGTAGTCTTCGCTAATGATGGAGAGACGGTCGCTGGGGTAGAGGTCGTTGTCCCTCACTCTCCATTGTTTGGTGGCTGGAGGTTCACCCACCACCGGCACCGGCAGGTTCAAGTTCTCTCCCGCCTTGATCTTCACGTCCATCATGGCATTACGGTCAATGCGAGGAGGAACTGAAAAAAACAAAATATACCGTACCATTAACCCATCAAGTAACTATTACCAACAGTAGTATCAGACCCCAGCCAGTGGTGGTGTATGACGTCAACTGAAGATAATCGACACGTAAACTAATATAATATTGACTTACTTATACTTCAGCTATGAAGCAAATGTAATTACTGATAAGAATATGATTATCATGTTATGCTTTTAGGACAGTTCGTGAGTGTTAAGAGTTAAGACATAACTACACTAGAATATATCACTATTAATATAACTGACAGTGTTGTGTGAGTTAGTAGCTTGGGAAGTTATAAAGGTAAGTGTCTTGGGGAAGTAACTCATACAATCACCTGAAAAGTTATATTCGTGTTTTCGCAAGTAATAAATATAACTACTTTGAACACTTTTAAACGTAAGGCTTTTGAGATATGAGTATTATTAATTATACGTACAAATGAACCATAATTATATTGAGAAGAAATGAATGTAAAAAAAAAAATAAAAAAAAAAAATCCACAGGTGTTCTCTACCCCCCAGTTACAGGGAAGGTTACAAGTTAAAAAAACCCTACACACGGTTACTTACGATTCTTGGGTCTAGCAACATGAGGCTTGGTGGGCTCTGAAGGCTCGCCGGGTCCTGCCTTGTTGACAGCCACGACACGGAACTCGTACACGTTACCCTCGAGCAGGTCTGGTATATGAGCCTTGCACTGATCACCTTCTACTGTGGCGCACTTATCCCAGAGTGGACTGGAGGAAGAGTGACGGAGGGAGAGGATAGATTCGTGTTGATATATGATGTGAGTTACGTCGAGAGAGAGAGAGAGAGAGAGAGAGAGAGAGAGAGAGAGACAATCTTACCAGGGAAAAAAATTAATACTTGGTTTCAAAACAGAATCATCGAAACAAAATAAATAGTTCTCATCCTTACATATAATAAATACAAATCAAGAACAATAGTTAATCCCCCAGAATACAACACATTAATCAATACTGCTCCAGAAACACTACCAACACTCAACCCTGGAAGAAGATCTATGCAATACAACCGTGCAATATAACAGTGCATAAATATAACAACATGAACCCTACTACATTTTAACCTATAGTAATACCAATCCCTTATACCAGTGAAAAACAAGAGATACTCAGACAGAGTTATTCACTGTGCACAATTCTACCAGATTATTATTTTTTTTTGTAATTTAAGAAGATATTAAAATGTATTGGTAGTTATACATTGATAATTTGTGTATAAGAAGATAAGGAGAGTTGATTTTGTTTACATTCATGACTAGAACAATATTAAGAATGTTTTATTGATGTACACCTAGTTTTGTATATACTTATTGTACAGATGAAGTGTAAACATTATTACTGCTACGGGTGTACAATATTACAATAAAATGTGTACAATAGCAGTTCACGATGCAACAACAAGTACGGTCATAAATAAACATTGATGAGATCTATACTGAACTCGGCCAGAGGTGTAAGCAACTCTAAAGTCACGTAAACAAACACAGGGCTGCCACCTTTACCTCGGGCAGTCAGGGTCGTACTTAAGCATAATTTCGTATCTGAAAATGTGTTAGAAATCAGGAATCAGACATTGGCTACACTGTTCTTCCTTTATATTATTCTTATCTCCTTCATTCATTCCCAATACTCTACTTACCATTTCTACCAATATTTCCTCAGTCCTTTCTTCTGTAATTATCTCTATTGTATTCATGTTTTTTTTTTTTTAATCACGAATTAGTATATAACTTTCCATTAACTTTTCACTGTTTATATTTTGCCCCCAATGTGTGTTAATTTTTCTCTGCACCCATTAGTGTCATCACCCTTATTATAGACCAACACCTATCATCACCCTTATTATCGAGCGTTACTCACTTGTATCGGTCCCTCTTCTCGATGATGTAGCTAGTGATAGGAGCACCACCGTCAGCCTCAGGCTTCTTCCATTCAAGGTCCACAAAGTCGCAGTCGAAGTCGGCAATGTTGACGTCCTTCGGCGAGCTTGGTGGATCTGGTGGAGGAAGACCCCGGGTAATGGATGGGTGTTGTTTATCTCACCTAACCTACATCCTGAACCTCATCTTGAGGTGATCTCTTTGTATATACAGTAGTTGGAACTATATGCAAATTTATACATGTATACGACGCTGCTGATATGTGAACTAGTCTTCACTTTTGTTTAATTGCATTAAAGTTATCTCTAGTGTCAAGAAGACCTGATGACGATGAACCCGACTCACCGAATGGATTCTTAGCCTCGATGGCCTGCTGAGTGGTAAGAGGGTCGGAGGTACCCAGACGGTTGACAGCCTTCACACGGAACTTGTATTTGTGTCCGGGTGTGAGGCCCTCCACGTCGAAGGAGGTCTCCTTGCCAGCTGTCTCACCAGCAGGAACCCAACGGCCCGTCGCCTCGTCCAGCTGCTCAACGACGTAGTGGTCGATGGGACAGCCGCCGTCGTCAGCAGGTGGCAGCCAGTCCAACTTGCAGCCCTCGGCGAACACCTCGGACACCTTAAGAGGGCCCGTAGGTGCTCCAGGCTTGTCTGTGGGCATGATGGTCACGTCGAGATTAATAGTTCTCTGACACTAATTATATCTTAACATATATAATACAAACAACTATAGCAGATAATGTAAGGTCATTTAAAGTAAAGGATCCCTGGTGAAGTACTGATAAACCGAATTAGGACAACACAAACACACACAATGTGACTCACCAAGCACAATGACCTCGACGTCAGCGGAGTCTTTGCCATTGGCATTCTCTGCCGTGATGGTGTAGGTGCCGCTCTCAGCCCTGGTGGCGCCCGTCACCCTCAGTTTGGTGTTGTAGTCGTTGTACCTGATGTTGGTCACACTGCTGGGCTTGATGTCCTTCTTCTTCAGCAGCCACTTCTTATCCGGCATAGGTTCGCCAGAGATGTTGATGTCGAACACGAAGCTCTGTCCAGCCTTCACCCTGACGGGGATGAGGTTGGTGCGGTCGATCTTGGGAGGCATGTTCTTAGGCTTGACGGTGACAGGATGAGTAGCGTCAGATGGGAGGCCGGGACCTGCGGGGTTGACGGCACGGACACGGAACTCGTAAGTCTCACCCTCGATGAGATCTGGTACCGAGCAGCTGGTCTTGTTGGCTGGCACCTCGCACGCCTTGTCCCAGCCGCCATACTTGTCCTTCTTCTCCACGATGTACTTCTGGATGGGCGCGCCACCGTCGGTCTTGGGAGGATCCCACTTGAGGTCCACTTTGTTCTGGTCATAGTCGGCCACCTTCAGGTTCTCGGGCTTGCCTGGTTCCTCTGTGGTAGAATTAATACAAAATGCCATGAAGTATATTGATAGTGTCTATAATACCGAACAACTTTTGAGTACAGGCATACTGTATAATAGAACTAGTAAAATGTTTATTTAAATTTATGATTATGTGAGAATTTTTACAAGTACACTGTTGGTGAGGTGAGACAATAAGGTTTACGTTTATATAAAAAGTGATGAACGTACCGTAAGGATCCTTGGCCAGGACGGGCTCCTCCGCCTTGAGAGGATCAGACTCGCCCTCGGCGTTCACAGCCTTCACACGGAACTGGTACTCGGTGCCCGGGCTGAGGTTGTTGAGCTCCACCGAGGGCTCCGGGCCAGCTGACCGACCAGCTGGTACCCACAAGCCAGTGTTGGGGTCCAGCTTCTCCACCTGGTAGTACTCGACGGGAGTGCCACCATCGTCCTTGGGACGCTTCCACTTGAGCTTACATCCAGTGCCACGTACGTCGGACACCTTGATTGGTCCCTCTGGTGGGCTGGGTTTGTCCGTGACGGTCACACGCACCGTTACCTGGTCCTTGCCGGAGCTGTTGGTGGCAGTGATGACGTACTCGCCTGAGTCTGTGCGCAGAGTGTCACGGATCACCAACTTGGAGTTGTAATCGATGTTGGTGATGTTGACGTGTCTGTTGGCCTCCAGCTTACGTCCCTCGTAGGTCCAGGTGGAGGTTGGAGGCGGCTCGCCCGAGATGTCACAGTCGTACTTGAGCATTGAGCCCGCTGAGATGGTGACGTCACGTAGGTTCCTGCGGTCGATCTTTGGTGGCACTGCAGAGACAAACACATACCTCAGTCATCTATCTGTCCAACCATTTATCTATCTCTTTATGTAGTGAATCTCTTTAATCTATATATATGAAAGATGAGGTCACGTGGATACATGAAACAGAAGAGGAGGGGGTGGAGGAGGAGGGGGTGGAGGAGGAGGGTGGAGGAGGAGGAGGGTGGAGGAGGAGGGGTGGAGGAGGAGGGTGCAGGAGGAAGGGGTGCAGGAGGAGGGACTGGAGGAGGAGGGGTGGAGGAGGAGGGGGGTGGAGGAGGAGGGGGTGTAGGAGGAAGGAGACTCACAGAATCTGGGCTTGGCGGTGATGGTCTTGCTGGGGTCACTGGGCTCACCAGGACCAGCACGGTTGACGGCCGTGATGCGGAACTGGTAGTCCATGCCCTCGATCAGGTTAGTGGCTGAGCCCTTACACTCTGGCGTGTCTGTCTCACACGCCTTCTCCCACAAGTTCCTGTCGGGGATACGGACATTTTATATTAATTAATGACAAAATAATGACAGAATAATGTGATAAGAAACACAGTGAATCATAGAAAACGTAACAAAAGCAAAGTATTTGGAATTATTTGACACATCTTTGTTATTTTCTTTTTATATATTTTCTCCCCTTGTTTTCTTTTTCTGCCAACGTTCTGATTTCTAGCGTAATTGTTCTAACGAAGTCTAGATTCTCAAAATTATCGAATGTAAGTTTGACCACAGATACATACATTGAAGAGCTTCTCAGAAAATGGTTATATATGAATGAAAGCAACACGCATACGTCATAAGAAAGAGAGAGCATAAGGACCGACTACTCACGTGTATTTGTCCCTCTTCTCGATGATGTAGTGAGAGATGGCCGCACCTCCGTCATCCAGAGGCATCGTCCACTTGAGGTCAATACGGTTCGAGTCCCAGTCGGTGGCCTCGGGAGCTCCGGGTCTGCCAGGCACCGAGAAGGGATCCTTGGCCGTGATGGGTGAGAGGGTCACCAGAGGCTCAGATTCACCCTCCTTGTTGACGGCCTTCACGCGGAACTCATACTCGTGTCCGGGAGTGAGGTCGGTCACCTCCATCTCGGGGGTGGAGGTCTTGCCCACCGGCAGCCAAATACCCATGTCAGGGTCGAACTTCTCCACCACGTAACCTTCAACGGGCACGCCGCCGTCATCCTTTGGAGGCTTCCACTTGAGCTTGCAGCCCTCCTTGTGGACGTCCTTCACTTCGATGGGTCCTTCTGGTTTACCGGGCTTGGAGATGACGGTGATGTTGACCTCTGCCTCGTCGCGGCCATACTGGTTGGTGGCCACAATCTTGTAAACACCGGAGTGTTTACGGATAGGCTCATCATTGATGTACTTGGTATTGTATGGAACATTTTCAATACGCAAGTCCTTGGTCTCCTTGACAGGCTTCTTGCCATGGAACCACTCAATGTCTGGAGGAGGTTCACCAATCACCTTCACGTCCAGGAGGATTGGTTCACCCTCACGGACCGTCAAGTCACGAAGATTACGACGGTCGATCTTGGGAGCCACTGGAAGAGTTCACACGTTAGTTGCCAACACTTACAGTCACAGGAAAGAAAATATGTTACCCAGAAGAAAACAGTAATATGTCAACAAAATTAGAATTTCAGAGAAAGTGATGTAGAAAATTATAAGTCAAATATTATGTATAGACAAAACTTACACTTCCTGGGTTTGCAGGTGACAGGTTTGCTGGCCTCTGAGGGGTCAGACGGGCCGGCCTCGTTCACGGCACGAACACGGAACTCGTAAGTCTCGCCTTCGTCCAGGTCATTCACGCGGCCTTTGGGTGTGTCGCCCTTGACCTCAGCAGCCTTAACCCACTTGCCAGTGAGCTCGTCGCGCTTCTCGATGATGTAGCCGGTAATGGGCGCTCCGTTGTCCTTGGCGGGTTTGGGCCACTTAAGTTCCACGAAGTCCTTGTCCCAGTCCGTGGCCTCAGGCTTGCCTGGTGGGTCTGGGGGATCGAAAGGATTCTTAGCCACGATGCTCTCAAGACCTTCCAGAGGCTCAGACTCTCCCTCGCTGTTGATGGCTGACACGCGGAACTTGTATTCGTGGTTAGGCTCCAGGTTCTCTACCGCCATATTAGGCTCACGTGACCTGCCCACTGGCACCCAGCGGCCAGTCTCCGTGTCCATCTTCTCCACGATGTACTGCTCGATGGGCGCACCACCATCATCCAGAGGCTCTTTCCACTTCAGTTGACATCCCTCCTTGTGGACGTCAGACACCTTCAGTGGACCTTCTGGCTTTCCGGGTATGTCTGCAATAAACACGGCACAAGTCATAAGTACTAAAAGTCACTTCAAAAATAAAAATATAATACACTTTTTTTCTTCTTTTATCACAGGTACAACTGGAGACCGGCGGGGAGAAGCGTCAGATAAACTTACCGAGCACCTTGACATCGATGGACACTTGGTCATGACCGGCAGAGTTCTCGGCCTTGATGAGGAAGGTGCCGTTGTGGGCGCGGGTACAGCTGGCGATGACGATCTTGGTGCGGTGGTCCTCCTCGTCTATCTTGATGCCAGGCTGATCGCTATCTTGACGAGCCTTGTTGATGAACCAGCTCTTCTTGGGCACCGGCTCACCAGTCACGTTAGCGTCAAACTTGATCATCTGGCCAGCCCGTACGGTGATGTTTTCCAGGTTGGTGCGATCAATTACAGGAGCCACTGTAAACACAACCATGAAGTCAGTCACTGGTACTGTAGGTTGGCGGCAGATTTAAATATACATATTAAACCATGATCTAACCTATCGTGATTTCCTTTAGTCTGACACTGTTGATACCGAAAACTTACTTAACATTACTTATCCTGTTTTACATATCTAGACCTTCTCTGAAAATGATCTACTCAATACACTTAGTAACAATGACATACTAAAGCTACTGTAGCATATCAACGGAGCTACTTACGGAACTTAGGCTTGGCAGTAAAGTTATCAGAGGCATCGGATGGTTTACTCTGGCCAGCCTTGTTGACAGCCTTGACCCGGAACTGGTAAGTCTCGCCCTCAGTGAGATCGTTGACCTTGCCTTCAGGTTTATTGCTCTTGGTCTCACAATGCTTCACCCACTTGGCGCTGAACTTGTCCTTACGCTCAATGATGTAGTGGGTGATGGGTGCTCCTCCGTCAGTCTCAGGAGCCTTCCACTTCAGCTCGCACCAAGTCCTGTCGTAGTCCTTCACCTCAGGCTTGCCGGGCTTGCTGGGCGGGTCTGTGGGAGTAAGAATCACTTAAATTAGTCTTCGTCAGTAGTTGGCAGGAGTCTTATAGTAAAGGCCAAGCCAAAAGTTACTTAAACACACCTAAAACCACCTAAAGATACTTAAAGACACCTAAAAATACTTAAAGACCCACGAAGATACTCACCGAAGGGATTCTTGGCCTTGGTGGCGGCGTCAGTCTCCAAAGGTTCTGACTCGCCCTCTGAGTTGACGGCCCTCACGCGGAAGTGGTAGTCCTTACCCTCCGTCAATCCTGGCACCTCGGTCTCGGGGGTCTGAGGAAGAGAAGGAGGAGGAGACGTCAAGGGTGAGGTGTGTTTGTATGTGGTGGACGAGTAGAGACGTCAAGAGTGAGGTTCGAGGTCAAGTGTGAAGGAATACTACTACCATGTCTCTCGTCCTTAGAGTATCTCTTTGTATTCCATCTCTACCGGAGGAGGGAGAGGAGGTGCACGAGGAAGAGGTGTAAGAGGAGGAGGAAGGAGAAGAAGACGAGGAAGAAGAGGATAGATAAAGAGGAGTAAGAGAAGGAAGATAGAAGGGAAGAACACAAAGAGGAGGAGGGGGAGGAAGATAAAGCACAACAATAAGGAGGAGGAAGAGGAGCAAGAGGAGGAGGAGGAGCAAGAGGAGCAAGTAAACAGAAAAAGAAAGATGAAGGATCAAGAGAGAGCGAGAGAGAGAGAGGGTAGGGGAGGAGCTAGTCACATCTCAGAGGAGGAAGAGAGGACCTACCTTCGACTCCTTCACGGGCACCCAACGGCCGGTCTCTGTGTCCATCCTCTCAACCACGTAATGATCGATCGGCTCACCTCCATCATCTTCAGGCGGCTCCCACTTCAACTTGACAGACTCAGCGGTCACGTCAGATACCTTCAGTGGGCCCTTTGGTTTACTTGGCTTACCTGAGACGGGGAAGAATTTACTGTGAGATGAAATATATAGAGATAATATATTTTAATCAGTTAATTTATGAAGAAAACATAAAATTGTGATTATAAAGAAAGAAAATGAAGTTGTTTTGTTAAGTATTAAAGGGAAATGTCTATTAATGTTCTTTTAACTTTGAAATGATAATCTTTATTGTTATAGACTTGTTAAAGACTTAGTTTTTAACCCTTTGAAGATGATGATTTAACTCTTTATTCCTCAAAGGTTTAAATTGTGGAAAAGACTATAAACCCGCAACTTGATCAGAAAAAATGGTCAACAAGACATTTATATAAACAAAGAAACATAGATAGGTAAACAAGACACATAGACAGTTAAACCAGACATAGACAGGTAAACAAGACACATAGACAGTTAAACCAGACATAGACAGGTAAACAAGACACATAGACAGTTAAACCAGACATAGACAGGTAAACAATAAGGCATACAGACTGGTAAACAAACAGACACCAGTCCTTCTTACCAATGACAATGAGTTCCAGCTCAACCTCGTCTGTGCCGGAGTCATTCTTGGCGAAGATCTTGTAGATGCCGGTGTCTGAACGCTTGGCCTTCCTGATGATGATGGTGGTCAGGTGGTCCTCGCTCGTGATGTTTACCCTCTCGTTCTTGATGGGTTCGCCCTTGAAGCTCCACTTGATCTTGGGATCGGGTTCACCCTCCACTTTGGACTCGTTCTTGAAGGTAATGCCGGATCGGATGGTCTTCCTGCCAACGCTCTTGCGGTCGATACGGGGTGCCACTGATGGAGGGAGGAGAGGGTGTTAGAGAGACAGACAGAGAGAGAGAGAGAGAGAGAGAGAGAGAGAGAGAGAGAGAGAGAGATATGAGAGAAAAACAAGAGAGTCCAAATTTGCCGATAGACTGAAATCCAACACCTTATAGAATCTAATTTACAATTTTTACAGAAAATCTAGGTTTATAGGTAACAAGATTAACAACTTACAGAATCTGGGTTTACAGATGACGGAATCGGAGGCGTCAGATGGCTCAGAGGGTCCAGCCTTATTCTCAGCGACGACACGGAACAGGTACTCGTGTCCGGGTTCCACGTCTGTGATACGGATAGATGTACGGTTCCCTGGTCCGCTGCCACATGGAGTCCATCCACGACCGGCCTAATGATATAGAAAGAGATAATTAACATGTCTAGATATTCATTAAGGTTAAATAATAATAATACAAAGCTTTACAATCAACAGGTGTAAACAGATGTGAATATTAAATTTTTAACTAACTAATTATCTAAAGACAATATAGTACAGGTAGTGAGGATAATGTTTACACCTGAGCACACGTTAAGAACATAAGAACATAAGAATGGAGGAAACTGCAGCGGGCCTATTGGCCCATACTGGGCAGTCCCGTTTACACCCAACCCCTATTGCTCATATAAGCATCCAACCTATGTTTGAAGCTATTCAGCGTATTCAAGTTAATGATGATATTTGGTAACTTGTTCCATTCATCCACTACTCTGTTTCCAAACCAGTGTTTACCTATTTCCCGCCTAAATCGAAATTTGTCTAATTTAAAACCATTGTTACGAGTTCGCTCCTGGTTGGATAGTTTGAGTACCTTTGTAATGTCCCCTTTGTTTAGCCCTGCCTTCCACTTATACACCTCTTTCATATCGCCCCTCACTCTACGTCTCTCGAGGGAGTGCAAATTAAGATGCTTTAACCTGTCTCTATACTCAAGGTTCCTAATGCCCAGGATCAGTCTAGTCATTCTCCTCTGAATTCTTTCCAATGATACTATATCCATTCTGTAATACGGTGACCAGAACTGAACTGCGTAATCCAGGTGTGGTCTCACAAGAGCAAGATACAGTTTTAGGATGACCTCGCTAGTCTTGTAACTAACACTCCTTTGTATGAACCCAAGTACTTTATTAGCCTTGTTACGAGCAAAAACACATTGTTTACTTGGCTTAAGGTTCCTACTTATCATTACTCCTAAATCTCTCTCGCAGTCGGATTTCTCTATGGCATCGTTGTTCATCTGGTATCTGGTTTCCCTGTTTACATCTCCTATACTGAGTACTTTACATTTGTCCACGTTGAATTTCATCTGCCATTTTTCAGACCATTCGAAAAATTTGTTTAGATCTTCCTGTAGTTTTGCTACAGGGGATAAGCTTACAGATCCCTTATGCGTATTGGTAACGTAGAAAATACTAGGTAATGGTAACACACAATGTACAAGGTAACTCATCAAGGACAAGGTAACTCATCAAGGACAAGGTAACTCATCAAGGACAAGGTAACTCATCAAGCACCAGGTAACGCACCACGTCACGCTTCTCAACAATGTACTTGGTGATCTCTGCACCGCCATCATCCTTAGGCTTGGCCCATTCCAACTCCACGAAGTCACGGTCCCAGTTAGTAGCCTTGGGTTTGCCTGGTTTGCTAGGAGGATCTGCAATTAAAATAAATGTTGATAAACGAGTTGCAATGTTGAGTAAAGGTTGCAACGTTTTAGAAAGGTTGAGTGACTTGTTGCAACATTGTGGGAGGGCTGAGTGATGGGTTGCAATATTGAAGGAAGGATGAATTATTATTATTTGCATTATTTACAATCGTTCTCAACAGGTGACAAGGTGTGAACAATACTGACTGTGTGTGTGTGTGTGTGTGTGTGTGTGTGTGGAGGAGGAGCAACTCACCGAAGGGGTTCTTGGCGATAATAGCCTTGTCAGCCTCGAGGGGCTCTGACTCGCCCTCGGGGTTGACAGCCTTGACGCGGAACTTGTACTTCTTACCCTCCTGCAGGCCCGTCACGTCGTACTCCGGGGTCTTGGACTCACCACAGGGCATCCATTGACCGGTGATGGGGTCCAACTTCTCGATCTGAAGGAGGACGTAAACAGTGTATAAGATAATCCCACTTAGCGAGTCACGTACCGGAAAAGTGTAGTGTGTTTTGACTGGGAGTAAAGTAATCTGACTATTGGAAAAGTTATATGTAATCATAAAAACAGTGCATCAAGTGGACTTAAATTAGGCTTAAATGTATTATACTAAATCCGATTCCCAAACCGAGAAGGAATTTTAAGACTGGATTGAGAGGTTCGGTTTAAGCTGTGATGATTGAGAATAAATTGATCCCAACTCAGAGAATTTCTTTTTTCTCACTAGCGATTATTCCTGATTTATTAATATAACAAATGTCATAGTGAAAGTGTCAAGGAGGTTAATAATTATCGTGTGACTGATATAACGCAGAGGTGTAGTGGTGAAGGGAGGCAGATGACTCACCTCGTAGTGGTCAACGGGCAAACCACCATCGTCCTCAGGTTTCTTCCACTTGAGCTTACATCCGTTGGCCTTCACGTCACTCACCTCCAGCGGGCCCATGGGCTTGCTGGGAGGACCTGACCAACACACAAGACATTATAATAATATCCGCGAGTTTCATGGCTTTCACAGATACACTTTACTTGAGGTTTGTTAGGTAGGTTGAGGTGCTCAGAGTATGGTGGCGGGAACGGTGGGCAGGACAGCACCCACCAGATCAGCTAATTACTTGTAAATTACTTCTATTAATTTGTATTATTACGTTAAATGACAGATACATAATAAATGAAGAGGGCCAAGAGTCTAAGATAATAGTGAATTATCATTTTTAACAGTAAAAAAATAAAAGTTAAATAAAGGGAGAGGATAAAGCGTGTAGAGAGAGGAGAGCGTAAGAGAGGTGAAGACGTACCGAGGACAGTAAGGGCGATCTGGACGGAGTCTTCGCCGTGCTCGTTCTTAGAGGTGAGAACATACTTGCCAGACATCTTCCTCTGCGCCTTCATGATGAGCATCTTGGTATTGTTGCCCGAGGAGTCCACGCGCATCATATCCTTCGTCACCACCTCCTGTTCAAGGATAGATAGCAAGGGCTGTCGTGGGGGGAATGTTGGCCATCAGAGCGCGAGGAAGAGGGGAGGAGAGACGCCAGGATTCAACCCATCGACAGCAGCAGAGGAGGTAAACACCGCCGCCATGGGGTGGAGCGAGATGACCACAGCAGAGGCACCATCACCACCACCACCACAGCAGAAGAGGAGGCGCCCGGTGGAGGCCAAGTGAAGGAAGAGGGGAAGGGGAGAGGGGAAAAAATAAACCATGCATTACTATGTGAGCTACCAGTCAACACCCTCGCCCGCACCAGGAAGAAAGTCGGTCACCTCATACAAGCAGTGTGCATATTAAGACAAATTAAAACTAAAATATACTTATGGTTTATACAGCAGTTTGGTTAGTAATACTCTGTGATACATTATAATATCTGGCAACCTGCGGGAAGAAAAATGAAAAATAGATGTATAAAAAATATTGGTTTAAAGGATATGTATAACATTAATATATCATATAATTATATAATATATATAATGTATAATATAAAGACAGAGAAACAAGGAAAGGCTATACAACTGTACACAGACGACAGGGAGAAAGGGAAGGAGAATGGTAAATGATGAGACTTCAATGTTAGAACTTACAAAAAAGGTGAAAAATTTAGATAAAAAATATAATAGAAGACAAACATGTGTGGCCGACTTCCTCACAAGGTGTAGCGGACAGGTCCTCTTGGTGGAGGCGGGGACCGCACCTCACACACACACCTGTCAACTCTTGTGTGATTTATGACAACAAATAATCCACTGCGTGAGGTGAGACATTAAGGTGTAAACAAGTGGTGTAGGTCCCTGCGTCCTGGTCCGAGAGGATAGTTACTATGGTTACCACGGCGTCCGGGAGACCTGTGGTTAGTGAAGTGAAGATGAGGTGACAGACATAAGCCCGGGCTGCCCCACACCACCAGCTAGTCCGGGGCACCATGCAAGCCCTCCCTCATTCCTTCCTTCCTTCCCTCAACACATGCTGGGCCCAACACCCTCACTCAACACACACACTCCTTCCAAGCTTCAACCTCACACTCAGGGTCATAATACAGTATTAACATGTCTCTTGCCTCAACGCAACACCAGGCCGTCTCCCTGAGTATCGAGTGTTAGCTGGAAGGTGTGTGTGTCTGTGTGTGTTGAGTTAAAGAAAAAAAGTAAAGTAAAACTTTATGAGAAAAAATATAACCAACCAGCGAACATGATAAAAATAGGGTTTATTTATATTAAGGAAAAAATATGTGAATATTTAGAAAAAAAAATATTTCTGATTAGACACGTTGGCGCTGTCCTCGATAACACGTGAGGTTGTTCACCTTGTTATTTTCAAGAGTTATTTATATGGTTGGATCACCTGATATATTTATTCACTGAGTAAAACTTGGTTGAGTTGAGTGAGTGGACCAGACCATGCTGTCCGTCCCTCCTCGGCTGACACACTAGTACACCAACCTTGATGGCTACGTTCAAAAAGGACACGATGTTTAGGCTCCAAGACGAGTTTGTTTTTAATCCACCGTCCTTAATAATTCCTTGTTTAAATACCATAAACATTATAGAAGAGTGACCAGAGTTAACCAACGTCGTACACTTCACAACACAGGCACGGTGGAGTTAAGAACCATCGTCTCAGTCCTCTCCACAAACGCAACCTAAACATCCACGACTTTTTATGAACGCGCTATCTATAGTCTCCTACCATCAGACCCTCCGACATGCTTCTTCTCTCGTGATTAATGACAGAAGTTGGTTGAGATATTAGTAGAATCTAGTGAGCCACAGAGGTGACCCGGCCGCTACAGCAGTAATAAATATTGCTGTACCGCTCGGCCACCGTGTCCGTCCTCCCCTCCCGCCTGTACGCCACACTCCACTACCTGAAAGCGCAACTTTTTATCCCATTAAGGAGCAGCACAAAACTTAAATGGGGTAAAAATCGCAATCCTTTCAAAAGCACCTTTATAGGGAACCGAAACTTTGGACTTGACAGTGTAGCAAAGAATTGAAGACTTGATCATAACTTCGCGTATTACTGAGATCTAAATAATTTAACATATTATCTACACATTAAAAGCTCGAAAGTAAACATTATTTAATCTACACAGTCTACAATACAGCCATGATCAAGTGTTATTCTCTGTGCATGTCGGTGTGGGGAGGTGTTGGTGAGTGTGTGGGTGGCGGGGTCGGGGCTTGGACCTACGAGGTACGCTCTACAGATCACTCATGCTGGCCCACCAAGACGTAGCATCACAAGAGGCTGTACTGATGCTCCATCTTTCCTCCATCCTCCAGTACTGTGTGAGATGTTTGTGCTCATCTCTAGCCGTAATCAATCTCTACTGATCTCTGGCTCTCCTACACAAGGTAGGTCTCGACTGATTCTCAAGCCTAGCCCCGAGGCTGGGCCAAGGTCGCAATCATTTTGGAATAAAGGATCAGGTAATGACTGTAGACACTGACACTATGTAGTTTACATCTCTAAAATTATACCAAGAATGTGAAGGAACTAAATTAATAAAGGAAAATGAAATAAAATAATGCCAAGTTAAACTGAGTAAAGTGCTAGGTTGTCCCCTGTAGTTCCTGCACTTGACGAAGAGTTAGGTTTACTAATCATAATATCAACCTTAAAATAAAAGTAAATTAGTCAAATACTTCAAATCAACAAAAGAAAATAAACTACAAGTGAACTCAAATAAAGAAAATAATAAAAGTTAAGATTGTTGTAAGTAAATAACTGAACAAAATAAATTAATTCGTAACAAAAGCTAAATGGCCGTAACTGAAGTATGTAACGCGACAACATAATGGTCAGAGACTTATACAAATGAACAATATTATCACTTAAAAAAAATAAGATGTTAAATATTTTCCAACTCCGGAAACTTTTCATCATTTGTGACACAAGAAAGTTGTTTGAATTGCTATAACCTTGACACACACACACACAGACAGACACACACACACACACAGACAGACACACACACACACACATACTGCTAGCTACATCCACTCGTTAGTCATCCACGTACATTCACTCACCCTCATCCACCATCACACATCTATTGGTTTTTACATTTAAGTTCTCGTCTCTGTCATTATCACCACCTATAGCTCCCTCCACTCACCTATAGCTCCCTCCATCCACCTATAGCTCCCTCCATCCACCTATAGCTCCCTCCACCCACCTATAGCTCCCTCCACTCACCAATAGCTCCCTCCATCCACCTATAGCTCCCTCCATCCACGTATAACTCCCGCCATCCACCTATAGCTCCCTCCACCCACCTATAGCTCCTTCCACTCACCTATAGCTCCCTCCAGCCACCTGAATTCTACCTGTTATAAGCCCACCCACCAATGCCTCACCTGGGCCCTCTTTCAGCACCTGTATCCTCGTCTCCATACAAACTATCACCCATTCCTCTTGATCTCATCTACTGCCTTCACCCCGGGGAGCGACCACCTACCTTGTCATTGAGGGTCCACTCGTTGACAGGCTTGGGGTCACCGATGACATCAATGTCATAGAGGTACTGCTGGCCCACCTTGATCACCATGTCCTTCACGTTGGTACGGTCGATGAGAGGCTTACCTGTACAAACACACACAGGTTCAGTGTATGATACTCTGATGTAGATACTTAACATAGCCATAGAATTTGTGAATGTATATATTTACCTGTATGTCCTATAGCTAATTATATATTATCAGTATAGTTTTACCTGCACACACACACACACACACACACACACACACACACACACACACACATCTATCTGATCACTCCCTGCACTAACTTCTCCAATGTAACAATGGTCTGCTACATAGATGAAGTATAAACTAATTCCACGTTCTGAACAGTACATTAATATGCTACAGAAATAAGCCTCAAGAAATCTCCTTCACAAGAATAATATCCACAATGCAGGAACCAAGGGAGGGGAGAGGTGAGGGGGGGGGGGGAGGAGGGGATACTCACGGAACTTAGCGCGGGCGGTGTGTGGGAGAGTCGAATCAGATGGCTCGCCCACTCCGGCCTTGTTGATAGCCTTCACACGGAACTCGTACTTCTCGCCTTCCTTCAGGCCAGTAATAGGACCCTGACACACGTTGCCCTTGATCTTACCGCACTCCACGAAGTTCTGTAACACGAGGCAAAGACACAATAACACCGGGTCAGATGAGGGGGCAGTGTGGTAAGCATCAGGAGTCAGTGTTATAACTTCACAGAATGATTGATGACAGAGAAGAATTAGACAAAAAAATCCTATCATTATTTTTCTAGAAAGTTACACCAGAAAACAAAAAGAAGAGTTATCTACCACAATCATTGAGTCATCTACCACAATTATTGAGTCATCTACCACAATCATTGAGTCATCTACCACAATTATTGAGTCATCTACCACAATCATTGAGTCATCTACCACAACTATTGAGTTATCTACCACAAACATTGAGTTATCTACCACAATTATTGAGTCATCTATCACAATTATTGAGTCAACTACCACAAACATTGAGTTATCTACCACAATTATTGAGTCATCTATCACAATTATTGAGTTATCTACCACAAACATTGAGTTATCTATCACAATTATTGAGTCATCTATCACAATTATTGAGTTATCTACCACAAACATTGAGTTATCTACCACAATTATTGAGTCATCTATCACAATTATTGAGTTATCTACCACAAAAATTGAGTTATCTACCACAATTATTGAGTCATCAATCACGATAATTGAGTAATATACCATACCATCAGTCAACTACCACAATCAAAGTCAATACCACAATCAATAAGTACTACCACAATCATTGAGTCAACTACCACAATCATTGAAGCACCTATCGCAATAACAGTCAGATACTAGAATCAGCGACTCACCTACCACAATCATTGAGTCATCTACCACAATTACTGAACCATTTACCACAATCACACGGTTAACTACCACAATCACAGTTAACTATCACAATCATACAGTAAACTACCACAATCACAGTTAACTAACACAATCACACAATCAACTACCACACTCAGAGTTAACTATCACAATCACACAGTTAACTACCACAATCACACAATCAACTGCCATAATCACAGTTAACTACCACAATCACACAGTCACTACCAACACCCTATACTCACGTCAGAGTTCTTGGGTTTCATCTCGAGGACGTAGCCAGCGATCTCAGCTCCACCGTCCCTAATGGGTGGGTCCCACTTGAGCTTGACGCTGTTCTCGTCGAAGTCGATGATCTCGGGCAACCCAGGAGGTCCAGGCTTGTCTGTAGGTCAGGTGTGATGGCGGATCAGTAAGGACACGTAAAAACTCTCCTAGATGATGAATTTTGTGTATGTGTGTATATGTGTACAGTATGTTTGTAAGGACATGTATTTTATGTATCTGTATCTGGGTACAGTTTATTGATATTAGTTATTGGTATACATATGTTTGGGTATTTTTTAAATTTATATACTTTACGTTGACAATGTTTTCATAAATGGATCCTACAGTACTGCATAGTTGAAACAGTTTATCATCAATACCACTATTATTATTATTATTATTATTATTATTATTATTATTATTATTATTATATACAAAAAATCCGATATCGTCAATTTCAGTAAGATAAAAGATAAACACTACAACAGTAAGGAACGTACCGAAGGGATCCTTGGCGAGGATAGCTCTGTCGCCATCGAGAGGATCAGACTCGCCCTCGTCGTTGTGAGCCTTGACACGGAACTCGTACTTCTTGCCGGGCTCCAGACCAGTGACCTCCAGCTCGGGTGTGTCGCCATCAGTACGTCCACAAGGCACCCACCGACCTACACGGGCAAGAAGAGATAATCTTTACTAACTTTGATGTGGTCTATAACAGATTATAACAATAATCACTTACACACTGACTACAACAACCCTTACTGCCTACAACACTCAATGACTTATTTCTTCACCTTGAAATCTACAATAATGACAACATAACATGGAAGAGGACCTACCTGAAGTGACATCCATCTTCTCGACGATGTATCCATCGACAGGTACACCACCGTCGTCTTTAGGCTTGTCCCACTTCAGCTTGCAGCCCTCCTTGTGTACGTCTGAGATCTCCAGCGGTCCCTCGGGCTTGCCGGGGCGATCTGAGGGCAAATGGATTCACGTTACTTAAAATTCCTCAATATATATAGAGACAATGTTACTATTTACCTCCAGGAACTCAATTTAATTTCACTAAAAGTTTCATCGTCTACTTAAATGGAAAATTAATTCGAGGTAGATTTTCCCAGAACAATTGACACTGAATATACCGGTTCCTTCATAAGTGACGCTGATGTTGAAAAGTTACTCCTACGCTTCAACAACGAAGGTCTTCAAGCACGTATAAAGTTATTAAAAATGATTTAATTTTATTAAATAATGTAGAATGAAGAATTATGTATAACGTACTCCTATTAATATGAATGTACTTGTAAACACATGAATTTGTAACTCTTGATTTTGTAAATAGAAACACAAATGTAAATTAAACCAAACACAAGACCACCGAGGGAGGGAGAAGACGACAGTTAAGTCAGGGGAAATGTTCCTATTTTTACATGTAAGAGTTACGCGCCTCATACACCATCATACAGGTCACTCACCCAGCACCACAATTTCCAGCTCAGCTTCGTCAGAGCCGGAGTCGTTCTTGGCGTGGATCTTGTAGATGCCAGTGTGCCTTCTCTCGGCATCGTTGAGGGTGAACTTGGTAAGGTAGTCCTCAGGCAGGATGATGTAGTTACCACCAGTCTCCACCTGAGGGCAGCACAAGACACGTCACAACGGCAATAAGGTGTGGCTGTAACAAGAAGCTTCAACCGTTATTATGACTTACTGATACGTAGATTAACCCAAAGCTGGCATAAGTTATTACAGCCATAAGAGACTCAGGGAAGATGGAACAAATGGGAATATAGCCAAAGATGAAGTATAATAACAAATTATTTGATAAAGGTTAGAGGAAGGAGCAGATGAGGTGACAGATGACTAGTGTTGTACTCGAGCCACAACTGACGACCCGAGACATAATATACCTGTCATCACCCCTACAGTACACACTAACCCCTGTCATCACCCCTACAGTACACACTAACAGCTGTCATCACCCCTACAGTACACAACAGCTGTCATCACCCCTACAGTACACACTAACCCCTGTCATCACCCTACAGTACACACTAACAGCTGTCATCACCCCTACAGTACACACTAACAGCTGTCATCACCCCTACAGTACACACTAACAGGTGGTCAAAGAAAATTATCTTTAAACCGACGCATCAACAGTGAGTCTCCTCCCTCCTGCTGCCTCACCCACCTTCTTGTTCTTGAGTGTCCACCAGATTTCTGGAGGAGGTTCACCCTTGACGTCGACCTCGAGGAACACCTTCTGGGAGGCACGAACAGTGATCCTTTTCAACTTCTCGCGGTTGATGAGCGGCTTCACTGTGGAGGAGGAGAGTAAGGAAATGAGTATAAGGGAGATAAGAACAATAAGCAGGGGCAAGGAGAACAAGAAGAGATGGTAAGGAGGTGATGATTGAGGGAGACAGGAAGGAAATAATGAGGTAAAGGAGAAGAGGTCATGAGATAACCTAACCTAACTATCTTAGAATATATATTTAAGTTAGGTTAGATTTGGTTGGGTTGGGTTGGGTTGGAATGGGTTGGATTGGGTTAGGTTAGATAGATTAGGTTAGGTTAAAATAGGATAGGATAGGATGGGATAGGTTTTATGCTAAGTTAGAATAGTTTAAGTTTGGTTTAGTTAGTTCGTTCTGGTTGACAAAAAAAAAATTACGACAAAATTTGTGTCTGTATTTATACCGCCATATTGAAACCATAAATATATTGGTTCACGGAGAAAAATATTTATCCAACACAACAGTTCAATGATTTCTGACATTATCTTTACTCTACTGAACTTTCAACTAAAAAGCACAAAGGAGGCAGCTGAGCATTAAGGGACCTGGTCAGCTGTCCTACCCAAGAGGAGGTTTGACCACTTACAGAATCTGGCCTTGGCGAGGTGAGGCTTGGTAGGATCACCAGGTTCACCCGGACCAGCCTTGTTGACGGCCGTGACGCGGAACTGATAGGTGTTGCCCTCCTTCAGGCCAGGCACACGACACTCCCCTCCTTCAGGCCAGGCACACGACACTCCGTCTTGGGACCCTGAGGAAGGAACGCATCCCGTCATCAGTAACACAGTCCCTCACCTAACTTATATAATATAACTTTTTTACTGATATATTAACACGTGAGTCGAGACAAGTTTGAAATATTATCAGGTGGGAGACATGATTCTACCTTTACTTCTTTAATGTACCTGTAACTAGAGTCTTATTGTGGTGGTCGTGTATTTCTTAACGAAGTCTCACTCCTTCCCTGTGTTGTCTTGTGCTGATCTGTGCTGACCTATGTTGCCATGCTGTGCTGCCATGTACTGACCTGTGTTGCCATGTACTGACCTGTGTTGCCATATATTGACCTGTGTTGCCATGTACTGACCTGTGTTGCCATATATTGACCTGTGTTGCCATGTACTGACCTGTGTTGCCATGTACTGACCTGTGTTGCCATGTACTGACCTGTGTTGCCATGTACTGACCTGTGTTACTATTTACTGACCTGTGTTGCCATGTACTGACCTGTGTTGCCATGTACTGACCTGTGTTGCCATGTGGTGACCTGTGTTGCCATGTGGTGACCTGTGTTGCCATGTACTGACCTGTGCTAGTCTGTATTGGTTTATTGGTGTGATGCTCTGCCATGACTCTTACCTCAGACTCAATGATGGTCTCCCAGGAACCGTAACGTTCCTTCTTCTCGATGATGTACTTGGTGATGGGGGCGCCACCGGTGTCCTTGGGGGCCTCCCACTTAAGATCAACCCTGTCCACGTCCCAGTCCACTATATCCGGTATGCTGGGCTTGCCGGGGGGACCTGTGGGGGCAGGAGGAAGTGAGGTGAGAGGTAAGAAGTTTTCGAGGAAGAATGTCAGAAAATAATGTATATAATGATGAATTTAGGAAAGAAAGCAAAAAATAAAAGAACATTCAGTTGAGTTATAAGTTGTGGTAAAATATTATTTAATTTGTGTGATTTCCTGAAGGAGTGGAACAAAGAAAGAAACCCCAGCAGGAAGAAGAAGAAGAAGAAGAAGAAGAAGAAGAAGAAGAATAGGAGAAAGAAGACCTACCATAAGGATCCTTGGCGAGGGTTGCGTGCTCGGTCTCAAGGGGATCAGACTCGCCCTCTTCATTAACGGCCTTCACGCGGAAGTTGTACTCCTTGCCCTCCTGCAGCCCTGGCACGTCCATGGTCAGATCCTGCGGCAAAACACACGTCAGAACGTTACATAGGAGGTGGGAAGGGGTTAGGAGAGGGGGGGGGGAGGGGGAGGGGGTGGTTCACTAATAACATGTATATTAAACAGCTGCATAATCATTCACGCGTGATTATGATTAATATACAGTATGAGTATTGGTAGACACTAGTAAGTGAAACGCGGTGGGATATATCCGCAGAGTTTTACACCGCTCGCCGCTATGACACACCCAGCTGACGACACCCCCACGATTATTTACAGAACATTTTATTTAATCTTAATTTTATCGGTGATATCATTAATTGTGGTTCTATTTTCTTATTCTTACATGAGTCTGTAACATATAAAGACTTAAGGTTATCTAAATATTAACATTAATCTTACAGTAAAATAGTCAGGAGACAGCAAAGTAACAAGATATATATTTGACTATGTTTACAAGCTTATTGACCGATATACCACAACACGTTAAAACTTTCTAATACGAATTGGCAATGAAAGACAAATAAATTATCCCAGAAGTAGATTATATAACAGTTGAAGATCATTTCCCACTTAACATAAGATAACGTACACATAAAGAAACACAAAATAAACTTAAGTCTCCACGTACAGAATAAAGGCCACGTACAAAGCAGGAGCCACGTACCTTAGTCCTGCCGACGGGGACCCAACGACCAGTGATGGGGTCCTGCTTCTCTACTAGATACTCCTGGATGGGTTTACCGCCGTCGTCATCAGGTTTATCCCACTTCAGCTTACAGCCCTTCTTGGTGACGTCAGATACCTTCAAGGGACCCTTTGGTTTCCCAGGACCAGCTAACAAGAGTGAGATGTATGTTAGTGACCGAGTGTGTTGGTGGGTGAGTGTGTTGGTGGGTGAGTGTGTTGGTGGGTGAGTGTGTTGGTGCGTGAGTGTGTTGGTGCGTGAGTGTGTTGGTGAGTGAGTGTGTTACCTATATGTTCATCTATACATTTATTCACCTAAGAATAGATTAATATATAAACAAATGATCTTATGTAAAAGTGATCAGGTGACCTTGTGACTCTGCAATGACCTGGTGACCCCTTACCCTTATGACCTCTTGCCCTCATGAACCCTTGCCCTCATGACCCCTTGCCCTCATGACCCCTTGCCCTCATGAACCCCTTGCCCGGTGAACCTCCTACTTGACTTACAGAGGATGACGATTTCCACCTCAGCCTCGTCCTTGCCGTGTTTGTTGGTGGCGATGATCTTGTAGATGCCCGTCTGCTTCCTCTTGGCGTCTATCATGCTGAACTTGGTGTTGTATTCCACGTCGACGATCTCTACGTTAGTCTCCTTCACCTGTACAGCGACACACACACACACACACACGTTATAAATATATCGAGTAGGATTTTTACAATGTGATAGTTTTTTGTTTGATTTTACGACACACTTTGTAAATACGTCGAGAAGGAATTGCATTTTTTTTTAAGAAGTTAAAACTTAAAGATTCAATTAGTTTGTACAAGGACTCAACAGCTGGTCTGAGAAGCTCCTAAGATATTAATGCCTACACTAGCTGGTCTTACCTCTTGTTCCTTGAGGACCCATTGGACGGTAGGTGCTGGCTCACCCTCGATGTTGATATCGAACTTGACGTTGCGACCAGCCTTGACCGTCGTCGTCTTCAGGTGAGTGCGGTCGATGCGGGGTTTCACTGTCGGGAAAACAGAGCATCTCAGATCAGAGCAGGTCAACAGGTAAGTCGTCAAGGAAGAAGATGAGGTGAAAACAGGTGTGGTTCAACAGAGGCAACATTAAGTAAGTGAATGTCATGGGGGAGCAGAGGTCAATAAAGGTACTATTAATTACGATATATTATTAAGTGATGAAATATATCCAAATCACGACATACACGAGTTAATCGACTAAGATGACGGGCAGAAGAGCGTAGACGTAGAGGAAGGTGGCAGTAAGGTAAGGGAGACTTACGGGCCTTGTGCTTGACGAGGTGGTAGTCTGTGGCCTCAGACTCTGGAGAGTTACCAGCCTTGTTGACAGCCACTATCCTAAACTGGTATTCGGCCCTGTGCTTCAGTCCAACTACCTTGGTCTCCACGGGCGTGCCGGGCTTCGGCGGCTGTATCACATCCTGCTTCAGTTCTCCTGCGTTCTCCCAGTCTGGCATGAACCTGCAGGAGGCATCGATGAGGGTGAATATTATAATATTACGTTTAAGGCGCATCTCAGTTCTCTACAAAAGAAAACACAGCCGCTAACACCCTCCAGGGATACTTACTTGTCCTTCTTCTGGATGATGTACTTCATGATCGGGGCGCCACCGTCAGACTCAGGCACCGTCCACTTGAGGTCCACCGACTTGTTGTCGTAGTCGATGATCTCTGGACGGCCAGGAGCCGTGGGCACGTCTGAGGGTCACAAAGAGAAAACGAGGTCACGAGGGGCACACCAGGTCACACAACACTCACAAATAACATAAAGATAAGTGAAAACACAAGTAATAGAATTAACTTCTTTAAACGGCGAGAAATAAAGTTATGTTCCAGAGTAAACAGCTTCGCCTCAATGTATCATTCTTGTTTACTTAGCAGGTATAACATCAATTAACTACAAGGAAAAACGTTTAATCTGGGTTTTGATATACAGTGTAGGTATGTAAATATTGACTTATGTAATTAGTGTGTATGGTGGGAGAGGAAAGTGACGTGACTCACCATAGGGATTCTTGGCAAGGATGGCCTGGTCAGCCTCCAGAGGATCTGAATCGCCCTCGTCGTTGACGGCGGTGACACGGAATTTGTACTGGTGGCCGGGCTCGAGGCCTTCCACGTTGAAGTAGGGAGGAGCCAGGGCCCCAGGGCACTACGGGGAGGGAGCCAGATCACACACTGTACGGGGCCGTGGCAGGGCGGGGCAGGTAGCACCACACACGCCACGGAACTTATCGCTCAGGAAATAATATTAGTGTCAAGACTGGAGACAGAATAGAATGTAATTTAATGAAAAAATAAGAGCTAGAAAAGAAAGTTGGGCGAGAAATGAAACCAGAAACAGAGAATACGCACGAGGGAAGAAGTGCGCGGCCTAGCGAACTTGGGGCGATACATATAAAAAACGTTTTCTGATATGGGGTTAAGTTTAATGATGTATATTTTACTTTAGTTTAAGCGCGGCGGCTCTGGGTAGTTTAAAGAGAGATAAAGACAACTACAATAAGGACGACGACCCACCTTGCCGCATCTGACCCACTTGCCAGTAGCCAAGTCCATCTTCTCAATCTCGTACTCCTTGATGGGCATCCCACCGTCGTCCTCAGGCTTTTCCCACTTGAGTCTGCAGCCTGTGTCGTGCACGTTGGACACCTCCAGGGGACCCTTGGGCCTGGCTGGCTTACCTGTGGCACAAACAGTTCATTAACACTCCTTCACACACACACAGAGGTAAACCTGTGCATATCTAGTATAAATATATAACAATAGATATAATGAAAAGTCTTTAACATAAGTCAAGCATGACCAAAGACCTTCTTACACTATACAGAACTTGAAATAAATCGTAATGCAATTCTTTCGTCAAAGTACATCTGCTAGAAGAGTTTCGTGGTACAGTGTGTGGCATATAGAGAGCATGACCCAGCCTCACCGAGAACTACCAGCTCCACAGTCTCGCTGTCCTTGCCGTTGCGGTTCTCGACCTTGAGGGTGTAGAGCCCGGCGTCCTTCCTGGTGGCGTCGGTGACGGAGAACTCGGTGTGGTGGTCGGTGTTCTCAATGTGGATCCTGTCTGTGTTGGAGAGGATGTTTTCTCCGCGGCTCCACTCCACCTCAGGCTCGGGCTCACCAGTGTAGTCCACCGCCCACTTGTGGCTGCGACCGACCTTGATGGTGACCGACTTGAAGTTGGTTCGGTCGATACGCGGCTTCACTGTAGGGAAGGGATAGAGTATTATTGAGCCAACATCACACCCGCACATGGAACACGAAAAGCTCTTAAGCCACCATACACTAGAGTGCCCTAAATTTACAACTGTTCATTGACAGACACAACATTTATATAAACATTTAGAATGAAATATTATATAATATCCAAGGTTCACAAGGAGCGCTGAGAAGGAAGTCATTCTTACAGTTCCTGTGTTTGCAGAGGTGATTGTCAGTAGGCTCTGAGGCCTCGCCCACACCAGCCTTGTTGGCGGCGCGGACACGGAAGCTGTAGATGGTGCCTTCCTTGAGGCCGGGCACCTGAGCCTCGCAGTTGGTGTCCTTGGTTTGAACCACTTCCTTCCAGTCAATCGACAGCTTGTCCTTCATCTCAATGTGGTAGTGAGTGATGGGGCGGCCGCCGTCCTTCTCAGGGGGAGTCCACCGCAGGACGACCATCGTGTTGTCATAGTCGATGATCTCCGGCTTGCCCGGGCGGGATGGCTCGTCTGTAGACACACACACATACTTCACAATCTTCTACAACCTGAGTCTTCATAACAAACGGCCTAGCTTTACCCGATAAATTGTCTTTCAAAGTAATAAAACTGTAGTTAAGCTTTAAAAATAATATCGTGTAACTGCTTCATTTGGTCACCCCGGAGTGTATAAATCCCTTAACTTACTTCACACCCTAACATACTGTTATCTTCTTTACTTGTAATCTTTGTCACCTAAGTAAAACTGACTTTGTCTACTGAAACTCAATGTTACCTTCTCGTTCCCGTGAGTTTCCTGACCAGTTTAGCTGCGGTAAAACACACAACTGCAGCTCCTAAATGGTCTGGACCGATTTTCAACTGACTCCTTTGCGAGCCGTGAACCACATCTCCTCTAACCTGGCTGAGTCGTCGTCCTAACTGACTGGTCACCATGCAATAACTTATATGTCCGCATCTCCTAACCTGACGAGCTGACCTCCCAATACACCATCACCTCCCCTGCTAGCCTGGCCGGAGTCTGGGTAGGTGGGTGTGGCGGGACTTACCGTAGGGGTTGCGAGCCATGATAGGTTCATCGTTCTCGAGGGGCTCAGATTCGCCCTCCTTGTTAACAGCCTTCACGCGGAACTTGTACTTCTTCTTGGGTGTGAGGCCGTCCACGGTGAACTCCTGTTTATCCGGCCCAATCTGTAAAGGGTCAGAGTCTTACAGTTATCATTCTGGTAGAAGATTACCACTTACTTACCTTCTACAGGAAAAACTGGTTTAGTTAGTCTCAATTTAAGGGGATTCGTCTCGTTTTCTTCCTTATACATGTGTAGCTACCATCTTCACACACACATATTACTGACGAGTGGACCCAAATTAATCTTAGTTTTTTATCTATATATAAAATGATCGCTTGGTTAATATTATCTCAAAGATTTATTAGGTAAATGGTTAATGATGATTTATCTACTTATTATGTTAATAAGTTTTGACATCAGTTTACTTTTTAATTAGTGAGTTAATAATTTATACTTAAGAAAGAGGAAATTGGTACCCCTCAGACACACCGCAGGCAGGGTCGAGCAGGTGGTGCAGCAGAGGCAGAGAGTGACTCGCCTCCACCCAACACTCGTACTCACAGAGGCTCAACCACACTAGAGTGTCATAACAGCTCTCTCCATTATACAGCCATTCAAGAAAATGCTATGAAGGTTGGCCATAAAAGAGTAGAGGAGAAGGTGTCTTCCCAGAGTACAGCCAGGGAAGGCTCGGGGGAGAGAGGCAAGAAGCATCACGTCTAGAAAAGCTACCTGGACGTGAATCACTGGTTCCTGTGGGGGTTCCTTTGAGGAGCTTTTACGGCGTGACGAGCTCCTGGATTCTGTAGGAGCGGCTGGGGGAGCCTGAGAGAGTATGGCTCGCTGGGGAACCGCTATGTACTGTTGGGGGGAGAGGGACACGGGGGAAGTCACATGGGGTCATGTTGTGTGGTGAGGCGACAATGAGGCCGTGTCAGGTCAAGGCTGCTGCTGAACATTTCTGGACTTAAGAGTGTTGTGTGAACCAAACTGAGGAGCAAAGTAGATGTTGAACAAAAGGACATGTTACAATGGCTGATGGTGGGGACATAAACACACATAGGACATACGTGTGTATGTATGCATGAAGAGGGTAATAACAGGTAGACAGTAACAAATAATAAGATACAATAAACAAAGATGTATTAATACGTGTCTAAGACTGTGTTGTCTTGTGTTCTTGGTGACCACGTGCACACACCTGACTCTGGGAGCTGGTGACACGTGCCACCTGGCGTTGACTACCAGCACACTACACACCCTCAGCATTACTGGGGCACACAGTGTACACTACATGTCCTTCTTCTGCGTGAAGAGTACCTTGTCCTCCTCCACACACTACAGAAACCCTGACGTAAAGCGCCCCTCCCTCACACCCTCCCTCACACCATCCTTGACACTCACTTCGCCAGCAGGTATCCAGGCGCCGGTGTCCATGTCCATTTTCTCGATGATGTAACCCTCGATGGGCAGGCCACCGTCATCCTTGGGCTTCTTCCACTTGAGCGTGACATGGTCGGCGCGGATCTCCTCAGGGAAGAGCGGACCTTCAGGGCGGGTTGGTTTACCTGGGAGACACAAGGAGTGAGGTGGGTGTTGGCTGGGGGATAGTTACCTTATATTCTTCCTTCTTATACGCCATTTATGTGTTATGAAATTGGCTAAATTGCTATAGACTTTATACTGGGATCTGACACAGTTGGCAGTAGTAAAGGAAGAAAGTATGTCTAAGGTGTACAGTTGACTATCATTACGTCAGACGGCATCACTGACCTCGAGTTTAGTCTAAAGTCTGACAATAATGGTGGCACAAGTTTTGAGGTAGAGAACACACAGTGACCTACCGAGCACCACCACGTCGGCCTCCTCCTCACACTCGCCTACAGAGTTGACCAGCTGCAACTTGTACTTGGCGGTGTCGGAGCGGACGCCCTTCCTCAGAGTGAACACTGTGTTCCTCTCGAACTTCTCGATGGTAATCCTAGCCAGGAGATACACCATGTTGAGTTAGTCAAAATGTATGTAGTCTTTCAACTCTAGAATAACATGCAAGAAAGGAATTATTGCGAGGAGGGGGAGAGGGGACATAACCCTGATGAGAGAAGAGAAAGTTTTACATTTGGCGGGAACTGCTGGAGTACTGGGGGGGATAAACAATATCGTGTATATAATACAAGTCTTAAGACTTATATTGGGACTATTTGGACTGTGTAGATCTAAGAGACTTTCTTTGCTACATTGTGGTTATCAAGATGATTGATGGCAGGAGAGTGTGACTGAGTGGGGAGTCTGGGAGATGGAGAACACCCCAGACGTCCCATCAAGAGGATAACTGTGTGTCAACACCGACCCTAGGGCTGTGTAAACACCGACCCAAGGGCTATGTCAACACCGACCCATGGGCTGTGTCAACACCGACTCACGGGCTGTGTCAACACCGACCCATGGGCTGTGTCAACACCGACCCAAGGACTGTGTCAACAATGACCCACGGGCTATGTTAACACCGACAGAAGGGCTGTGTCAACACCGACCCACGGGGTATGTCAAAACCGACCTCACTCTCACGTGCACGCTACTGACACAGTCAACATTACTGAGGCAACTGCTGTATATGTTTACCTCATAATAATCCTATTTTGATACATCTGTCAAGAGTAAGCAAGTAGCACCGACAAGGTCCTAGAGAACAACAAACATGAAGACGAAACTGAACTTAAATGAACTTTGACTAACACTACTGAATTTGCACATGAATACATCATCTTGAGAAGAGTTGTTGACAACAATCATGCAATTGTGTACTGTATGTCTAGCCTAAGTCTAACATGCACTTATGAGCGAGCATATTGCTGCGTTAGCCTACGGCTGTCAACTTAGCACAAGCTCTACTTTGCTCACAACGCCAGATCTTGTTAGCCTCAGCATCAGCGTTTTAGCTAAACAGCAGTTTGATATATTGCAGCTTAACCTGAACCAATATATGCAAACCTTGGCATCAAGTGTATATCAAGAAGTGTGTATAAGAAGAGAAAATATTTATAACGCCGAAATGAACTCGGGAACCAATCATCAGTGGGCCGTCCACCTCGAGAGGAGGAGCGACTCCCATGCACACGCAACTAAGGCACAGTTCTCGTGGTGAAACATGACAGTAGTTCACACGGTAGATTTGTGTTCTAGCCGACAGAATACGTCGTCACAAGCGTCGCAGCCCTCACGTCGTACTTCAGGTGGAGTGACCGTCGTGGACCTCAATAAGTGTGAGCTGTGTTGTAGTCACTCAACTCGCCGTGGTCCTATAGTGACTTGCCACACTGGTATCCCAGTAACCTCCAGGTGGTGGCCATAATCTTAGAACCGTGACAATTCTCCTCAATGCCCATCCTTAGAGACGTCGCAAAAGACCTTCCTTGTGAAATGTCATGGTGATGTTTCCTGGAGATGCCACATGTGACCTTCTTCTGGAGGCGCCGCAAAGACCTAGTGTCCTTGAGTGCACCCCCCTTCCCAACACCACCCAAAAACACAAATCTTTGAACCATCTGTTTGTTTTCACGTCGAGAACTGTGGTATAATCTGATCCTTTTAGTGAGAAGAAAACACTGTTTTGTTTTATAATCACTGAAAGTCGATGTGAGAGAGAGAACTGTTGCCTTGACGAGGAACAAGAGGGGCGGGTTGTGGGGTTGTTTCACACTACGTCTGGCAACACCAAGACGACGCCGGGTAAAACAAAGTCAACAACACCCCGTCACTGACTATTGTCCCTCGTGACTCATTTATTTCGAGTTCTATGAAATGGATAAAGACCAATATCTTTTTATTCTATCTACATGAAAGATAGATTTATATTTATTAATCTACTAAATAATGATAGATAGATGACTATTATCCTATCTATTTTATTATCAAACAACAGTTGTCTCGAGCAGATAAAGCCGCTGTGTAGCTGTGTTAAGTGTCACTCGTAGCCATAGTAAACATTTCACAGCAACACTGGACAAAGGAAGGGATGGTAAGGTGTGTTAACAGGACATTATACGGGACATGATCTAAGACAGAATAAAAATAAACACAAAAATAAGACTCGCTTCCTTTGACTTAGAAATAAAAATGGAAGAAAAAATCTCCCCACTCAGTAAGGATATTTGGAGAGAAAAAGAATAATGAAAATATTAAAAAGTCGATATAAAAATGTACAAAAATAATGTTTTTTATATCATCACACTGGATGATAAAATCTGAGGAAAACACTGGAACAAAAAGAGTAATAAGGAAACTGTGTGAAAATATTGCTAGTGTAAAAAAAATTATGGGGAGAAGGAGGATAAAGAGGAAGGAAAAATAGGAAGAAGAGGAGCAGGATGAGGAGGAGGATGGAAGTGTAAAACAAAAAATGGCTAGAAGGAGGAGGAGGAGGAGGAGGGGGAAGAGGAGGAGGAAGAGGTGAGTGAGTGTCACTTTTCATTCTGTCTTAAATAACTAGATACTCGTGGTCACCTTCGGCAGTTGTAAGGATCAGGTAACCTGCAAGAAAACGATGTAGGTGTTTAATTAACCTGAGAATTAAACCCTTATCCCCATAAGTATAAATTACCTGAAAACAAATTAATACAAAATTCAAGAACATATTTAATAGTTTTTTTTTTAATTTATGTTGAGTTAATAGAGGATAATTTACACGTTTAACCTCTCCAAGCTTAGAGGGACGAGTAAACTACCTTGTTGGTTGATGTTTAGGAGTAGTTAAACCTTTAAACCTTTTAATTGGTTTAATTTAGGGTAGAATTCCCTTTTTTTGTAGTTTTGATATAATTTCACTTATATTCATTATACCATTAAGATATTCCATTGATGAATATGTGAGAAACACCTGTGATATTACACGTGTTGTTAAGGTAAATGGAAAGGTTAGGTTGAGGTATTGATTATCTCTAAGGGTACACCGTCGGCCCTTGGACTGCCCCTAAGACCCTCATGTCTATACCTATGATGAGTCCTCATGTCTGTAACTACACTGAGCGTCATGTCTAGATACAGCACAAGTCCAACATGTCCCTACACTCATCTGCCCTTCATCTGTCTTCCACCTATCCATCACCTCTGTCCTTCACCTGTCCCTCACCTCATACCCCCTACCGTTAGGCTACCATATCATACATTTCCTCCCACCCATGTCCAACAGTCTTCTCCTTCACATATTCTAAAGTTTCCCTCATACCACATGTCCAATTCACCTATATCCAAAACTTTCCTTCCCATTTTCTGTAGTTCTCTGTTCCTATGCCCCAGAGTTAGCCCTCATAAGACTCTGAGTTGGCCTTCCTAAGAGCCCCAGTTGAACGCCCCGCCCCCGTGGCCTCCCCAGGTGAGTGCCGAGCGTGGTCAGTCCCCACAGGGTGTGACGCTTACCTCTCCTCTTCGTCAGGCACCACCTCCTTGTCGTCCTTCTTCCAGATGACACGAGGCTCGGGCTCACCACCGTACTTCACGTCCAGCTTGAACAACTGTGTCTTCTTGATCACGATGTTCTTGAACTCGTCCTTGTTAATCACGAACGGCTTCACTGTAAGGATAAGGCAGGGTGAGATTACGGCGGTGGCAGGGTGAGATTACGGCGGTGGCAGGGTGAGATTACGGCGGTGGCAGGATGGTGATGGTGTAGCGAGAGGGTGAACCTTACCTGTATGTTGAATTGTGGTAATTAAGATACACATCTACTGACACGGTAACTCCTCAAGACTTAAATATAATTTTTGTGAAATTTACTGTATGTAGATGTCATGTTAAAAGACCAAGTGGGGCTTACCGAAGCGGTGTTTGGCCTGGATGGGCTTGGTGGGATCTGACGGCTCGCCAGGACCAGCCTTGTTGACGGCTCTCACACGGAACTCGTACTGGTTGCCCTCCTTCAGGTTGGGGATGGTTCCCTCCGTTACGTCTCCCTGGATCTCGATACCTTTGCTCCAGTCTGAGAAGCGGTCCTGAGTAGGGAGGATACAGTGTTAGAGATGGCAGGGGTGGGAGGCCCGCAGCGGTAGGGGGCATCCGGAGGGAACAAAGGCAGGGAGGGGGGTTGTAGGGAGGGAGGGTATTCTACACAATAGGAGGGGGGGGGGAACTACAGAGAATTTCAAGATTCATTTGTTTTGGGATGACGAGTAACAAGAACGCACTATGGGTTTGTCTTAATTAATACTTGATGATGTTGTTACATCTCCTGCTGTAAAACTTGGACACAAGGGGGGGCAGGAGTTGGTTTACTAGTGAGGCCACGTGATTGATAACGTTATGTGTATTAACAAAAGTTATCGAGTAATTACAACGTGAAGCGTCAAGACTGACTTATAAAATGAGAGAGGAAGCTTTATTTAAGAGAATATATTTGACTAAGTTGATTTATTCTACAATATTTCAGAGAATTAAAACACACCAAAGAGACAGGTGAGAGAAGAAGTGTTTATGTAGCAGCATTATATAACCCGGATACAGGAGGCACAGGTAGACAAGGCCGGGGGAAGACGCTCACTCCTCCGGGGACGCCCTCACCACCACCCACTGTACTGTACACCTTGTCCGGGAGTGTACTGTACATACACCCTGTGGCGGGACCTGAGGCTGTGAGTGATGGTGAATGGTGTTCCCGCACGGTGAGGGACCCGCCATGACTTACTCTGTGCGTCCTAAATAAATATGAAATCATGGAAATTCCATAATTTCACTTATCCTGGCTGAAGCCATGTAACGTGAGGACCTTGGGATGTACTGCAGACTCTGGGCCATAATAAACCCGCAGCTGACGTCACTGGTCAAGCTGGTGTGTTGTAAGCTTCATCACTGATAAAGCTGACGTGTCCTGACCTTAAGGTGAAATTGGTGTGTGACAAATTCTGCCACAATTCAGGGTGGATCATCAGGTGTCAGCCATCTCTTTCGTTTTAAAATTTCTATCAAGTGGATATAAAAACATATCTAATAGTCCCATTTAAAAAAAAAATCTAAATATCTTCAAAATGGCGTCATTATTACACTGAGACTCTTGTTAAGTTTAGCCGCATTAATTAACACAAGTCTTAAGTGAGTCCAGGTACTTGTTGGCCCAGCCTCCAGCACAGGTATTTCCCGAAGGCCTGACACCCACCAGGAGTGACAGAAGAGTCTCGTGTGGCTGATACCTATTGCTGTTGAAGGTTCGCGTGAGTGAGAGACAGACAGACAGAGACGAGTGTTAGACAGGACCACACCGCACACCTAAATCGATACTTTTATACCAAGTTATATTTTACTTTTCATGTTGTTTTTTTATTCATGGCTAAATTAATGCTTTTGTGCATTTTTTAATACATAAATTTATCTACGATGTATTTATGTGGAGTGATATTATTTGATATGGTTTATAATAGTGTTATACTTAATCGAGGTTATATAAAGATGTTATTGGTGAAGGATGATAACTTAAAGGTGTTAGATGGTAGAGAGTTAGTTACCACAAGACAGCACAAGATAAATAAACAATACAGGTTATAAGTTGGCACCCCTCACTGAAAAGGAAAAAAAAACTGACTTTTTTTTTTAAATATCTTCAAAGTACATTACGCAGAGAAAATCTAGATCTGCACTAGAAAATAAATAAATGGTGGACAAATAGCTCGATTTATTTGTTTCCTAGTGCAGAGAGCGCGGCCCAGCCAAGCACTGGGCGGATCTACCAAAGCTCTAAGATAGATAAATCACCCATAGAGGAAGAGATACCGTGACGTCATTCTCTATTGTAAACCTTATGAAACGGCCTCATAACGTTCATTCTCCTGTGTAATGTAAACCTTACTTCATCTCCTGACTTTCTCTTCAACTTTTACTTTTTCTTCAAATTTGATTCGTAAAAAAAAAAAAAATAAAAAAAAATCAGAGAAAAAAGGACATAACTGCTACGTATAATCCCCCAGCAGTTAGAATATGAACGTTACGTCCCCGGGTTCAAAGGTTTATTATAGGTGACAGCGCCACTTGTGACACTCTTACACCGAGCCCTGGACACAGTCTTACCACCTCTCCTCCTTCAGGCATAGCGCGAGTCTGTTGAGCGACGGTACATGTTATCATATGGTAACTCCTTCAGGTTGCTCCTCTCTCTATATATGAGTTAGAGTGGGTGTGTACGTGAATGTATATATGTGCGTTTTATGTGTGTACGTGAATGTATATATATGTGTGTTTTTATGTGTATAGGCCTATGTGAATGCGAGATAGAGATTTAATAAAGATGTACAAAACTGATTCTGGTAACATTAACATAATCCCTATAACAATGTTGTGTTTATAATACTGTTGTGTCAGAGGAACTTCCTAAATTAAAATAAAATAAAAACAAATAAATAAACAGATAAAACGGAACACAGGCCGATGATTGGCTAAGTGGTGGTGGAACTTGTGACGTGAAATAGACGTATTTTAACACCAATGAGAATAGCTGTAAGTCACATATAGTTCTTCACCACTAAGTCAACCACGGTAGTATTTGTAAGGTATTATTATCATTATATCTCACAAGGACATTAACAGGGGCTCACCAGATTGAATACATTAAAGTTATTGATATTTACTGTACAAGGAACAAATTGTACGGGAGCCAATTAGGGTATAACGTAACACAGTTTGTGGAGTTTAATGTTATCATCACTTTAGAGAGACATAAAGACAAGATCAATACAAACACAAGATTTATTTCTGTTTTGCTTGTTTTTTTTAGAATTGTCAAATGGGAAACACCAAGAGGACAAAATTCAAAGACAATATCACACGTATTTTTTTTTTTTTGCTCATGTTTTTAAGACACACGACCTGAGCTGGATAACGAGGTACACAACACACATTCACAAGAGGCTAAACATGTCACTAAAACTATGGGAAAAAATTAATAACACGGTAAAGACATTATATAGGAGAGATAAAATTCCACATTCATAGAAGACAAAAATATAATACAGAAAAAAAAACGCAAGAGAAGAGAAGAAAAAATAGAATGGAGATATAAGTTAAAAAAAAAAGTGTGTGAATCTATGTAACTAATTCACGTTAGTTATTTGCCTCGACAAGGAAAAATAGTAAAAAAAAATAAAATATAAACAACAGTAAAGGAGAGAGAGGTTGGAGAATAGGAAAAACAAAACAGAAAATAAAAGTTGACTCACTATTAACAGACCTATGAAGTATTCGCCGATAAAGTCTATTCTCGTAACACAAACTAATTAATTTGTTACCAGTCTTCCTACACTCAGTAGTCACTAGCATCTTCTACTTCTAGTAATTACACTAGTCTAACTTACATTACTGACGCTAATGATAACTATACTATACTAGGCTATCCACTTCATATTTCTATACTAAGCTATTATCGGGTCTATGCTAAGGCTAGACTGTATTAACCATCCTTCTCTCAACACAAATTACCACTACTTTGTAATTTACACTTTATTGCTTAAGATTTACGGAAGGTTATTACAAATGACTATGTTAGTCTGCATACGATATCCTAAGCTGTGAAATATAAGCAACATTCGTCCATATCCCCGAAATAAGTCCTCTCTCGAGTAGCCAAGACCTCCCCGACACTACTGACGAAGGCTGTGATGTAACTTACCCTGAACTCGATCACGTAGCCAGTGATGGGGGCACCACCGTCAGTCTCCGGCCTGGACCACCGTAGGTCAGCGTGTTCTGGACCCCAGTCGTTCACCTCCACGTGCAGGATCTTGCCAGGTTCATCTGTAGTGCCGGACACGTGTGAGGAGACGCATGGGGCAGGAGGAGATATGTTGCCATATACAATATATTAAGTAAAGTTCTCTAGCCTATTACAAAGACCTGAATGTGGATTTCATGGTGAACCTCCTGGATACAACTATGGCAACTTGGTGGGAACAACTTGGTGGGAACAACAAATACATATACCCCCTGTAGGTACGTTAAGTAACAAGTAAATACCACATGACATAAGTAACTCTTGCCCATATTTGCTACTCACCCCATGGGTCCTTGGCCAGGATGACCTTGGGATGGATAGCCGGGTCGGAGGCTCCCAGCTTGTTACTGACGGTCACCTTGAACTTGTACTGCTTCTTGTTCTCTAAGTCCTCACACTTGAAGCGCAGAGGCTCGTCGGCCGGGATCTCCGCCACCTGCGCCCAACCACCTGTCGGGGGCGTCAGCGAGACGGATTATTACCTGTGCATGGCTTTCCTGCTGGGGTGTTAGTACGTGATGTGAGGTACTGTGAGGTTGTTGTGAGGTACTGTGAGGTTCTTGTGAGGTACTGTGAGGTACTGTGAGATTGTTGTGAGGTACTGTGGTTGTTGTGAGGTACTGTGAGGTACTGTGAGGCTGTTGTGAGGTACTGTGGTTGTTGTGAGGTACTGTGAGGTACTGTGGTTCTTGTGAGGTACTGTGAGGTTGTTGTGAGGTACTGTGAGGTTGTTGTGAGGTACTGTGGTTGTTGTGAGGTACTGTGAGGTACTGTGAGGTTGTTGTGAGTTACCGTTACATCCTTCCCGGTGCAGCCTGCGACATACACTGAGTACAGACGTTGAGTACAGTCACTGAGTACAGACACTGAGTACTGTACTAATCCGTTCCGTGAAAGTATATTAGTGTTGCAGATGTTACAAGTATCTACCTGAATGATTACACAATTAACTGTACTTACACACATCATGTTTATCCGTGTTAGTTTATGATATGAAGTGGAAGTCAACTATTTGTGTAACAGCGTCGGATGTCATTTGTTAAACCCTCACCATCAAAAAAAAACCCAGCGCCAGCACGAGCAATCAACAACGTCTGGTCGAGCTTTCCCGCCTATCTCTATACAGGAAAGTCACGCCAGACAAATTTACTGCCAGTACTATCGCTCTTTTATGACACAAGTATGATATTGGTATTGTTAGTTGCGAACATCATTTATTGTGTTTAATTGTTGTTTTTTTCGTGTTATTTTTGGTTTATTTGTATTAAGAATCTGCATATTTTAGCTAATCATTAATTCATTTTTTTGTGCGTGTAGTTCTTTAACATGTGTTTGTAAATTTATAAATATATAAAACATTCCACAGGTAAAAAGTGTTTTATTTTAGGTATATTCTCTCTTTGTACCATAATGTTCAAAGTGTTTCTGGTTTCTTTTATTTTTTGTAAGTCTTTAGTGTCTTAAAATTTGTCTATATGGATAAACAGAGTCAAAAGTGGATAGAAATATGTCTTGAATGGAAACTGCAAGAAGACAGAGTCAAGTCTTTCAAAATTGGTCCAAAGTGGTATAACAGTGTCGTATAAGAGCGTGGGAGTGTTTAGCAGAGCAAGCCACGTCAGAGCCTGGTCGATGGACTTAAATATAAAGAAAAGTTTGATCAAGAAATTAAGAAGATTCACAGAGTATTGAAGAAAGACCTTGAAAGATCAACAAGTAGTGAAACAGACTTCGAGAAGAGATTAATAAGCTTCGTAAAGTCTCCAGAAACACTCTTATATAGTTAAACAATATTGGAAGAGACTTTTATGAAAAGATTAGTGAGTTTCGTAGTCTTCAGAAAAGCTCTTGAAAGTCCAGGAAGTATTGGGACACCTTTTTTTATTTTTAATCAAGAAATTAGTAAGAATCGAAAAGTCTTCAAAAAGCTCATTAAATGTCCAAGTTATAGCTGAAAAACTGGTAAGGCGAATGAGAAAACCGAGTTACTTATACAAGCTGGTCAATACTACTATTGTAAGTGATATAAGTGGCCAACAGTATGAGTGAGACGTTCTTATACTTATTATTATTGGATGAAACGTCGTAAGTAAATGCCAAAAAAAAGTCTCACTGTATTTGATGGTCAGAAAAAGTTTGAAATAGCGAGTCGCAAGGGAGAGAATATACGAGGCTGGGTGGGTAGGCTGGTTGTAGTTACCTCACACGTAAACACCTTCCCACTGCCAGATTGAAGTTACCATAAAGTAAATATTAAGTTATAAATCCTAATTATTTTCTAGTTAACATGTTTCAAGACAGTTATTGAAGAACATGTAAACACAATCTCCTGGTAATTGTAATGGGTAATAAGCAAGAATTTAGCGTTGATAAATAAACACCCATCGGGCTCCTCTTGCGGGTCGCTTGTTCACTAACTTGTGGAAACTCGTCAGAACTAAGAGATGTTATTGACGGTTCCAGAATGTATTAACTGTCAAACGTATTACAGTAGTTATGAGAAATAATTGTTCTACGGATATTATAATTTTCAAGTTTGAGAATCGAATCAATTCTCAAACTTTTTATTAGAAGTGAAGATGGAAGTAACAGTTTCTTCATGGTAGTAAAAATTTGCTCATAGGTGTTAAAAAATAATAACGAATACTTGTGTTTGTGTGAGTCGTGAAGTGAGGGTGATTATCATGAGTCACCAATAAAGATCCGTAGAATGAGTCACCAAGAAATATAGACAGGCAGCGAGACAGGCAGACAGACAGACAGGTTAGGTCGTCTCTTTGTCACAGTATTGCTGGTTTACCTTCGTCAGAACCAACTCTATACTTTAAAACAGATATAAGCTATAGGATTTCAATACCTTAACCCTAAAAGAAAATTAAAAATATATAAAAAATATAAAAATAATGGCCCAAAAATATATTGCCTCAAAATAATATTTATTTATATGCAAAATCTGTGTGAAAAATTTTACTGAGAATTCCATGCACTTGTGTTGAGAGACTTGCTTCACCACGGCTAGCTACTAGTACACTTCCTAGTACCGGGACTGAGGCATGCTAGTACAGTACAACTACAACAGAAACATTCTGTACATGTACTGAGTGTAAACAAGAGCTGACTGTGTAATAAAAAATAGTTAAAAAAAAATGTTGCCCCTTTAACGTGAAGAAGCGAAACATTTATGTGTACAGTGAAGGAAGTCCGTTATAGAGATGGTCCATTAGGTATGAAACCCCCATCTAACGGATCATATGGAGAGAAAGGTCCGTTATATGAATGTTTCACTGTATGTAGAATTATTTAAAATTTAGTAGATATTCTCTTATATCAACATTTAATTCACTACCACACAAAAGATGTTTCATTTGGGGACATTAAAGGGGCTATGTGTATATTTTTTTTAACCACTCTGTTATGTCGTTGCTTAAAAACTGGAATTTTCACTTTGTTTTTCAGATAAACTATGACTAAACTATAACAAATGAACTAAGTAAACTATTATCAGATATAAAAAATAGTATATTATTTACTAGTTGCCATAATTTATTTTTTATTTTTTTTAAAACCTTTGTTGTGTCTATATTAATTAATTGTATCTATGAAAAATATAAGTTGCATATTTTATGTAAGAAAGTTCATTATAGACATCTATCTCTACAAAGTCCAAGACCTGAGAAACACTAAAGACTATAATGTTAAATGCTACTTTATTTCTTTATTAAACAATAAATCTATACTGCGGTTTGTTGTGTCAATAACTAGGATAGTTTATGCAAGCAATTTTTAAAACACGATTTCTATTATTAATTTCTTGGTGAAGGATTAATTATGGTTCATTGTTTCATGGTTACATATTGGTGAATTATTGAAATGAGAATTGAATTACATATTGATTTTTGTTGTTTTGTTCATCTTGAGTGATTCATTTAATGTTTTGTGGATTTATTCACACAATTTGGGATCTACTCGGGTGATGTTTATTATGGAAAGGGTAAAAAAAATTCCCTTGATTATTTAAGAGAAATAACAAAATTCTCTGTTGTCCTCTTGGTTTAAAAAAATATTTGTTTTCTGAAATTTCTTAAATTAATAAAAATAAAACATTCTGCATCAACATTGTACTTATTAATGAAACACATACGTGGATTATTGATTTACAAAGAAAAGGAAACTGTATTTAGCGTTTTAAGGAACCAAGTGAATATTATTTATAATATCGATGTGTATGTGTTTACGCTTAATAATAAGGTACAATGTAGATGGAAAATTTGAAGGATTTTATAATAATAGCATCTCAGGCCACAGCAGTTGCATTATGTTAGTGAACACTCTCTACCTGTTCGTTCCCAGATTCTCGGATGTGTCGCTGTTGGGAGAGGAAATAAAATTGTCAACACGAGTTCGGGAGCTCAGTTGACTGCAGAAGTAGTTCAGGGACTCAGTTGACTACAGCAGAAGAAGGGCTCAGTTGACTAAATATGGCGGGATCCTTAATTCTAGCAACTAGGATGACCAATGTGTTTTTGTGGCAGGTTAAAGGCATGCAATAATAAAGGTGTTGTAAAAAAAATAATGGGTACAAACGTGTATTGTACTGTATCTGACACATGAACACAAATGACCCATTGACTGAGTTTGATTATAATATGACAACCTTTTAAAACAGATACGTTAATTATATATTTCTGAGTTATCGTTGAGAATTACAAAGTATCAAAACCATAGCCATTTTTTTTTATACTGGCTGCCACAAAACCTCTTGGAGAGTGAACTAAAGCACTAACTACTATAGCGTCCGTATTTTTTGGGCAGTCATCATAGAGATCTAAATATGTCCTGCCATGTCCTTCACTATTGCCAATATCTAAATTATTACCATCTGTATCGACGATGTTTTTGAGGGCCGATGAACAGAGATAAATAACTTATCTATCACAGGCTTAAGGAAGGGGATTACTAGTCGAATATTTAATCTCATTTAAAGCTGCCTAGAAAATACTGACCACTGGCTTCCATTTTTACAGTACCACTTCCTCAGTTATATGTGAGGAAGAGAAAAATAAGCTTTATATATACATGAAAATCTATCTAAAAATAACCTTATTGTAAAAATAAATTGAAAATCCTCTCTCGTAAATAAGGGAGGTGATAATTTATAGTGATAAGAATATAAAAATTTACATATGTACAATTTGATAATATTTGAGAGTTTGAGTCACCGTCCTGTGGAGACATATTCGTTTATATCATGAACAAGTTTGGATATTTACAGCTGATGACAGACAGACAGACAGACAGACAGATAGGCTCAGGAAGATGCTAGGATATTAACACCATACTGACAGACACTCAGTAACTCACACGAAAGATAATAAGCATATATGTACAGCCCTTGATTGGGGTAAATGTCCAAAGAAGACAAGCACAGAACAAACGAAGAGGAATAACGACAGAGAAACAAAGAAAAAGTATACAAAATAAAATGTAATAAAATAAAACAGAAATTTCCATTTGTTTCTTTGTGATGAGATTAAAAAAAACATCATCACCATAACACCAACAAAAACGGGATAAAAAAAAAAAAAAAAAAAACATCAACAACCAGGAGTTCATAACCAATCAAAAATAAACTCTGGTAAAACTTGAACTTCTGGTTGGTCAGATGGTGAACACTGATCAACTATATAAGACAAGATTCCCTCAAGTCTCGATGTTCTCGGCGGAATACGAGTAATTTAGGGAATCTGAATAATCAAGTTCTTCCTTCACTCACAAAACAGAACACCAACAAGTCGACAACCTGTACACACACACACACACACACACTGTCACACACACACACACACCCAGACGTGAGCTGACATAGGGATATAAGACCTCCCCGCCCTTACCCTTCACGGCGAAGTCCTGTCGCTCGAGGGTGTAGTAGGTGAGAGGCAGACCACCGTCATCCTTAGGTGGCCCGAAGGTCACCAGGCACGACGTGGAGAAGATCTCTGACACCTAGAAATAAGGACGTGACTTACTGAGACGGAGAGAGGAGGGGAGAAGATACGACTGAAGATAAATGGTGAGAGGACCGGAGGATGAGAAATGAAGAACTGGAGAGGAAGATTGAAGAAGAGGAAGATCAGAGAAGAGAGTACAGTATGGGGAAAACAATGGCTGGAGGAGACAAGAATAGAAAATATGTAGAAGGAATAATGAAAAACAAAATTCTTGAGAAAAAACAAAGAAGGAAAAGAATAATACACGTCATAAGAATATATAAAGAGTAATATTAGTTTCTTGAGACTTTAGTATAAATTGAGAGATAGATAGATAGAGAGAGAGAGAGAGAGAGTCAAGGAGAACATTGGTCAGTACCTCAATATTGGTAGGTGGACTAGGCTTGTCTTGCATGTTGATCTTCACTTCCTTGCTACTCTCACCAGCCTTGTTAGACATCCTGATGGTATACTTGCCGGTCTGGTCTCTGCTAGGCTTCTTGATCGTGTACACCACCTTCTTCTCCAGGATGGTCACCTCTACATCCTTCACGTTCATGGGTTTACCGTCCTTCAGCAGCTTGGCATCGACCTTGGTGATCCTCGCGCCAGGGACTGTTGTTGTATGTCAAGGAGGATGAGTGTCATGAGTTCTGTTGTGGTGGACGATGTGGGTCTACTATCCTGTTTGACCATGGCTATACCCAGACAGTCCTGAACACACACACACACACACACACACACACACACACACACACACACACACACACAGACGCACACACAGACACACACACACACACACGTATATCCTCAGGACTTAAACACACTAACTATTATAAAGACTCCCCTCCTAGACCTATGACCTTTTGACCCACTGAGCCATTGATCTAGTGATCCTGACCCACTAAGGCATTAACCCCGTGACCCTGACCCACTGAGCCATTAACCCCGTGACCCTGAGCTGCTAACTCACTATCCAAGTTACCCAACTGTGTGTGTACGTGAGACTCACTGGTGTAGGGAACCTCGAAGACCAGAGGCTTAGTGACAGGGCCCTCAATAGGCTCCTCAGGCTTGATGCTGGGAGGCTTCTCGCCCTCACCCACACTCAGCTGACACGCCGTCTCGAGGTTACCACACACCGCCTGCAGGAGAACCACATCAGAACCCAGTGTTACAATGATATATTTTTTTATCAGTAAAGACTATGATTATCTTGGTATGTTATTGTTATAATTGTTTTTATTACTGTGATAAAATGATTTTCCTCGAGAATAATCACAGCTGTAAACAAATCGATCAACAAATACTACTGCCTCTTTTCGTGGTCACACAAGATCAGCTGAAGGGCAAAGACTCACCTTAATCTCGCCCTCGTGCTCCGTGGAGGACGACTTGATGATCAGTTTATGGACGGCGCCCTTCTTGACGATCTCGTAGTTATCTCCTTCGGTCACCTCCTTGCCGTTGATGAACCACTGGAGGGGAGAGTTGGGGTCCACGAGCTCCACTTCGAAGGTCGCTGGCTGCCTTTCATAGGACATCTGATCCTGCAGCTTCTTCTTGAATTTGTTTTCGTCTGTGGGAGGTCAGGGAGGAGTTAGATCGAGGTCGAGGAGGAGTTGAATCGAGGTCGAGGAGAAGTTAGATCGAGATCGAGGAGGAGTTAGATAGAGGTCGAGGAGGAGTTGGATCGAGATCGAAGTAGACCGCCCTTGGGAGGAGTATCTACAACTCAGGGATATTAGGACTCATTTTAACCCTCCGAGGAGAAGAGGGTTAAACCATCCTCCTCTAAAGGTTCAAGATAAAACTTAAGACCAAACAGGAAATACTTCAGCTGGAAATGGTTGAAACATGAAGACCTGAATCTATGATGTGTAGTGGGAGGTGAACACTGACCCCCAGGTGAGGAACATTGACCCATAAATCACCACCTGCCCCGTCACCATACGTCACCACCTGCCCCGTCACCACCTGCATACTTACACTGGACGATCAGCTCACAGGTGGTCTCGTCGGCGTTGGTCTTACAGGTGTAGTTGCCGCCATCATCCATAGTAATGCTCTTGAACACCAGCTGCCGCTTCTTGCCGTCCTTCATGATCTTGAGGCTGGAGTAACAAGAGGGAGTGTCAGTCCAACCTCACTTCCTCCGGCTGGTGATCGCAGGCCCAGGGGAGGAACACACCCTCCCCCAGCTGGTACTCCGAGACACAGTACTTACTCCTCGAGGCTCTACTGTGGAGTAATAGTTCCCGGATCATGAAAGATTATTGTATGAGTCGTATCCCGATGTCAAGAGAATTGTGCTTAAATGTTGCATCAGATTCGTGTTGCAAAATCAAAACCATCTTGAATCGTAAGCATAGTTTCGCTTAAGTAGCTAAATGCGTTCTTATATCTCCAGTTAACAGGAGAACCTTTCAGAATCCGGCTCCATCAAACCCCGAGGAGGTAGTGTGTGTGTAGAGGCAGCTGGTGAGGACTGGTGCCGCCCCCCGAGGCCCACGTCCACACATGACTGTCTATGTTAGTTCTTTATTGTAGTCATGGATTGTGTCGTAGTACTTCACTGTATAGTTTTCGTATTTCGTGTGAGGTTGTCTGTTGCACATATTACTATCATGTCTTTCCTTACGATGTGTTAAAAAAAAATCTTTGCGTATTCAGGATACAAAAATGTCCAAAAACATTATTTGACACTGTTTTATGATATCAAAAACATGTTGCACCGTAAGGTACCGAAACAAAAACAAAAAGCAGGAAAACGGTGGAATACAACACACAAAAATAAGGACTGGAAGCAAAAAACTTCAAAAAACAAAATTCAAAACTTCACAGTACACTCATTAAAAGTTCGTGCTCAAGTTTGTTTATTTGGCTATGACGCTCGCTGAGTGGCCTCAGGAGCAAATGAAAAATGTGGTGCTTGCTGAGTGGCCCCAGGAGCATCCGTGATTGGTGCTCACCGAGTGGTCAGGGACGCGTTCCGCAACTTGTGGCCCCGTCAGGCCCTCTGCCTCCCTACCCTTCACCAACACGCCAAAGACAAGATCAAAACACTACTACGTAATAAAAAATAACAATAGCACTCCTTAATATTTTAAGCAAAAATATAAGTCCTAAAATAGGACTTGGGTGGATGAGGAAGTCACATATACAGTATATTCCTTCTATATATGTATACGCTAAAGGGAGAGGGAGGAAAGGTCTTCTACATGAAGGTAAATAGTCACAAGGAGATAAAGGCAGAGAGGCAAACCGTAACTTTACTTAATAAATAACTTGGCAATAGGACACTTTTTAACTGAAGTTGAATGAGTGGACAGATGCGGAACGCGGCCCCGAGCTGAGTGCACGATAAGCTGGCTAACGGCAGGGGAGGCGCTGGGTGTTCCTGTCCCGGACTCTAGGGGGACAGTTCACCCCGTCTAGCTGGCTGTCACACTACCTAATCTTTTGGGAAAAGTAATGTGACAGTGCCTTGCTTTAAGGGGACCCTAGCATCTGGGACAGGAAGATCTGAACTCGTTGCCCTGGACGGACGGACGGACGGACACACAGACACAGTCTTTAGTCGGGAGAAGCAAAGCTGGAGCAGTAGCTAGGCGAAGGAGGGAGGGAGAGAAGGAGTGAGGGAGGGAGGGTCGACGGTGTGTTACTCCCAGGACATTGGTTGTCCTGTGAAGCAGTGGTTTAGCTGGCAGGTTTACATCGATATCGGTTTAAAGTTTTTAGTTTAATTTCGCTGCTTCGTTTTAATGGTTTTTAGGCCTATTTTTTTTACATTTTATCTTTTATCTCGTGTTGTGGGTCATCAGTTTTTATTTTTGCTGGGTAACTAGTGGTAGGTCACCAGGAGTTGAGATCTGGACCTTATGGGGTTGTTGGCTGATGTCCAGACGCTTTGGTCGGATTGAGCGGAAAGTGAAGTATTAAAAAACCAGTAAGACATAAAAAAAATAATAATATGAAGTTGATACCAAGGCCAAATGGTTCATTGGTGACACTGCTGGCATTTACCTGTCGGCTCGGAGGGACGTACATGCTTGAGACCTGCGAGAGTGCAACACGACGTCAACAGAGAGACATAAATGGTCTGAGTTTCCTTCTTTTTTTGTTTTCATCATGTGTGACGAGACGCGGCTCAGATGTTTGTATACTGTGTAACTACTTAAATATCATAAATAAATTACAGTCTATAAAAGCCATTTAGTGGGTTGAAATCTGCCAGAAGGATGGACTGCCTATGTCTTGTCACACAGGAGAGAAAAGTTTGTCTGGAAAGTTTATAGAAGAAACACTTATAAAGAGTCGAAGAGGAGACAGACATAGGAAGAACTGGACTTGTCACTAAACAGACAGACAACAGATAGAAATTGATAGTTCATGAAGAGGAGAATAATATTAAAAACTAAAAAAAATAAAAAAATAAAAAAATAAAATATCTGAAAATCTATATACATGTCTCAGTTAACAAAGTCTTTTATCACAAACAGTAATTTACATTTAACAACAAAACAAAACAAAATTTACTAAGTCACCAAATAAGTGATAATGATGTGATTTTTTTTTCTTACACAAATTAAGAACAAAAAAAAAATCTGGATGCACTTAAAACAAAAACAAAAAAACATCAAACTGGAATTCAAGATCATTAAAAAATATATAAATTGTTGGAATGGTAAACAAGATCAGATTCTCCTCCTACCCTTTGGCGTCAGGAGTTAATTTTTTATCGCCATAGAACCACTCCACTTCAGCTTCAGCCTCGTCCACATCACACTCGAGAACGACCTTATGGTTCTCCGTCACCGTCTTGGACTTGAGCTGCTTGGTGAACTTGAAGGGTTGGTCTGGAGGGTAAGACAAGAGAAGGGGGATGAACGAGAGATTTACCCTTACTCACACTACTGCTTCGATCTCAACACCCACTGAAATTTGTTCCTTCAATAAATATTACCTTCACCGTTAAGCTTAATATTTACTTACACTGACCAAAAATTAAACATTAGCTTCCTACCAACTGCTCAGTAAGCTTTCCTCCCTGTGAGCTTAACTCCTTTCTAAGTATAAGTTATCATCATCCACTCGGCTCAGGACGCAGAGGAGGACTTACCGACGATGCTGAGGGTGGTCTCAGTGATCTCCTTTTCGCACCTGAAGATCTTGGCGGTGTACTTGCCCTTGTCCTTCTTCGAGGCGTTCTTGATGGTGAGGCGCACTGTACCCGTCATGTCCTTATAAGCCTCGAACTTCTCGTTTTCCTGAAGTGAGAAAGAATAGCATACTGAGTCATGTGATTGTTTTAACCTAACCTAATCTAATCTAACCTAACCTAACCTAACCTAACCTAACCTAACCTAACCTAACCTAACCTAATCTAATCTAACTACACACTGATTTATGTGATTCCATAACCGAAACTGAAGGACGTGTCAATTTGCCTCTGAATTTCCAACAACTAGAAATTTTCAGGTTAATGAACTTTTAAGATTTTTACGTAAGGGCATTAGTAACTCAATGGGGTAAGACCTTAAAGACTGAAACACGTCGATACCTTCCTACAAGTTCAGACAAGGAATAAATTCTCTACCGTCAGACTCTGGGAGAATCTACACTTACGGTTCAAACAGTGTAAAAATCTGCTCATCAGATTTAGATATACAGTATCTATCTAATGCATCGAAAAAGAAAGGCCAGATTTTAATTGGTTATATGTTAAAATCTGGGAATTCTTTTTCGTTAATGCTGTATATATTTGGTCTATTTTCTGAGACTAGGCTGGGGAATAGAAGCTAGGCTGGGGGATAGAGAATAGGTTGGAGGATAGAGGCTAGGCAGGAAGGTGAGAGGCTAGGCTGGGGGGATAGAGGCTAGGCTGGGGGGTTAGAGGCTAGGAGACTAGGTTGGAGGATAGAGGCTAGGCAGGAAGGTGAGAGGCTAGGCTGGGGGGATAGAGGCTAGGCTAGAGGCTGGGGAGAGATAGGATGAGGCTAGGCAGGAAGGTGAGAGGCTGGGCTGGGGGGATAGAGGCCAGGCTGGGGGGTTAGAGGCCAGGCTGGGGATAGAGACTAGGTTGGAGGATAGAGGCTAGGGCAGGAAGGTGAGAGGCTAGGCTGGGGGATAGAGGCTAGGCTGGGGGGTTAGAGGCTAGGCTGGGGGATAGAGACTAGGTTGGAGGATAGAGGCTAGGCAGGAAGGTGAGAGGCTAGGCTGGGGGGATAGAGGCTAGGCTGGGGGGAGGGGCTCAGAGACCAATCAAACAACCAAACACGAAGAAAACTTGAAGCTTTACCTCGATCTTCTGGTCACCCTTGAACCAGTGAACGATGGCCTTGTGGGAGTTGACCTGACACTCGAGGGTGGCGTCCTTAGTGGTATAGCTGGAGATCTTCTTGGGTAGTGGCCGTACGAACTTGTAGTCAGGATCAGGTTCTGTAAAATGACGTAGGGTAAGTTAATCATTCCGGGAAGGAGGAAATAACTACACTGACTTGACAACATAATGAGGTAAAGAAGATGAGGAAGAGAACATGGAGGATTGGAGGATAAAGAAACGAACATAGTTAATTAGTGTTTGCTATGTCACTTCATAAACTCTGTATGTAAGTTGTTTTGACTGTTTTTGTGATGTTTCGGGTCGTTTTCTTGAAGTTAATGTTTCCTCACGTATGTAGGAGGAGGTAAGACATACATAAGTGACAATATAAATACAAGTGTAAGATAAATGTAAAGAAAATGTTAGTGTAAGATTTGAAGATAATGAAAATACGATTATATATACAATGACTCTTCCACATAACTGACTTCTCTCTCTATATATAATCCGTTAGATGCGGGTTTCATTGTATTGTCTATGTATATCCTTCAGGACGATAAAAGATTAGTAAAATGAGTAATTAATCAACAGGAAGACGATGGAACGGGACCAAGGAACAACAGGAACATGGATAGTATAACACATCAAGACAGAGTGAGGTGTATGGGACTCACCCTGGACAGTGAGGATGCAGGAACAAGAAATGCCCATACACTCCACTGTGTATCTGCCCATGTCGTCCACTGTGGGCTTGCTGATCACGATGCTGTGTACACATCCTTCTGACTTGAACTTGTACTTTGATCCAGAGAACAATTCCTAAAATGGTCATATAATTTGGGTTTTAATTCAGACACAACAGTGGTAGTTTTGCTTTATGGTACAATGATAAGTAAAAAACCCTTACAAAATATAAGTCATGATATATAAAAAAAATTTCCTACAAGATTATAAAACTTAAAAACATTTAACTTCTGACATGAGGAGCAGATAGAAGTGATAATCAAAGCCTTTTACAACACAAGACTGATCATCTCTGTTAAGGCTACTTACGTCCTTCTTGAAGAACCATTTGGGTTTCGAGTCCTTCTTGGAGAACTCGCCCTCAAATTTAGCGAACTTCTCCTTCCCTTCCTTGACGGTGAGATCAACCAAGGGCTTGATCCATGACTCCTGCTTCTGCTCGGCCACAAGGAGAAGGGAAGGGGGAGGGGGCAAGACAAGAGAACATGAGTCTACGGACGGGGCTACGGCCGATGACGAATACCAGGCTCCTCCCCCTCAACACCAAATTAATCTTATTGACCAATCACCTACCAGCATCTATCATTTGACTCCTCCTCTCCCCTCTCAACATCAAACCAAACTCAGAAATCAATTCCAAACTTCATCATCTATATTATTCTCGTGTTTATGTTTATGTAAGCTAATGATTATACTATTTATAAAGAACATATATGAAATACTTGTGTGCATTAAAGGACAAACCTGGTATTCTCGGCACATTCTCTTTAAATCATCACAAATACTCCAAGTTTACACAAAATTCTAAATAATTTACATAAAAAAAATAAAAACAAGTTCTATATCCAAATGTTCACTTGTAATTAAATTTTAACAGTTATCATAAAAATGTTCATTCGTATATAACTCTAAAGGTAATGTAGATGTTAAGTGCATTATTAGAACATCAGTTAAAGAAACATTCTGTATATAACTAGACACGGGACTTCCCATAACGTGACTAACGCTCTCAAGGTAGAATACAGTTGGGTTTGGTTATGTTAGGTTAAAGGTAGACATGGTTGGGTTATGGTAGACTAACATTGAGGAAACTGACGATGGAATTAAGTTAGTTTAAGTTTACGTAGAGGTGAAACGGAGAAAATGATAGTAGACAAAGTTTAAAGTAGGTCAACCAGGACAAGTTTACAGATCGATTAACTGGATTGGGTTCAGGTCAGAGAGCATTACACGTCATAAGGAATCACCATACAACACTGTATGTATCCAGAATCTTCCCATAACTCACACAGTTCTCAATTATGTATCCTAGACGGTCACAGATCTCCTCCAAGAAGAACAACATAACATTGTAAAGTTTGCATGTGATTGACTCTTATCTTACCCTGTACAACAACATTATCCAGGAGCAACACTACACAATCAACTGAGGGTGTAGCTAATGTTTTAACACTTAATGAACTAAAAAAGTAAAAAAAAAAATAAATAAATGTAAACAATGGATACGTTGTAACATCACCTGCGAGTGTAAATAATTGTAAAAGTATTATAATATCACATCTAGATAAGACATGCGGACGTGCGTATAAATACTGACGGCGGTACTGGTGACGGAGACGCTACAGCCAGCGTCTCCAACAAAGGTACCAATGATGTATACATAAGATAAGAGATAAAAGATATACATGCATACATGCCTTACTCTAGTATCATGCCTGCATCCTGCCACGTCTAGAAAATGAAGAAACTGCAAGAGTAAAGGTCTTCACATACTGGATTTCTGCCCTTGTGTCTGTAGTAGGCGAGTTAATCTTATTTCTGTCCCACTATCTCACTCTGTAATCTGTCCTTCACCTTGTACAGCTCAGAAGACAGTATATTTATTTTTAATCTGAATAACATAGTATATATTTTCTTTAACTTTTATCCCTCAAAAGAATATCAAAGTTACTTTAGAGCGGAAGTACAGAACCCAACTTGTGTTTTCTATGAGGATACACAATACTAGAGACAAAGGCAGAAGGTTCAACATACTGTACACTGTATACCCTTACATGTACATGCAATAAATATTATCCAGGTTGGCTGGTGTTTATGAAGAGGTTTAAGGTGTGTTAAATGTTTCTTTTTAATGATATATGTTTATATTTGACCTTTTAAAGAAAGACCTTTTTTTTTATTTAGGACATGAGAGTATTTTAAGAGTGTCTTTATTCAGTGTTGATTTACCGCTGTTTCGCCCAATATAGGTGACGCTGAGTCCCTGCTGGCTTGGTTAAGTCGCTAGAGGCGAGTTTTATATAAATTAGCTTTATATAATATTTTATAATGCATAAAATCCAGCTAAAACAAATCCCAGTTATCATGTAATGATACATCATCAATAGCGTACCATGGGTATGTATCAAATACCTTCATATGATTAAGATAGTTAAGATGATTAATAATAATGAATTATACATATCAATAACAGAGCCAGTCGGTGTTTCTTGTGCTGATATAATAAGAGTATGAATGCACTTGTTCAAGCGTGCCAAACCTCGGTCCAGTGTTGCCAAACCTCGGTCCAGTGTTGAAGTTTTGGCCAATCGGGGATAAGGTCTGCAAGTGACTGCCTGCGGGGGTCGTCACCCTCCTGCATCCCAGAGAGAAATAATGTTGTCTTAGTTGGGTGAGGAGGCTGAACGGGGCAAGAGGGTGTACACTTCACCAGGTCACTTCTTCAGCAGGCTATTAAAAGCAGAAACTGCGCGGGATGATGGGATGAGCAAGCCACGGGGCGGGGAGGGCGGGTCAAGGCTGGCGGGAGGGTGGGAGAGGGCGGGCTAGGCTGGTAGGGGGTGGATCAAAGCAAGCAGGAGGCGGGGCTGGGCGAGCCAGTTAGTTACAGCTCCATAACCAATTTGTCTAAATTTAAAGTTTTATTTATTCAATGTCTTTCCTAACTTAGCACTTAAAACTGAAGTATTGTATATTGAATCTAAAAATTGCAATTATTTATATTATATGCTAAGCGGATCGTGAGCAAGAGTTGTGGGTAAGTTGCATTAGCTATGACTTGAACACAATAAGAAACGTCTCTTTCTGATTCTTATGATTATAGTATTATTTAAAGTGATGAACCATACTATGAATTAACTTCAATATATTTATTTGCTGGCGGCCTGAACGCTGCTCAAACATCATTTCGAACAAATAACTGCGAAGTGAGTTGGGGAGCTGACCAAAAACAGCGTCCCCAGTACTGAGTTTATTTAGTTCGTAACATAACTAAAGTGAGCGCAGATAACCTCTTAATTATTACGAACAGGCAAAGATTTAATTGCGTAGAAAAAAAAACCAATTATTAAGAGAACACATCCACAGTGAAGGATATGAGAGTTATTTAGTGAGCCAAGTTGTAGAGCGTCCCTGTGAGTAGAGTGCCAGGGAGGACACAGGTGGGAGTCAAGTGTAAAAAAAGGGCCATTTATCACGTCTAGAAAAAGATAACATAACATAGTACAGAAGCACGTAAAAGCCAAAAAAAATAAAAAATTATAATAAAAAATAACCCAGAATGGTAAACTGAAGATAAAGGCGAACAGGGAACAGCCGTACACATGATAATAATGGAAATTTTTACAGAAAACGGACAAAGGGGAGGGCTAGGTTAGCGGTGGGTCGGTGATGGTGGCCGCCTTGTTTACCCTGGAACGTTTGACGGCCTGCAGGGTTGGCCAGTCGGGAATTATCTCAGACAACGACGGCTTGCGACTCCCTGGCTCCGGGGGCTTAAGTCTTGGCGTGGGTTCCTGCCATGACGACGTGTATGGGGGGGGAGAGAGCGAGTTAGCCAACCACCCCACACACACACCTACTCATGCCACCAGTCAAGGCTCCGGCATTTGAGCTGTGTCGTGGGTCGCATCTCCGCCTCACGTTAACCCGTGAGCTCCTCTATACTTACTGCTTCACAGATGTTAAGCACAAACTTGATAAGGTTACCGTAAGAGTGGACAGAACGTCTTGAGGAAGCTACTCAAAACTAAAGGAAAATATTCAGTCAAACCACAACATTTAAACAAAAAATAAGATGGTCTACTTCCTTGTTATTTGTAATATGTTTAAAACTTCATTCATCTGCATTTTGAATGGGTTTAATTTTGGTTTAATTTTGGATTATTGGGAATATCTGACTAAAATTCTATTTAAAAGATTTCTTAAAAATTTGTCAATTAATTTTATATTTATGAAGAAAAGAAATCAACACTGCTGCTAAGGAAAGAAAGACTCATGCATCACCACGTATCCGCTTCTGGTGGAGGCCAACGGTAGGAGGGTCCTGCAACTAAGCGTCCATTACTGTAACACGAGAGGAAAGCTCCGTCTCTCACTGTCTCTCCTTGGAAAGACGAAAGGGTACTAAACAAAGCTGAAAAGGCATAAAGAAGTCAAGATAAATAAAAAGGTAATGGAGAGAGACAGAGAGAGAGACAGAAAGAAAGAAATGATGTGCCGTTCTCAGTACAGGAGGACGTCTCCCCAGCGTGTGATCAGCGAATCATGCAGGGCCTCTCACGGACATTCCTCCGGCCACATGACACTTGGCTCCTGCTTTTCCAACCTAGTAACGTAATTGTTGTAGGACAGAAACGAAGGTGTATTAGAAGGCCGAGACAAGTCCTGCTGGGAAAAGAACTTACCCTCTCGACCTTGCGGAGCTGAGGCTTCTGCTCCTTCTCTGTCTCCTTGAGGTCACCCCAGTCTGGGTCCTCGTTGTCCTTTTTCCACTTAGCGTACTTCTTCTTCTTCAACATGGCTCGGAAGTCCATACCACTGGCATCTGGTAGAGAGAAATATACGTGATAAAAATTACTATAAATGACACAGTCGAGTCTTATTTTTCCTCTCACTTCATAAACAAGAGCCTCTCAGGTTCTCTACTTTGAGGGAAAAATCAACCATTTAGTTAATCTATGATGGAGGAACATCTACATTTCTCTCCTGTAATCAAAGAATCTCAACTTGTTCCTCACCGGACACGTAGAAGTCCATCTCGGCTGAGTCTTCGCCGTTAGCGTTAGAGACGATGACCTTGTAGCGGCCCTCATCGTTGGCCTTCGTCTTCCTGATACAGAGGGTGATGGTGTTGGTCTCGCCCTCCGTGTGGATCTTGTAGCGGCCACCCTCAATAATCTCAGTGATGCCTTTGAAGAACTTGATCTTGGTAATCGCTGGGTTACCCTCGGCCACCAGATCGATGTACCCGTTTTGGTCTACAAGTAACGATAAATTAAGTTGGGTTGTTGTGTAGCCTCGCCTTAAAGTCTATTACGTTAACAATTGTCCCCCAGGAAGCTTATATAGCGTGCTGTCATCTACCCTTTAATCCGTCTTAGCTTCAAATTATGTTAAATTCAATAGCAGGTAGGATTCAATTACCCTCAAAATAATCACGTAGCAATTATTTCACTAGCTTTCCACATGTTTTCATTTCGTCACAACCTTAGGATACCTTTACTCTTATGTTCGCCTCGACAACATCTCAAGAAAAAATAATGTGAGGGAGAGGAAAAAAAAAGAGATAAGAAAGAGAATTACATCTGATGGAACATGAAAGTCACAAAGAACATCGTTTATCATGAAGCGCTGTGAAGAAGTATAGGTGTGTGGACTTACCCTCAACAGCCGTGTACTTCTGCTGGACGTCGACGATGACAGGTGCTCCTGGGTTGCCAATGGCTCTGAGTGGAGTGCAGGGCTTGTCCATCTTCTCGTCATCTTGCACAGAGGGTCGTCGGACGTCGCTACTGGGACGTCGACGCTGTTGTTGTGGTAGTGGTGGTGGTGGTGGTGTGGGTCAACGTCAAGGAGAGAGACCAGCGAAAAATTCGGATTTGTGTTAGATTTTTATATTCGTGGCGAGAGAGAGAGAGATCCACCAGGAATGTTTGAGTGAAGGGGAGCTACAATAACAGGGAAAACTCGAGAAAGGAAATAACGATTTTTTTTCCTCTCTGGTAAGAAACGAATGAACTAAAATGGTTTGGTGAGATAAAACAGCAAGAGGAAGACAAAGAGACAAAAGAAACACAGAGAGGAAGGAAGACGAGAGTAAGATATATAAATCCGGGGAAATTAGATAAAAAAAAGGGAAGAGGTGGTGGTGGATCCCAAACTCTGTGGTAATACTGGGGATGCTAACTTACCTCGCCGTGTACGCTACACGTCGACAAACAACAACAAAAACATTGAAAGAAGCGAAAATCTCGAATAAGTTTGATATCTTTAGAAAAATTTCAAAATGATTCATTAAAAGAATACTGTACAGAAAACTGAAAATAAATGATTGATGAAATATGTGAAAGTTACAGAACATAGGAAGAGTCGGCATTAGACCGTATATAAATATTTCTATAACTAAATATATATGAAAATACTAAACTCTGTATGTACAGTAACTATGTATATACAGTATATATTCACTCTATATAATCTTCAAAGGTTTAATGTCAACACTACGTCAAGACACTTCAGGGTGATCCTCCTTTGCTAAACCGAACCTTGGAAAAAGAAGTCTCAAGAGTTTTAAATACCGGATAATGAGAGTTAGTAAGTTCAAGACTCATTAAACTATAATGAGTCTATAAATTAATCAGCAATATGGAGGAGCTTATCTAGAACATTAACTCCAGTCTAAACATTGAGTTTACAAAACTTGTATTAGCGAAACCTTGATTTTGCGAAAACTTCAGTTACGATAGTATCGGTTTAACGAAGTTGACCGGAAGTTACGTCACACAGTCTCGCTCTATATAAACCATTATCTCTAGTAAACACACCCACACTCTCATACATTTAACACATAGAAATAGAAAGATAGAGCTCCAAGGAATGTAACAATAATTTCAGCAGGTCATTCGTCATTAAAATGGCAGCCAAGCATTCTTAAGAGAACACATGCACGTGACTTATAATCCAAGCTCAAAAATTACCTGATAAAGTACTTGATAAAATAATCTGACAAAGGAAACAAGCACCCCAGTGAGCTCGGATCTAAGCACGGTACGGTAGGCTCATTTTTATTGCAAGTCATTTGTTTATCGGTCTCTAGGCGGCTGGCACACTGTTCCTGCCAACACTGTAAAGGTTACTCTATACCACTGACAGATCTCACACTCTATATATCTTAAGGTTGTGGATGACTCGCCAGGACCAGCCACCTAGAGCCTAGTGAGGGAGGTGATAATGAGAAAGGTGAAAGTCAGTAGCTACCCCAGCCTACGGGAGGCCGACACATGCGTGGTGAAGAACAACTGACGCATGTCCCTCTTCCTCCGTGTTGACATGGTGGGCTGAACATGAGATGTGACACAAATCAGAGCTTTTGTCCTGATGAGTTTTGTCTTCACGATGTCAACACGGGAAGAAGACGTAGAGTGAGGTAGCAAGCCAGCAAGCGATAATCATCAACTGTTTTGCTATTATATTGCGCTATACGTTCTATAACGCGGCCTGCTGCTTCGAGAAGCTGGTGTCTGCATCAAGTTGAAGCTTGAAATCTTAAATTTAAAGCTTGAAACATATCGACTGATGAAAAACTTTAGCTTAACACCCTGAACTATGTTTCTGCTAAGCTAAAGCGGTAGTGATAACAAGTTCCCTATATTGACTGAAGCAGGAACAGTTTGAGAGGATGTCAGGTTTCAGCCAACTCCTGTCCGCGCTGATCTTAGCGACTACAGCGTCCAACTGAAGCTTTTACTGCGTAGATGAACATGGATGATTATGTGAGAGGGAGGACGAGTCAAGTGCAGCCATGATACGACTGATGCAGTGTGAGTCAGTGTGAAGAAGACTGGGGAACGCACCGAGCCATTCCCCACAAAGCCAAAAGAAATATGTTATCCCAACCTGATCATCGTCTAGAATTTCTCCCGGTCTCAAGCGACTCTGTGTTAGCAGATAAAAAGATAATTTGCTGAAGTATGAATTAAATACCTTTTGTATATATAGTTTTTTCTTTTAGATATTTAAAGAACGAAACATTAAAGAGTAGTCTGTTAGTAAAGTTTAAAAAAAAGGATAGAAAGCAGGACTACGAAGATGTGATGACAGAATAAACAGAAGATAACGCGCGCGAACCTTGACATAAGGAAAATGATCAGAGGCAAAAAGCGCCAACCGAAATTGGACATTGATGACCACAAGCAGAGAGAAATACGGTTTATCATCAATAATAAAGTCGGTGTCAGGTTGTTTAAGGTTTCGTTGTTTTAGAAAGGTTTTTAAGACATTTATATATACTGTGGGCAATAAAATACATTATGGTAATAAGAGAATTATCACTAAGAGTCGTTGAGGTCTGCAGACGACAGCGTCCATCGACTGGCTTCTATATCTGTGCCGCTGAAAAAGTTCCTTATCTTTGTTGTTATAACAAGTTATTATCTGATATTTAGAATTTAGTTTTAATCGAATTTAACGAAGGCACATTTTGTTTAATTTAATGTTTGTATTTTAGTTTAGAAGTTGTATTTACTGAAGAATAAAGAAGTGTTAGACCCAAGATCATTGCTTTGCAAATAAACGTCTTAATAAAGTAAGTAAATAAGTAGTAAATAAGCTGCCAATAATGATTCTAAATCTACAGTACTAATGTGAGCGGAGAGAAACTACAGCAAGAATCTTAGGTCTGAAGTAAAAAAATGACTCGTGAAATCAAGTGACACTAAATTTTGGCTGTGGTCTGTAAGGCGTCACTTGGTTGTGTGACAAACCATGGCAGATGCTTGATATTTAGGTGATTAAACTACACCATTACTACTCAGTGATTGGCTAGGCTTTATTAACGACACCTTTGTAATAAAAGCTGTCACTTGTATTCACGAGTGAGACTACAAGAAAAAAGAATTTATTTGTCATAAAAGCGAGATAATCCTATTGAGTACTGGAATATAAGAAATCAGATGATGTTTAAGATTTTTTAATTACGAGAGGAAGGTATGAAAGAGGTAGGGAAATTGTATAGACGATAAGAGGTAAAAATATTCGAAAATTGGTTGGACGGAAAAAAATGCGGATATCGCTTCTTAAAAAAAAAAATATATATTTTTTTTTTTACATACAGACAGTTGGTGTAACTGTGAAAGAGATTTCAAAATAAGAAACCTTAAATAGACAGATAAACAGAAGAATGTACAAAACTTGGCCACTCGCTCAGGACGAGAGGTTAAAGGCTCAAAATTGTATAGGACGGGAATGAAACAAAAACTGACAGTAGACAAATACAAAATAGTGTGTAAACGAAAAGGGAAAGAGAAAGGAGACGGAAGAAAGAACGGTTTATCATCAGTGATTATCACTCCACGATGACCTGACACAGACGTCACATATCTACGCAGTGTTCCAGCTCACCTGTTTGGTTGCCTGCTCGCCGGGTTTAAGTTTCCCCTATTGAAGAGATGGTGAGGAAAAGACAAGAGCATTATTTGGGAAAAAGCTTTTGGTTGTACGCACATCTGTAAAGCAAGCGCCTGGTCACCAACGACGACTACTGCAGTAATTTACCAAAAATGATTCTACACATAGAGAAGTGAAGTGATCAAACCAAAGAAATAAAGAATATAATAAGGTGAGAGATCAAGATGCAACCAACCTTGCAGTAGGAATTAAAAGTACCTGTAATATATATATGTAATATATACACACAAAGTTAGACGAGTTATATGGAGCTGAGGGAAACACCCGCTTCATTAGTCGGGATAGGTTAGTTAAGTTGCAGCGCAGTACACTATGCCCGACAGACTTGCTAAGAGCAATAACACGTATATACCAGCTGCATTACGCTGGGGACAGCTGTTTAGGTTAAGCCCTCCATACAACAAGCTTCTGAGAACCAGGTATGTGCCGTAGTCAACCAATTGTTAGTCCTAAATATCAGGTTATTTACGATGAATACTTTCCCATTTCCAGCCTCAGTGTTCAGAGCTGTTCCCTTGTTAGTCTCGAACAGTGAAGCCAGAGATCCAAAAACTCATCGCTTTTGAGTTTGATTCAGAGAAACTTACATAACTCTGGATATTGAAAAAAATGTGGCCGTGGTCTGTAAGAAGATGTTATATGACTCATTTATAGGTACTGTAGTTCTGTCTGTTATTATGATGTTATGAAGTACTTTACTCAACCCGACTTTAAGACTCCAATATCCAGGCTACGACACATACACCGGGACTTCATTCCGGGATTATACCCAAGCGCATGCCTATATATCGCCTACTTTACATCCATATATAGAAGCTTCTTAAGGCTTGAGAATCCAACTGTTGCTATTTTTTTTTTTTTTGAGGGAGGAGGGCACAGGCAAGAGAAAAAAAAACTGTTGCTGATAGACACTGAGGACGCGTATCCATTGTTACCATAGGGACAAAATCACCTCTCTGTTACCTTGGATTCCTCTAACACTTCTCCGGGGCGCAATTTTCGTTGTCCCTATGAAATAAAGGTTCGACATTCAATAAGCTGTTCTGGTTACCTTCTCTATTGGAGTGGAGAGATGTAAAGTGTAAGAGCTGAGAGTGAGTGAGTGAGGTTGGTGTGTGGTAAAAAAAAAAAAAAGAGACATTTGTATACAACACCGTCAGGAAATAAACAGAGGGCGAGAAGAGCGATAATTCTGGAGTCGTGAGATGCATCATTCAACACGAGTGAAGGAAAGAAGGAAGGAGGGAAGGTCGGATGGGAAGTAGGACCTAAAGATGTCAACAGAATTCCTTCGATCCGAGTATCATTGACGTTTGGGGTGAGAGGTACGGAAAGGGCGTTAACAGATATACAATACCTTCGTTAGTCGTGAGGTGTAGTGTTGGTGTGAGGTGGTGGTGGTGGTGAGGTTACCCATAATATTGGTGATTGAGTCTTCTGTACGTCCATGAATCGACAAATACACACGAATACAAAATTAATGGTGAAAATGCATACCATAATGATTCTATTTTAAATGTTAGATGAGAAATAGACACAGATATGTACTATAACTATTCAAAATATTTAGCCTGGTCTAAAATGATAAGTCGGATGGAGGTTATGACGAAAATTGATTACGTTTTTCCATAAATCGGCGTGAACGATGCAGAGACCGGACGAGTAGAGACCGGACGAGTAGAGACCGGACGAGTAGAGACCGGACGAGTAGAGACCGGACGAGTAGAGACCGGACGAAAGAAGATAAATAATGACGAACATCGTAATTATAGAAATGCAGCAATAAAATTAGGAGTACATGTGAACAAATACCAAACCTTATGATGCAGGGAAAAACATTGGTGGTATGAAGAATTAAAAGAAAAAATAGCATACTTTCACACCAAAATGACTTCACGCTGACAGGTTGAGGGAGAACTACAGGATTAACCGCGTGTCTAAAGGGAAATTTTACTCTGGAATCTGTATCATAATCCACAGGCAACAGAATAAGGGTAATTACTTGTTCCTTATACAAAAATACAACTCTTTTTTTTTTTTTAGGAGTCGCTTAGTGGTGTGACAACTCCTACACAACAAATGTGTATTAATTCACACGATAAAACTAAATTCAGTGATGTTTGGTATTCTCGCTGTCAATATATGCCTCTAAAGTGAGAAATATAATGAAGATGATAGGCCTGTTAACTCACACCATCAGCGGACTCAAAGATTTAACCAAATGAGGGATCGATGGTTGTAAAGGGAGCTTCCTGGGGGATACGGGAGAGGGCGGTGTTCCAACGCTTAAAAAAATAAGAGGAGGGTGTTTGTTTTACCTTGCCCTCCACTAATTCTTCTCCTGGGAGTAATCTGACGGGTCTTGCCTATGAAACAAAAACACGATATTCAATAACTGACGTTGATCTGTAAGGGGTGTGTGTATGTGTGTGTGTGTGTGTGTGTGTGTGTGTGTGTGTGTGTGTAGATACTGTCCTTGGCTTACAGTGGATTAAGAATGTAGTATTAAATAAACTAGGCCTGCTGGAAAATGCCACTGACAGGGGTAAAAAAAAAAAGAATTAAGTGAAATGCTACTCAGATGATCAGCACTTTGGGGAATTTTACAGCAGCCTTAAGAACTGTATGGTGTGGTTGGTCAGCTTCTCACCATCAGTCGTAGCTACCTGTACCTCCTACCTGGACGTCATTATTACTTGATAGTAGAAAAATTAATCAACCTAACATTACCCAACCTTAAAGGCTTCGACCTATGGAGAACCTGAATCAATCTACTTAACCTAACCACAAATAACCAAACCTACTTAACAATCTAAATTTAACAGGATCTAACTTACCAACATAACTTATGAAACAAATTTCCTCTAAATGTAAAACTAAGAAACAATTATTTTTTATAGAATCCATTTTTTTTCTAATTTAACCAAGATAATTATCCAAGCAACCGTAACCAATCTATAACCAAAGCAGAGAGAATCGACACTAACCAAACCAACCAGGTTAGTCTAACGAAATCTAACCTATCCTTTTCGGTCTTATTATGTTAGGTTGATTTTCCACTCACTGTAAAATTGGCAAAAGTTTGAAGTAATGTAACTCAACAACTCATTATGGAAAGGTGAAATAGTGTCACAGCCTCTCGTGTGTGTGTGTGTGTGTGTGTGACGGTGAACACTTAGAAAATGGTCCTTAATTTACCTTCCCATAATGAATAAATACAGCAAACTCCAGGCATCATGGACAGATAGTCGAGACCACACTGAGATATTTCTGACCAAGTGTTGTTTAAATGTTATATTGGTTGTAAAATGTACAATAAATGAAGTTAGGAAATGTCAACAGAATAAGAAGCATTTAATGTTTTTATATATAAAATTAAAATAATATTACAGTTGCGAAGCGTAATTTATATAGTAATTATTATTTGAGAAAAGTTCATTTGCTTGAGAGCTTTAATGTGAAAGATTTTAGATATATGTAAAATAATCAAAGAACGCACTCTAAGCTACAGCTGCAAAATATATTAAACAAATATCCAAGGCAAATAAATTAATATGAACTGAAAAAATAACATTACATTAAAAAGAAACAACAATAAGTGCGTTCTATAAAAAAAAATCAAGGTTTAATAAAGTGAAACAGTAAACAGAACACACGCAAAACAAAGAAAATAATATGACGATAAAGGCTTGCCATCGTCGAGGAAGGCCAAAAATAACGACACAAACTCAAAAAAATTAACTCAACATACAGTATGCCTGATTGATAACCAGTACTTAAAAATGGCATACAAAAAAACTTGGGAAGCCTGATGTTCAAAAAAAGTTATGTTAAAAAATATTCACTCAAGGATAAAACAATGAGGCATTCCGTTTTAGGTTGTGTTGTTAAGCGTTTATGGTGCAGTATTGAGCATTTTAGGTTTATATGGTTCATATTTTTTTAAGGAATGATAATATACACAGAGGCAGAGGATGTACAGACGCCACGTTGATCAAGAAACTTAGGAATGGGAGGACAGTTTGACGAGGTGGTGTGGGTGGGTTTCAAAATCGAAAGGCTGAATTTGGCGCAGGGGAAGGGAGGGTGGGAGGGAGTGACCGAAAGAGGAAATAAGCTCCCTCATGTTACCTTAAACTCCAATGGTGCTTCTTCTGCCCCCTTTCCTTTTTTCTTGGCCTATGAAATAAAGTTATAATATTCAGTAAGTGGCACTGGTCATCTTCTGCTGTAGAATAAATGGAAATGTGAGTAAGGTTCTGAGTGAGTGTTGCAGCAGCGTATGTTGTGTGGTGGTGAGCGGCGATATAGCGTTGTGTACGGGGAACGGAGACATCCCACAGAACTCAAACTGGGGATCTGTGTTTAATAGCGCGTTAGATAAGGCTGGGGTGTAGTTTTTTCCAGTGTATGTGTGTATATAGTTTATTAAAGTTGTTGGGAAAAAAAAGTTGTTTGGGAGTATGGCGTATTATATAGACTTATTGATAATTTTGAGTTTCAGACACACCTGGACTGCGTTTGTTGATCACGTGAAGAAAAATAAACACAAAAATCACTAACCTATTTCCATTATAAGGACACGAACAACACATTTAAACTTGTTATTTGAATGATCTAGAAAATGGAGATGTTTGTAAAAAATAAATGTTACCTAGATCAGTACGGTTATATGACCATACTGATCAGCTGATTTACCAAACACTCAACTGTGTCAAGTAATCGTCTCACGTCATGGGTTAATTGGTGGTGATAGTGTACAAACTTAGTCTAAGGCCACTACTGAAATACGTGTCCAGCAGTTGTCGAGTGTATACATGACCTCGTGACGTTTTATTTACTGTTTGGTCAGTCCTAAGTCTAAATAAACCAAGTCTACCCACGTGCAAGGGGGGAGCTTATTATGTGACGTCGTTGGCTGAGGTGGATAGTCTTCACCAGATGACGTCATGCACGGTGAAGAACGAATTTTCGATTGGAAGTTGACTTGGTATAATTAAACATTGGGTCAGTCAGTATTTCACCATATTGACGTCACAGCAACGATAGACAAAGTTGAAATGATCCTTAGAGACATATTTGGTTTGAGTGCTGATGAAAAAAAAATAATATTCGAATAGTTTTTGACATGTCCAATGGTAACTAATGTTTAATCTGATATATATTACGTCAATAAATGAAATGGTATTCCTACTGAGCTTTAAACCACCAGCATCCACGAGAGACAATACTGAGCAGAGGTTACCAGAGATAAATTATATAAAACATTTTAATGATCATTTACGAAGCAACAAGAAGACTTTAGCCAAGAGTAATTCCTATTGTTTCATTCAACAGGAAGATCTTTTAAGTGCTGTTAACTAATATCAATAGTAAATAGATTAAACACGATATATATATATAGTGATTTCAAATCCACTCATTCTTATCCCTTATCAGATATACAAACTGGTTATAATTAATTAAAGCTCAGTAATCTTTATAATTATATCGTCTTTGAGTCTCAAGTCCTTGTTTGTGTGTACACCTGTGTCTGTAAACATCTGTGTGTATGTCTCACCTGTACACCTGTGACTGTAAACATCTGTGTTTATGTCTCACCTGATTTACCTCCAGGTTTTCCCCCGGCTTGAGTTTGCGTGGCTGGACTGACTCCTTATTGACGAGAGACGGGGTACTCGTTTAACATGGTTTACGCTCTATTTAATTTTTTTTTTATTTAACATTACTCGTTTTCTCTGTTTCAACCATTAAATACTTTCGGACAGTTATTGTTCATATTAGTAATTTGAGTGATGAAGACTATTTAATTTAACGCTAACTGACAATGCACGTTATGTTTATTACACACTATGCATCGAGAACCCATTGTAATAAGACTGGGATATTGGATGAAATAAACATGATTATCGTGGTCAGAGAAAGCGAATATTATCGTATTAAACTCTTAAGGGTAACTAACTACCCTCAGAGTAACGACATGCATTTTAGCTTCAGATTATCGTATATATATATTTTTTTATAATATATATGCTTAGCTTTACTACATACAGTGGCTATATATTCTATGACTAAACCATTTTATATTTATTTATATATTTTTTTTCTTTTTGATTTAATATATAATTCGAGGATTGTTTTCTTTATTTAGTTCAAGGTGAAAATAACCGATGTTACTGACGTTAATAAATTCGGTGGATGCGCCGTGCTCTGTGAGTGGTCCAGAGCTGAAGGTTATTATAGGGTAAAAGGGGTCATATCATAAGAGCAATTCAGGTCAACTTAAGGTGATTAGATTTATAACAACAGACTGCCAGAGGTTAAGGTCATCTGCTGGAAGAGAATCATTAGGTCATCACGCACCAGAAATGCTGGAAAACAAATGTAATTAAAGTATAATTTATTCAATAACCAGGTAATTCTGAAAGGAAAATAGTGAGTTTTAATTATAACAGAAATTCATATTATTTAGCCGCGCAGTATATGCATGGTTTATTTATCAACAAGGTTTATTTAAAGTGGGGTCATTTTTTGTTTGGTTTAATTATTTGACGACGCCCGCGGTAACTACGGAAATTGATAAGCAAGTTGTTGATACAGTATACCCAGTTCCGATGGGTTGTAGGTTTGGTTATTCTGGCAGAGTTGTTGTAGTGAGTGGACGTCTAGGAATCGATACAGCTTTCGTGATCAGGTCGTTAACACACAACCCAGAGAGTGGACGCTGATCAGAAAGACAGTATCCCATTCCAGGCGATTTATTGTGGTGGGGAGGAGTAGTAAGGGGATCATAAACCATTGTCCCGCCCTCGTCTAGGTCATGTCCCCGGGAGTCTGAGGTGACCACACGTTATCACTAGACACCCCCTTCACATTATACTAGGACGTCGTGGGTCGTCATGGTTCGATGTCGTCTGAACTTTGGGGTCATCAGTATCTTAAGGTCACCAGAACCTCAAGGGGTCATGGGAACATTGGGGTAATCATAACTCCAAGGTCACTTAAAGGTCAAATAGATCTTTGGGTCATTAAAATCTTTGGTCAACAATCTTTAAGTTATCTGAACTTTGGGGTCATTGTGTCCTCTGGGTCATTATGTCCTTGGGGTCAGAGGATCCGTGCGGTCATCAGAACTTTGGGGTCATCCCACGAGGTAGTGACGCTGGTTGGTGTGTGTGGTCTAGCTAGAGTAGGTCTACTTGTATCAGTTGTCTAGAAGTTCTTGTTAGGGAAATGTTAAGAATAAGGAAAATAGTCATAAATGAAGCTTTAGTTATAACAGAAAATAATCTGTGAAGGAGAGCAGAGGAAGAGAAGACAACTTATGTTCAAACTTTATCTCATGAGAAATTTGTTTTTTTCCAAAAGCTTGACAAAGTTAATATAGTCATGAATCATATTGAACATATGATCAAAATATTTTGAAAACAAAAACTGCAAAAGAGGAAAGTGTATCCAAGAAAAGTTGTTTGGCACCCGATCACGAGGCTGACACAGGTTCAGCTGATCATTACTGTTTATATCTATATAACCGTATCAGTAAGGTCCAAGTATTTACCCTTTATTCAGTTTATTTCTTCATATTTTTACGTGAAGTATGAAAAAAGAAATGAAACTGAACATGTTAGGGGCATAATAATAATTGTTAGAAATACTGACATGATCATATATGTGAGACATTATCAAGGCTTGGAGCTTCTGTTGTTCATGAGAGAGACACTGTGATCAGGGCCAGAGTGTCGGGGTGAAGACGGGAGGAAATGGACAGGACCTACCTCGTCGGCGATGAGGAGGGACGGCCTGCGACCGCCGGCCCCTTCCTCAGGGGGAATGAGAGAACCTCTCCTGCTGGGAGGTCCTGAGCCTGTGGCCAGAGACCCGCGGCGCTCGGGGGATTTTTCCTTGATCACCTCGATCTTAGGAGCGTCCTGAAGAAGAGACCATATTGTCGAGAAGCTTGAGAGAGATATGTGGTGATGCAGCACACAGTCAGGCATGCAGGAGTTGGGGTAAAGTATTAAAGTTAATTACAACTTCAGGCTGATGTGGTACTAGTGTGTTGACCATGACTAAGCCTTCATCACTCTACGGTTTACATGCAGTTGGGGCAGTGTTAGTGTGACCATTTAGTGTCACAGGGAGAAGAGTGACTTGAAGATCTTTGGGTAGTCCTAGAGGTTAAGTGACTCTGGTGTCATCGGAGGCAGTGGTGTACTCAGACCTCATGCAGCTCCTCAAGCTCTGGCTGGATGATGTCTGAGGCCAGTCTGTCTAGGGGCAAGACAGCAGGCCTGGCTTGAGGGCCGCACAAAACAGGTGCTGTTAGGGGTAGCTGCATATAGCCAGGGAGAAACTGCCCTTGGCTGAGACGCTGTTACACTACTGGTGGGTACCTGGAGGTTGAGGTACACTCACAGAAGGGGAGTTAACTTTAAGTCTCAGCCGTGTGTGTGCGGGCACTGTCTAGGAGAATCCCATTAATGAGTCTTACAGGCGTCGCTTTGTCTACTGTCAGCGACCAATGTTCTCCCGGAGCACCACGTGACTTTTCTACCCTCCAGTGTACCAACAACTCAGGGCGGTTTAAGCCACAGCTAAGGGCCTCCACCATGCCCTTGACACCTGCCAGGCTCCTCTAGTGCTCGCCCTGTCATGCTCCCTTGGTCTGTCACCCGGCAACTGACTACACACGTCATGCTAAAACATAAAAGGAATAACTAGAAATATGATGTGTTAGATTAAAGGCCAAGTCTACTGTGTTGAACAAAAAAGGGAATATTTTCACATTAATAAAAAACTAAATTGTTAGGAATAATGTGAACCAAAGACCATCATGCCAAAATATACTTAAACAAAAAAATATAAAATACAATATTCTTATATATTCTAGAAAGCCAAAATGAATCGAAAACGAAAACAATAAAAAAACAATGATTATTCTAGCATTGATAAACTTTCATAAAAATCTGAAAATGTTGAGAAAATACGAGAAAAAAATACAAAAATCAACAACAGTACAATACTGTATTTACTGGCGGTTTCGGCGGGAAGGAGGACGGCAAATTAGCCATAATAACACAAGCTCCGTCAATCGTATGTACAGTACAGAGTATCGATGGTATAGCCGTGCGTAAAGAGGTGTTGGCAGTCAGCGTTTATAGGGTGCTCGAGGGATTTATAGAGTACACAGATTAATATCATAAACAACACTGACAACACGGGAGTTTCATTTGCAGAATAATACGTCAGCTTCGTGTACGACAACTTACCATTCACCCGTTGGACACTTAAGGTTACTGTGAACGCTAGGATTAGTTTCAAGCCTTGTATGGTTTTTAAGAGACTTAGTGTTCGTTTTAAGGATCTAAATATGATCGTAAGGTAAAAGATGATTGTAATTTTTCGCTATATAAAACGAACTTTCACTATATTTTTGTGTTTCTCTTAAATGTTTGTAATATTTTGCTTGAGATACAGTTTTTAAATATAGACACTGCAAAAGGGAAGATGTTTAGCACTGATTGTGAGTGAGTGTACTAACCAGGCTTGAAACTATTAAAGAAAACAGAAAACAAACAATTTCTTTTCATGAGCTCCAGTTTCCTTCTCCAGGTGACAGCTTCTTGAAGTAAACGTCTTATGGTTTACTAGATCAGAAATTTAGTGTTTTATAAAATTTGATATGTACTTAAAACATCAGTAAAGTTCGGTAGGTCATGGCCGTCACACAGGAGGAGGAGTCAGAGAAAAACACTTGAGGTCATTGTGTCACAGAGGTGGTGGAAGGCGGCGACAAATATATCCCATATTCTCAGACATTAACGGAAACTAAGACAAGAAGACGGCAGCTTAGGTTAACAGCTTGTCACCCGCTGGCATGGTGATGTTGATAGTTACTGGGTCTATATCCGGAGTCACTAGAAATAATTAAGTGCTCACCATCTACATTCTCCTGACATCATCATAGGTGTTTGCGCCCCACATCATCTCTCAACACTGACCAGCCTCACATACCTTACAGTCGATGCTGATCCTCCGCTGTAGGAACATACGGATGCCTTTGTCTTCATCTTCCGGCGTCTCAATAATCTCCGGGAGCTCGTACTTGCTCCTGCGCCTCATGGGCACAACGAAGGGTACATCTTCCTCCGAAGGGCTGAGCAAGGAGGGAATTTGAAGCGTGGGGAGGATGTTGAGGGAGGGCCGACTCGCCAGGGGTAAGCTTGGTCTAGGGGGACGAGCTGTAAGAGGGGTAGGGAGCCACCCACTCTCCTTTTTCTGGTCGTCATCGTGAGAGGTCGTTCCTGTGTCGTCTACGTCGTCAAGATGGTAGATGGTAATGTCTATCGGGGTCTCTCGACTGTATTCGACGACATTGCCAACTGTGTATCGCCTGGACACTGCACCGTTACTCTCAAAGTTTAGTTCACTGATAGCTTGACTTATCCCCATTTCATGTGACTCTAGCATAGCACTTGCACCGCTCCGTCGCTTTGCTTTTGTCTTTACCTAAAATAAACACAATCTCCTGTTTATTAAACTTTAAAAGTTATGGTTATTACGACACCAAACACCGAAGTTTAGCCAACGACAAGGTGCTCGAGAGAACAGGGCAGACGAAGCAGTGCAACGCATTGTAATAAAAGAAACAGACAGAACAGTAACGGATGTACTGATAAGGAGATGAAGGCAAGTGTGGGAAACTACATCCAGGTATTGAGAAGAAGTTAAGCCATCTACAACAGCCAACATCGATGCCTCAAATATCGGTTGAGGTGAACACCAAATGTAGGGCTCGTCTCAGCTGATGTGTTCTTGGGGTAGTTAGAGGCAACATCAAATATGTGTATCACGGTTACATAGGTATCAAAGGTGTTCATTCATGTTGCTAAAACATAAAAAAATAAGCTACTTAATGGGGAAAAAACATCCAACTTACGACTGACGTTATCTAACACACCAACAGTAGTCTCCATTTTAGTCAGACACAAGTTACACTGATTCTGTCTTCCAGACGCTTTTAGAACATCTAAAGCATCAGGCAGTGATCCAATTAACTGAAAACAAAGATAATATGAACCGGGCTATCAGCTGCTGCTTAGTTCCTGTACAGTATTAACACGGAGCAAACGCAGTGTGTCATCCATCATACGTCAAAGTTAATTCTGGGGCGGTGATCCATGTTGGAGCTTTTGTCTCATGTTCACCCACACGTTGGAGTTAGTAACACCGATACCGACTGAGTGTGACCCAGTAGTCAGTCTTGCCAGCAAATCAGTCACTCTGGGAGACACGATACGCACTGCAATCGTAACAGAAAAAAACAAACAAACAGAGCCCGACTATAGTGGCCATCTCATGCCCAATTTCAGCGTCTACCCGGAGGAAACAAGTGATATTACTGGGGTGAAATGACTGAGGGTTAACACACTGACGACGGCCACAGCGAGCTAGGTGTTGTTGGTCCCCGAGATCAGGGAAAGAAGTTGGTGATGAAAGCCTAATGGAAGGTTCTCTGCTGCGTCGCCTGCCTCGCCTTACAACTGGCTCTCCTGAAGGAACAGTCCGTATGATCTACTCAAGTACACGGTGATTATATTATTCTTGAAGTAATTAAAGCTTAAGTCTCTCATAACGTGCAAGGAGAGGAAGTGACGACGGTGCAGGAGGGTAAGGAAGGGAAGGAGTACTGAGGCCGTGATAAATACCACTTACCTGATTCTGCCCTACATATAACCTCTCCTACGGTAATGTTGCCTCCACACACACACACACACACACACACACATACACACACACACACACTCTATCACCAGTTGACAGTAAACATCACACATAATGTTAAGATATCGTCAGCAAAATCAAAACAAACCACACCAAGTCACCCGAGGGAGGCTGATGAACCTGCTCAGGGTCGATAAATGCTCGAACGTAAATGATTTTTTTTGTGAGAAAATGGAGTAACGTTCTGATTTATCGTGAATATTATTTAGAAAGATGTTATGACCAGGAGCACACAAGTGATTTGGTGCATCTGGTCGTCTGGAAACCAAGTTCTAAGTCCCAAGTGTTCAGAAAAAGCTTCAGCAGGTTTACCAACTCCTCGAGTATAACCTTAAAGTTAGTACTCATAACTTATATCAATAAATTAAAATAACCTTACCGTAGTTGAACTTCTCATGCGCTCTCTTAAACAATATAAACTTTTAATCGTATCAAATATAATTTACTTCAGTATATCGTATCTGGAATGTTGCTCTGTGAGGAACTTGAGCTGGTCTAAGATTCATGTTACTCTTTATCTTCTTTAACACAACAACGTCTCACCAACATCCGAAATACGATGATAATACTGTACGTCACTACAACAATTCGTTTACCAATAACTTTTATCTTATACTTAATCTTTAAGTTCATATCCTTACACTTAACAATATACACAATGCAAAATGTATACACAAAGCCAAGTATACAAGCTGGAATAACAGAAATACGAAGGTTAAAGCATCAGAAAGTTTCCGGCAAAATCGATAAGCCAATGGTGGAGGTGTAGTAGAGCAATACGTGGAGGGTCCAGGACACGAAGTAACAAGTGAGCATCAACCAAGCGAAGGGGGGGAAGGGTCTACAACACCGCTCAACACGCCGACTTACCGCCTGCTTGGGCTCTACGATTTTCGGTTTCTACACGCCAGGCGAGAACGTAGATATGGAGAGAGAGAGAGAGAGAAAGAGAGAGAGAAAGAGAGAGAGATATGAGCCAAAGAGCAAGAGACAGACGGTGCACCAGAGAGAGAGAGAGAGGAAGAGAAAAAAAATCGAATTAGACAATCTTTCATATGGTTGAATTTCAAAGGAATTTCATGTATATATGTAAAAAGATATATATGTATAAAATATAATCCGTATAGCTCCTCGCTTAACAAACCATTCACCATGCTATTTATTCCTGTTAAAAGAAGAAAAAAAATAACATAATATATTATTAATGAGACATCAGGATCAACATCTTTTATAGAGTCTCCTGAAACATAACTTGTGGGCGCCCATAGTGCAAAACAAAAGACTGTAACTACCAATGTGTGTTCGATCTAAATGGTGTCAGTTTGTTATGTTAAGAAGCCATGAAGCCTATAAAAAAAAGCTTGTGGTGGTAAGATATATTGAACAGCTCAAGAATAAACCTGAAGATATAGAGATTTGTGAATAAATGCCTCATGCGTTCGGAACTCCAACACGAAACATTGATGATGTTGAGTTCACATTAAAGTAAAGCAAACACTAACCAGAGTGAAATGTTTTAAGTTGGTTATACTCGAATGCTGGAGGCACTAATATAAATAAGAAAGATTAGAGTTGTTGCTATATCGTCAGAACCAAAGGGGTAATTTTTTTTTTTTATTTGTTAGCCGGTGGGGTGGGGTGAGTCGCACCTTATAAATAACAAAAACATTAATGAATTTCACTCGTAATGACGGACATGATATTTGATATTTGTTTTAATTTTGTTGCTTAGTTGGTGAAGAATAAATAACCCGCGTGGGCCCACAGTAATTATGAAAGCTTTTTTAGCCTTATCGTCCTTCTGTGTCAGCTAAGATAGCTTTCCAAACACATAAACAAACCATCGATAGCACTACCCGGGATTAGCTAGTTTTATCGGGTTATATACGGTTAAAAGTGGCTCGTCGGCGTTTTCAGAAATATGATCCTCTTCCTTAATTACTTCTAATTACTTCTCTTGCTCTTATTAATGATCCTGTAACCACTGTCTTCTCATCATCTACTAGTACTTCGGCTGTGTATGTTTAAGCCAAGTACTTCAGACATACAGACAGGCGGATTCGTTGGATCATAAGCCTGAACGTCACCGGGTTAGCACCAAGAGAGAGAGAGGAGAGAGAGAAATGTCTACAAAGGTACCTACGTTTAGATCCTTTTTGGGATTTGCTTTAGAATCTTTAGGGTTTTCAGGTTCCAATTTAGTCACTTGTTTATCTTTAGGATTCTTCGGGTTTTTAGGGTTCGGGTTATCTTTATGGCCCGGGTTATCTTTATGGCCCGGGTTATCTTTATGGCCCGGGTTATCTTTATGGCCTGGGTTATCTTTATGGCCAGGGTTATCTTTATGGCCCGGGTTATCTTTATGGCCCGGGTTATCTTTATGGCCCGGGTTATCTTTATGGCCCGGGTTATCTTTATGGCCCGGGTTATCTTTTTTGGCCTCAGGATTAGGGTGCTCTGCATTACTCCCCTTTCTCTTCTGTTGAGACAAATAGGACAGTAGTTTATCATCTGATTTACGGCCTTGACTTAAACTATGACTCAAATGGTTGATCTTTAACACTGTAAGATATTAAGAATAATCTAATTTAATGATCTAAGCTTGAAAGCAGCTTGAGGCTAAGAAGAGGTTATAACTAAGCTGCGACTGTTGGATAATATAATCATCAACGGAGTTAGGACCTGAGTGTTACCAATTGATGGAGGGTTATTGTACAGAGATACGATACATCAACAGGTAAAAAGCTAACTACTGTAACACCTTCCACTATAAAGCAATTAACGTTAAAGACAGGTAGACAGAAGAAATGTCAATGCAGTAGTTACTTTGTTTTTGCTGAGATTGTAAACTTGAATAATAATTATAAATAATTATTAATATCTGAGAAAATATTAAAAAAGTATCTCATTTGACAAACCATAATAGAAGGGTTTTTCTTCCTTTAAAGATTAAGATCAAACTACAATCTTCAGCAATTACAAAATATTATAAAATTTCGTCACATAAATACACTGTTTATCTACGCTTACCTGACATTTTAACCCTTTATCACCTGGGGTACAAATCATAAATTAATAAGTATGAAACAGCCAGGTAGGCTGAACTCAGGGTACCAAGGAGGTGTGTCAGGTAAACGAAGGAGTGAGTCTGAACAAACATGTGTAGTGTACGAGTATATCTTGAGTTAGGTGATATCCAAGACGTCACTCTAAGGTGTACAAACAGAGGTTAATAGTAACATCAACTGTGTGTGTGTGGGAGGAGGGGGGGGGGATAAAATCAGGTTTACAGTCCAGTCAAAATGGTGGACCTGTACTCATTAGGGAGACACCTGTATTGGATTAAGGTAAGGGAGGTTTGTTGATGCAAGGTAAGTTCTAACATCCCCATCAACAAGGGAGTAAGTAACCTGTAGGTGAGGTGATTTACTATGTCTACAGATTATTGGAGGAGCAGTTTGGTCGTTAAAGAACCAACACAAAAGAGCTATGATGTAACTGGCTCTGTGTTAGGTTGTGCTGGTCTCCGCTGTTGGGTTCCTGCTCCTCGGTAACAACAAATGAATAAGACAACCTGTCATTGATCTTAACCCATATGAGAAAATATTTAAATGGCAAAAAAAAAAAAAATAGCCATATTACCCCCCAAAAAAAAAAATCAACTATATATTAAAACAAAAAGCAAAATACTGTATTGCATGAAAGTCCATCGAGCAAAATTACTATTGAATATATCTGTATGAACGAAAGAGTGAGTGTACAGGTGACAACTGGCATTGCCTTACCCATTGTTTCAGTACGTCTAAGCATTCTCCCCATCTTTCATCCTCACTGGAGTATTCAGAGGATCCCCCCTCGTCATCGTCGGGGTAGGTAGGAGCTTTGCAGGTCAAGAACTGGTGGTTTTTGGAGACAACTAGTCAGTAGGCTCCTCCACACAACACCTCCAGTCTTGTGTCTACTCTCTCTTACTCCCTAGACACCGACCCTCACCCTCACCTATCTTAAACACAGCCCAATAACTGAACTCTAACATCAGAATCTTGTACAATAATTAAGTTGAAATTAATTGGTTTTTAATGTGGGTTCAAATTTTGGCAGAACGATAGCTAAGCGTATCATCAAAATATGAATATCTCAATTTCTTCAATCAATAAAACTTTAAACTTAATGTTACCTTCGAATACAATGAGGTTTTTAAGGATCAAGTTGGTGTCCGAGAATGTCCTTATGGTTGGGGAGAATTAGGGTGTTTATTTAATAGAGTGAACAGGTGATTTAAGGGTTATTTAGACATATAATTAAGGTATTGTCAATTGTCCGGTATTATTGCTGGAAGAGGATCTCGTTACCACCACATAAATAACAAAAGGATAGAAAATGTAAGTGAAATCACAACATATAAAAAAACAAGTTGACAACACCCACGTCAGCCCACAGTCAATATTTTGGACAACTGGTGTAACAGGAAAAGGAAGAACACTGAGACATAGGGGCACCAACGCCTGACGTGGAGTATCTAAAGGACAGTCATGATTGAAGAGGAAGCAACACATAAAACCGGGTTAGGTTAGGTTTATGGTAGACAAGAAGATTTAAAAGGTTTATATCCACTTAAGCTGCAGGGAAGAGTACCTTCTGGGTATCTGTGCTTTGTATTGCTGACTTGGCTGTGCTGGCTTGGATTGTGGCCCCAGACTCGTTTGTATGTTTGGGACTTTCTGTTTGGGCAGCTGGTTGTGTTTGGTCTGTGGGTTTACTTACTCCTGGTGGACTGGCGGACAGCTGAGTGGCTTGGTCAGCGGTGGGGTCAGTCTTACCCTTATGTATGGGACTCTCTGTTTGGGCAGCTGGTTGTGTGTAATCTGTGGGACTACTCACTCCTGCGGGACTGTCCATCGGCTGTCCTTCAGGGTGAGTGTATTCGGGTGTCTGATGTAGTGTTGGGTACTGGCTGTCTTCGTCTAACATGGCGGGTTGGTGTTGCTCGTGAAGACTCAGCGCCTGATATAGATAATAGGGGGGAGGGGTGGGGGGGGAGGGATACAGTTATTATTAAGATGATAACCTGGAAAGCATTTCTTAAAGGAAGACAAGGGGGTGTGTAAAGCATAGATGGGTTGACCTGGGAACGTTACTCAACATTATCAACATCGGGACTGGTAAAAGTACCAGGTATTTTCTTCTTGGGCACAAGGGGGAAACAAACCAGAAAAAATATAATATTGCGTCTGTTCAGAGGAGCGATACGAAACGAATTGGGGCCGAGGATGTTTGCAATACGAAGCTTGAAGTCAAACACCAAAGAAATTAACTCAGATTTTCGAAGAGTTGTTCTTCTTTGACTCAGACGTGGCAGTGGTGAAGTAAATTCTAGACTTCACGAGCATATCACAGCGAGGAAGCTGTAAGGTCACCATGTTGAGAGGAAGCAATAATTATCCCGAGTAAATGAGGGGGAAACGTCCAGCTGATGTAGTGTGGGAGTGTGTGTGTGTTGCCGCTGTGGTGTTGTGTGTACAGCTTGGTGGGGATACCGTATATGATTCACCTTAGTTCATGATATTATTATCACAGTCTTCTTGTTTATTGTGTTAAATTAGGTGGCAGTTTCATCTCTAGATACTCTAACAACTATGAAACATATTTTGGAAATAGTCTCCTAATTTATTAGTATTGATGAAACTGCTACCATAAAAAAAACAGTCGCTTCAGATTTGGTTTGTTAAAATGACGTGTGAGAAATTAGAGAAACATATTTGACTGAAATTTGTTTCTGGAATAAGATGAACAGACTCTGAGAGGAGCAACGGCTGACATCTTAGGCCGGGTTGTCAGTTCTTTCATCTATGCCAGTTGCTCTGAAGCGACGTTCAACGAGTAGTGTTACATACACCTTCCTACTAGAGGGCTGAGGCTTATATTCTTGACTGATAACACACTGATAAAAGACCGAGTCAGAGAGGTAACAGGCAGTGAATCCAGCGGAAACAAATGCAAGTTTACACAACGGATGAAGCCACCGTGTGGACTCCGCTTCAGCTTAGCCAAAAGATGCCGACGTACGGTAAAATAATCTTAACATTATGATCCTACTTTACTACAGTTCTCTCTACTTTAAACTGCTAAAGACACTTGGTAACTCCTAAAATGTTAAAAGCTAAACTTATAGATTTTAATGATTTTCGTCACTTATCAAATTCTAATCTGAAGTTCAAATGAATACACGATCTATCAGCACATATTCCAGTAGCTATCAATATAATTTCCAGCTCTATTCAGCTAGCCAGAGGCAGTTATGTTTACCACCTATCTTTAAGAATCAAACTATTATCACAGAAGGCTAGGTTAAGTTAGGTTATTTAAGGCTAGGGAATAACCCGTCCCAAACCAACCTATCGTCATCCAACTCTACCCTGCCCGACCCCAGTCCTACCCTGCCCGACCCCAGTCCTACCCTACCCGACCCCAGTCCTACCCAACCCGACCCCAGTCCTACCCTACCCGACCCACCTACACCTACCTAACCCGAACCTAACCTTACTTAACCTGACCGAAACTAGCCTTATAAAGTTCTCTCTCATGTGATTTACTGAACGGCTATAGAAATTGCTGTAATAAATAGTGCTGACTATTATATTGATAGCTCACGTACCAATTACATCAAGGTCAAACTGTACTCGAATTTCACTAGATTTTAAAACTTAACATGGACGCAAAGATCAGGTAATTTACTAGGAATATCAAGATGGACTCACCGCTGGCCAGACTTGCATGAGTTTGAAAATAAAGGAGAAATCGACTTGTTTAAACTTACTCGCTATGACCCCCAAAAAATCGAGTCTTATTAATCAGCGTTTCAGTAATTTCCCGCTAGCTACTGTGCTGTGGGTAGGTACAGTAATTTACTTCTCTCCATAATGAATAACGTCTACCACAGTAATATGCCTTTAGCGTCTCTAGGGTTCCTCTAGCCACAAAAATCTGCGTCAACTTTTTAGCCACAAAAAATGAAATCAACGTAATCAGTGGCTGGCCTTAATAGCCTCTGTTTATTGTTGATTTATCACGCTATTGTAGACTTGATCTCATCACAGTAGTAGTCTTACAACCAGAGCAAAATGCCTGCGTCTTGGTGACATCGCCAACATCGCGGAGTTGTAGTGATCAGTCAGGAAGTTTCGTGCCTCTACCCTCCCTAATATAACCTCTAATCTCATGTTACCGTGTAGAAGGACCCAGTGCCGCCTACCTGTTCCTCAGGCTCCTCCTATGTGGGGGAAAATTGGTGAAACTCATTAATGGTTTGTAGGAAATACTGTACACTTGGTCCGTAATCCTAGCCTACACAGAACTTGCTACTGCCTAACCTTGTATAAACTTGAATAGTCTAAAATGGTTGAAACATATATTGTGTTCATTACTGAAATAAAAAAAGGTTTAGATACCCTTCATTGTGTGAAGGGATAATTTTTATACACGTGAACTAAAAGGCTTTATAAAATATATCAGACTATGGACAAACAACAGTTTGTTCTGTTTATAATATATTTTATACCAGAAACTAAAAAGTTTAAGAGTATCTATTTGGAGATTAATATTTAAAGGTCCATTAAATGTAAATAATATATGTAGAACCTAGGGTCAAACTCTTTATAAAAAAGAGCTGTGGATGCACATGCAATGGTTGGTTATAAAATTGTTTTATAAATTGACAATTAATCATCCAGATGTTATTTCTAGGTAAAACGAATTTTAAGTTGGAAAAAATAAAACAAAACTTGAAAACGTCGACCATGGGACCACAGATCTAGCAACAATAATGATAATTTTCTCCTTCAATACTTGAGGGAAAATTGATCTTACTTGCGCAGTCTTGTGACGCCGATGATCGCTAGTAAAAGTTGGTGTTCAGTAACTCAAAGAAAATAAAAAGACAGTTGGAGGTTTATGTCACTTACTGTCAGTGTAAAATGGTACAGAAAGAAAAACTTAAGGACAAAGTCAACATGAAATACCAATACTGGTCTTGGGGCGGCCGCTGGGATGAATACACTACGTTGTCAAACGTCATATCCATTAATTAAAAACAGTATATAGTAATCACAACTTAACGACTGAAACATTTTAAAACAGACAATGATTGGAGGGACATATAATGGTGGTCATTATGTTGAAATAAATGATTATACTTCATGATAGTTTGAGAGGAAGTTTGTTCAATGCTCCAGACGGTGTAGTGCCCGAGAACCAGTGATGGCGAGACAGTAGCCGCCCAGCGAAGGTAAAAAAAAATAATAATAATAATATGGATGACGAGACTATTTCAGTAGTAGTGTCTACTATTTTGTGACTCACAAGGGATAGTGGGACGCTTGTACAGCAGTTCACTTGTGACTATCAACATTTGTACAGCTGTTCACTCTCAAGTTATGTAGCAATCCAAGTATAAAAGTGGTGTTTACATACTTTTCTTGTCATTGTATTGTGAAAAGTGGAAGATATTTGTGTTTTATAATAATTATCTCGAGGGGGGAAGGGGAGACTTTACTGGGAAAAGTTGCATTACATTACAGAACCATTTGTTAACTCGAGCTATATCGACACTGAAGCCATGACGTCAACAGCGCCAACGGAGACAATTTTACTGACTTGCCACCAAATACTCGAGGTTTAACAAAGTATCGCGTCATCCAGAAAAAAGAAAATATAGAGTCAAGTTAGTCGCGCGCTGAGTTAATATGAGCAGCTGGTCCCTTGAAAGAATCTGATGCTGGCGAATTGTAGTCACGACGACCACAGAGCGACATGGCACGGAAAAACAACTTCAGACAAGACAGCAGCAGGGCGCCATTCATTTTTTTTTTTTTTTTGCCAAAGCGAGCAGAGATATTTGCCTTGCGATCACTTCATTCTTGCGTGGTTGATATAATTGAGAAAAGAAAGAATGTAGTACAGAAATGTTTTGATGACCCAAGACAATACTCTGACTCGCTCTGTCAATAAGGTGATTAGAAGCGCCCATTAGGTGAGGTGAACAAAGCAGCAGTCTTACAGGAAAATGGAAAACAAATTAAATCGACATAAATTATTTGGTGAATAGAACTAACTCACATATATCGTTGGAAAACCGAGTCCTTGTATCCGATGTTCTTTATTTACTGTTAGTTTATTTTGTTAGTGTTCTCTGTAATACAGTTTAATGCTGAATAGTTTAGGTGAAAAGAATTCGAATCTTCTGATATGCTTGACGTTTCGGCAGAATATTGAATCTGTAGGTTTAGTTTCTTGAGAATTTAGCTTGACAGTGTTAGAATTTGACTGAGGCAACAAGTTTCACAAAAGGTATTGAGCTCTTCATGATATGCAAACGACTGGGTGGCATCTTATAAGTATGATATATACGCGAAACACGTCACTTTATATTACTGTATTAAAAACAAGTGGAAACAATAATATTTATGTAAATTCCTCACAAATATATTTTAGTTACATTCTAGAAAGTTAAATTTATTTAGTCTAGATTGATCTTGCATTATTTTATTTAGTGGATTTCAAAAATGATTTATTCCCAGTCGTGATAACTCGTGAACCATACCAGCGAGATGGTCATTACTGTTGCCTCGTGGTGTTAGTGGTGAGTAAAGTTTAAAGTATCTTAAAGAAGAGATACAAGAACTGTTATCTTCCTTGTATGTCGTGCAGGTTTGAGTGAAGTGTTAACTTGTCAACAATGACTCACAAACCTGGAGGGGTTCCGTTTTAGATTCTTTCGCTTCCTCTTTTTTAGCTTCTACCTTTTTAGTTTCAACCTTTTTCAGTTGTACTTTTTCTGCCTCTTCTACCGCGAACTCCTTTTTATCTCCGATCTTTTTGAGCTTTACTTTCTCACCCTCCTCTATGGCCGTTTGTTCTTTACCTCCGACCTTTTTGAGTTGGATTCTTTGAGCCTCTTCCATGGACTCTTCTTCTTTAGCTTTGACCTTTTTAAGCTTAACCTTTTCAATTTCTTCAACGGCCTGTCCAGACTTAGCTCCGACCTTTTTGAGTTGAACTTTTTGAGCTTCTTCAACGGTCAATTCTTCTTTAGCTTTCATCTTTTTAAGTTTAACCTTTTCAACTTCTTCTACGGCCTGTTCAGCCTTAGCTCCAACCTTTTTGAGTTGAGCTTTTTGAGCCTCTTCCATGGACTCTTCTTCTTTAGCTTTGATCTTTTTAAGCTTAACCTTTTCAACTTCTTCTACGGCCTGTTCAGCCTTAGCTCCGACCTTTTTGAGTTGAACTTTTTGAGCTTCTTCAATGGTCATTTCTTCTTTAGTTTTGATCTTTTTAAGTTTAACCTTTTCAACTTCTTCGGTCTCTTCAGCCTTAGCTCCAACCTTTTTGAGTTGAATTTGTTTAGCTTCTTCATCTACCACCTCTTCCTTAGGTTTGACCTTTTTGAGCTTAACCTTCCAAGGCTCGTCAGGGGCCTCCTCTTTCTTAATTTGTTTCCTTTTGGGTTTGTCTTTTTTGGCAGCCTGACCTTCCTCCATCTTGGCCTCCTCCTCAACCTGTGCTGCCTCCTTAATACGGGAGACGAACATAAACAATGAGCACGTGTACCTCAGACCACGTGTCAACAATGACCAGTTGTAAACCCCCAAAGACGGAAACATCAATACCGCTCTTGTACACACCAGTCTTACCGATATGACGTCACACATGTAAACACCGCCTAAGAATGGTAGGAGAGAGCCAAGAGACCTGACACGAAGGCGTGACGTCATATACCCTAGACATACGTGTCCAAGAGAGATAGAACTGAGAGAAGCGACGGACGAGAACAGTTTAGCGAGAGGCAACATGCACAGGAAGGAGACAGAGACGCACTTATACTTGTAGAACATAAAATAAAAAGTTTTTCTTTACTGAGGTGTAAAAAGTTTGTGAATAATTTATAATAAATTTGTTGATATTGGGATTAGCATGCATTAATATTTGATTACACTTTTTGTCAAATAAAAATGTAATGTTTTTTAATTTGTAGGTTTAATCCAGTGTAAACATAAAATAAAAGCTTTGAGTAGCTGTAACTATTTAATGTTGATAATAATGTGTCAAAATCTTTTATATTTGTATTAAACTGATATATAAAAATATTCTAATATTATCTCAGAGCTAATTAAAAAAAATACTGGCACTAAGATAGGTGAGAAACACTGTGTCAAACTTAAAATAAATAATACCTGTTGCTCCATTTTCTCCTCCTTGACCTCCTCCTTCTGTGGGGTAAGAAAGATGCACAAGACGCTGTTAGAAAGTGGCCGACAACCCTTAACAACTGCCTACCACAACTTGCTAAATACAGAGTTAGTCTGCTTGTACTGTACCTACTACGATGAAGACTCAAGATACAACTCATACATACGTTCAACTCTACAATAAGAGGTTAAAATAATACATTAAGCGGTGCTCATAATATTAGCATAACCTGTGTTGGAAGAAGAATAGTTTAGACATGGTTTAAGGGGTTGTAAAATGGGTTGTTCAGTTGTCATTTAAGTTGCAAAGGCAACCGGCTACCGTTCTATTTAGTCGTTTTTTTATATTTCATTTCACTTTAGGTCTTCGGGGTTTTTAGAATCCTCTTGATGTGTTATGTGTTAGCTGAGAGGAAGATCTTCAGATGCAGCGAACCAAGGAAAAAGAGCGATTTGAAACGACTGCTAGACCACACACGATGGACGAGGAGTGGACACTCAAGCTCAAGAGGGCCTTTTATTATCTCCCACTACAGTACTGAGGAAATCCTCCAAAAAATAGTGAGTTCGAGATCAATACAAATAATGTATTCATCTCGAAAATTCACCAAAAACTCTTCAAAAAAAAAATAAAATAAAATAAAAAATAAAAATTTGTTTCCAAAGCCAAAAAAAGACCTCTGAGCGAGACATCCCTCCGTCTGGGAACGATATTGCCTACCGGAGATTCTTCCTCTTCTGGTCCACCAAAGAGATCGAACAGGTATCGTTCCATGGGCGTCATATCTTGCGTATTCACCTTTGATTTTGATCTTGGCTTACTTTTTGTTTCAGTACCTGCTGGAGTTACTGGGGGAGGGGGTGAAGGCGGTTCCTCTTCTTCATCAGTTTCCTTGATGACTGAAGTTAGAACTTGATGTTTCCCTAGAGGACGGGGCGGTGATTTAATCTTCTCCTTCGGTTTAATGGTCATTGACACATCTTCTTCACTTACCTCAGGTTCTTTCTTCTTCTGCGTCTTCACATTTGCATCCCCCGCCACGGACGATTTCTTCTTCTTGGGCTCTTGCTTAGCTGTAAAGGCAGCAGACTGTTCCTCCTCTTCCTCTGGTTCTTCGATAGTCGGTGGCACCTGTTTTGACACTGGCTTCGGTTCCTCTTTAGGTGCTGGCTTCGGTTCCTCTTTAGGTGCTGGTTTTGGTTCCTCTTTAGGTGCTGGTTTTGGTTCCTCTTTAGGTGCTGGCTTCGGTTCCTCTTTGGGTTCTGGCTCCGGTTCCTCTTTGGGTTCTGGCTCCGGTTCCTCTGTTGTCTTCCTCTCGGATCTTTTCCGCTGTTGAGGTTTATATGACAGCTCAACAGTCTTCTTCTTTTTAGCACCAATGAACTCCGAGAGAAGGGAAGACATGAGATCCCCACCTTCATCAGAATCGGATTCAGTTTCAGTAGCATAAATGGGAGCGGGTGGAGGTGTTTTCTTCTTGAGGATAGGCTTTTGTGGTTCCTCTTTCGCTTCGTCGTTCCAGAATGAATCCGTCTTGTCATATTTCTCTTCTTTTTTCTTCGTTTCTTTAGATTCTTCTGCTTTTTTTGCTTTTGTTTTGGGTTCCTCTTTCTTCTTCTCCACTACCTCTTCCTTTTTCTCCTCCACAGTTGAGGTTTTCTTCTTCGGTTCTTCTGGTTTCTTTTTGGGCTGTTCTTTCTTCTCTTCTTTAACCTCTTCTACAGTTTGTTCTACTTTAGAGGTTTTCTTCTTCACTTCTTCGGGCTTTTTCTTAGGTGCTTCCTTCTTTTCCTCAATCATTTCTACAGTCTCTTCTTCCTTACTTATCTTCTGTTTCTTCTTGGACTCTTCCTTCTTTTCCACAACTTCCTCTATTTCCTCTTCCATGCGGACTTTTGAATCTTTCTTCTTGGCTTCCTTTTTCTTTTCTTCCTCCTTTTCCTTCTGGGTTTCCTTCTTTTCTTTCTTCGTAATTACCTCTTCCTCTTCCGAGATCAGAGTCTCAGATTCAGAGACTATTTCCTCTTCTTCCTCTTCTTCTTCTTCCTCTATGTGCTATATAAAGGGATGGAGGGAAAATCGGGATGAATCACTAAAAAAATCTAACCTCACAATAACAAACTAAACCAAACCTTTGTATCTGATCCTCTATAACAGCCAATAAATTCTCAAAAAAAACAAAAAACAACAGGAATAAGTAGTTTAATCCTGAGTCATATGTGGTTTATTATACCTGAGAATTATATTTACCTAGATTACATTATTATAAGGTAAGGGATATTGTTCGTGATGCTAAAAGTCTCTCAAACTCCCACCACACCTGATGCAGTTATTTAATTATGAGTGACGCTACGTTGACACACAGGTAGGTCGATAAGGAAATATTCTTTTTCTACCAAACATCAGAATCACACCACTTGAGAACTTCCTTACCTTCTCTTAAAGTTTTTTTTTTTTGAGAATTCTGACTGGGAGAACTAGACACAGAGTGGACATCTGAACAACACACTATTGTGGAGTGTCACTATGTGGGGCATGTGCTATTTGACCAGAGAGGTGGACCAGTAGAGTGGAGGGGGGAGAGTGGGCAGTACATGCAAATACAACAATGTAGGTGAGATATAGTAAAGGAAAGGGGGGCTGTAATTATCATCTTCTACATATATGAAAGTCTCCTGAAAGCTATAACATGGCAATACTTTAACATATAACAAGTCAACAGATGCTATGAAAGGTAAAGATAATCACAAAAATTCCATAGTGAAAAAAAAACTATGTTACCACGAATGAGGAAAAATTGACAGTGATAAAGTGAGGACAAGGACATGCTAAGTCACATCACGACGATACATTGTGCTTTACTAAAACATCTCGGTGATTACAGTACACGAGGCTAGGGGAGAAAAATTTATTGAATATAACATATCAGAGGCTCAGAGGCTATTATTAACTAACTCAAGGTACTGGATGCTATGACAGGGGTGTTGTAACTCTTTAAAAGGGGGGAGACAGGCTATAACAAGGAACAACATATTGAACATGATCATCTACAACATCAGGAAACAACCCAACAACTTTACCAATCGTTGTTCTGCCAACTCCTTACCTGAAAAAGAATACATACATAAATTAGACAAGATACCAAGAGAAGAGGTTATTATGTATTATATATATATATATATGTAGTTTATTGTAAGACACATTATGGCATAGTATGTATAGACAAATGTATCATGCATCTCAGTATATCAGTATAAGATTTTGATTTATAAATTATCTTCACCGAGTATAATTTATAAATCGTAAGCCTGTTTTTTTTTTTTCCTGGTGTATCTGTTGGTATTAGTGGTAGTAGGGTCAGTAAGTGCTTGGAAACGTTATTTAAGAGTGTAGAGTAAAGGTGTTTTCTACATTCAGGTGTCTCGGGTGGTGGTAAAAAAGTTGGAAAAGTTGTGAGCAGTGAAAGTTTTGGCCAAGATAAAGTTGTTTCGGAAGTGGTGAGAAGAAGCAAGAGACAGGGAAGTCTTTATAACAAAGCTCGAATCTTCCTGACGACGTTAGTTTAACTATTCTTCTTCTTCCTCAATGAACGGCAAATAATAAGTAACAAAAATAAATTAAAATCGCAGATGCGACAACAGCGCTGGAAAGGCTGAGAGAAAAAAAAATACTACAGTTGTGACTAGGCTTGGCAAAGCTGAGCTCTGGCGGCAAACGTCAGTCAACGCGAGGCTAGCAGCAGGATAGGACACCCTCACCAACAGCACCACCACTCGTAAAAGATCCTATCTCTTTCCACACGACTTTAATAGTTTTATCCTCCTGGCAGCACACCTTCTTTGGAACCTTGTGGATTTTCTTCACCCGACGCCGTACATCCACCTCCTTCTCTTCTCCCTCCGTCATTGTATCTTCATCCATCGTACTCTGAGATGTCTCGTCTTTTTCTACCTTCGTGGTTTTCTTTAAGGAGGTTTTCGTGAGTTTCTTTTGTCTCGTCTCTTCTTCCTCGCTCTCCGTGATTTCAGATTCGCTCTTGGGTGCTGGTTTTCGTCGCGTCTTGGCCGCCTGTGGTTCTTTCTCCGATTCTTGGCCTTCACTCTCGCTCACGTCGGAAGGTTTTTCTCCAGGCTTCTTCAGTTTTGGTTTCTCGTCTTTCTTTTTCTTCTCTTCTTCCTTCTTCTTTACCTCCTCCTTTTTCTTCTCTTCTTCCTTCTTCTTTACTTCCTCCTTTTTCTTCTCCTCTTCCTTCTTCTTTACTTCCTCCTTTTTCTTCTCTTCCTCCTTCTTCTTTACCTCCTCCTTTTTCTTCTCTTCTTCCTTCTTCTTTACTTCCTCCTTTTTCTTCTCTTCCTCCTTCTTCTTTACCTCCTCCTTTTTCTTCTCTTCTTCCTTCTTCTTTACCTCCTCCTTTTTCTTCTCTTCTTCCTTCTTCTTAACCTCCTCCTTTTTCTTCTCTTCTTCCTTCTTCTTAACCTCCTCCTTTTTCTTCTCTTCTTCCTTCTTCTTAACCTCCTCCTTTTTCTTCTCCTCTTCCTTCTTCTTCTCCTCTTCCTTTTTCTTTGGTTCTTCCTTCTTTTTAGGCTTCTTCTTCGTCTCCTCCTCTTCAGTGATTTCCTCCTCCTCTTCCATAGTTACCTCCGTCTGCTCAATCTCTTCTTCCTCTTCTTTCTCAACTTTTCTATAAATCTCCTCCTCTTCCTTCACTTCATCTTCCATGACGACTGTATCATCACTTTCTACCTCCTCCTCCTCCTCCTCCTCCTCCTCATCCTCTTCCTCTGACGTGTCCTGAATGTGTGTTGTACATTGTTAGGTATTGCAGTATTGAAGTCTCATGTGGCTATGTAACCAGATTAGTTAAGGACCAATGCTCTCTTGATAACTATTAAGATAACAACACTAGGTACTGACGTTATCTAACAAGGGGAGAGTGGGATGGGACTCAGAGCACTCAGTAAGATAATGGTTCAAACATAAGGGAATAGTCCAACTCAGATTATGGACAGTGTCTCTGCCCTGGGAAGGTGAACATATAGAAAGATAATTGTACATAATGACTAAAATATTGAATGTGATTTGTTATGGAAATGACTGATGCATAGATATATATTGTCTATGGATTTAATGAAACATAGATAAGAGTTTTGTAAAGTTATCTTTCTTTTTTTCGCTTTCAAACTAGCTTTAATCACATGACTATTTTGATGGCTTTATGAACCAGAAGTTGAAGGTCTTTGAGGAGAGGTGTTGAGATGAACCATTCCTTGGCTAATGACGCGATATCAAGATTGTTACAGGTCATAGGTTTTTAAGTCTTTGTTAAGCATTGTGTTTAATTTATAAAGAAAACACTAAAGAAAAAGTTTAAAGTTACAGAATTGTGATGATGTGATTGATTATATTACTCTGGTGGATTAATTAAGCTAATCCTGGTTGCCACTGTCATTGTTATCATCCCACACCTCGTCCTCAACAGATCTTCCTCCTCCTGGGGTATAAGGGAATTTTATCACCTTTCACTTGCCTTCCTCTCTATCTCTTTTTCTCTCATCACAAAAGAAGAATAAATTTCACAGATCAAGTATTTTTTTTATTCAGATTAATAGGTATCTTTCCTCCGTGTGAGAGAGAGAGAGAGAGAGAGAAAGACAGCGAGAGAGAGAGAAAGACAGATACAATTTATAAACATGCAAGGTTTATTTATATTATATTGCTGTTTAAATCACAAACTATTTGAGTGAACATGGGGAACTTGGGATCAAACAAAACAAAAAGGGTTGGATCACATCTTTGACTGGTTGAACTTCCCCATAACTAAGAGGATTGAGTCGTATTACCAGCACAGTATCCTAAAGTCTATGAACTCAAGGGACGGAATATAAACACACACTCATCTAGTAACATGGGATGGTGGCTATAAAGGTTGACAGACTTAACAATTTCTCAATGATTTTATGAGTCAATTTAAACAGAATAATTGAGGAGGTGGATATAGCTTACCTTTTTCTCTTCCTTCTGTTTCGTCGATGAAGAAATGAGAGAGAGAGAGAGAAAAAGAATTATTGTGTTTTACTTATTACCTCAAATCACTGGCTCTTCCTCACACTCTTTTATAATATCAGTTTGTATAGAATTAAAAAAAAAAGTTATATAACATACATGAATATAATAAATTAATCCAGGTATAGCAACTTATAGGACACAAAATAAATTGATTAAGAGTAACTGCCTTAAGCCACCAATTGAAAGTTTTGGTGATTTATTTCTGTATTCTGACTCATATGATGATATAATGTATTTACTTGATATAATGAGTCTAAAAGATTCTGTAGTATAATGCAGATAATTAGTTTTGTAGATTGTAGTACATTCAGTCACTCCTGCCCCCTCCCCCACCCCCCTCTCGATACTGTGTGACGACTGACATTTATAACCTAACCTAACCTAACCTAACCCAATCTATTCTATCTAATCTAAAATAACCAAACTTATCTAACCTAACCAGAGTCTTAATTTCTGTTGGTTCGTATATAGCCTATGATGTGACCTAGCTTAAAGATCTTAGTTGTTGAGGTAGAGTAAACGCCCACCCACGCCCTGGTACTGACCTCCTCCAACATGACCTCGGTGAGCATTACAGCTTGGGAACTCGTCTCACCCTTCTCGTTCTTGGCCACCAGCTTGTAGGCACCACAGTCAATCTTCTCGGTCTTCAGCATCTCCATCTGAACCACGTATTTACCCTCTCCCTCCTGTAGAAGGTAATCTTATTAGTACACCAGCAGCGTCCTGACAACCGAATTTTTCTAGCTCTTTAAAATGTGGCTCAAAGAATCAGGCCTTGAGGTGTTAGGTTGGTGATAATTTATAATGTGCAATGATTTTGTTGGATAATTATTCTTATTCTTATTATTAAAGACGTTAACATTTAAAGGGATCTGAAGAAAAAAAAATATTGAAGATCAGAGACATTTTGTACTACTGTAGGTAATAAGTTTATAAATAGCTTGTGAGGAAACTGGATTTAAAGTACAGTGTATTTTAGTGACGCTGTTCATCATTATTCTTGTTCTACCTTCGGGGTTTCCTTTTCTGACCTGTGTGTACCCGAGTGACTTCCTCTACTCTGGCCTTAGTTTACCACTCCCGCTCCTCTCACCTCATTGATGTTGACGCAGTGACGTGTGTCGAGTCGGACTTTGGTGCTGTCCTTGAACCAGTTGCAGGCTGGCTTAGAAGTGGACATAACCACGCACTCTATCACCACCTTCCTCTTGAATATTGACACGATCTTAGGCGGCCTCTTGATCGTGGGCGCCACTACAAAAAAAAAACAGATTAGGATTAACACATGGGAGTAAATCATTCAAGGGAAGTATAATGATTTCAATTGGATAATGAAGTTATAACCTGTAGACTGTAGATTGAAATTATCTTGGTTGGCAGATACATGTTTACAGGGCTTTTGTTTGGTTGTATTATTATTTATCGTTAAAAATTGTCCACCACTCAAGCCCGGTATTAACTGGTAGTTTGGGGATCCTGGTATCAGCTAACAAATACGTCCATATCTTCGTCTTACCTTCGATGTTCAGGTTCAGGTTAGCATTAAGCTCCCCAAATTCGTTCTTGATGTTACACTTGTACACACCACCGTCAGTAGGTTGTGGTTTCTGCAACGATAAAGAAGCGTCAGTGTATCCAGGTGCAGCAATGGGTTACAGCTACCCTCGGCCACTGAGTGTAAGCCGCGGGAAATAAAAGTCTCAGTCAGAAAAAAAATGAAAAGAAAAAGAATCCAGGGAACTAAGCGTAGATTAGACATGTATTCAGATGTCTCCATTGTGGTAAGTTTGCTTTGGTATGGACCCTTTGAAAGCTTGAGTCTAGTGGAGTGGACTGTATGGTTCATGACTTCAACTGAGGTATTTGATATAATCTATAAGAGTATTTATAGTATATTCGTATATTTTCTCATAGTTTTGTGGTTAAGATAAAGTATCATCTGGAAAGAGAGTATCATTGTTTTATATATTTGGAGTGTTAATGTGGGTTAGCAAACTATAGTTCTAGAGTGACTATAGTATGGGTGACTAGGAGACATTATGACACTGCTGTAGAATTGACTGTCTTAGTGACATGTTTTAGTTGGCTATGCTAGACCAGTCGTCTTGCACTTCAGTCAGTCTGGCTAGACTCGGAAAATGGAAATCTCTCGGTAAGGTTCGTTGGAAGGAACGCACGAGCGGTCAGTAAGCCGCGTTCACTGTCCAACTGCTCGAGAATTTCTTTTTCCCGAGCACACCTTGTGTTGTGGTATTAGTGTAGCGTGAGTATACTGTTGCTGAAAAATAAGATAAGAATGATGAAATCATAAGTTAGGTGAAAAATAAGAAGCAGATCTAAGATAAGCAGGAGAGGGCAAGGCAGCAACAAGAGCCGCCTTTGAGGGCAGCCAAGCAAACACAGAGGTAGTGGCTGCAGTAGTGAGGGACGAAGAGGCCTGCTGGTGTTACCCGCAACTCCATGCGGATGCGGTACAAGTCGTCCTTCTCGTGGATGACGGTCGCAGTCACTCTGGTCACGTCGAGCTCCTTGCCGTCCTTGGTCCAGCGAGAGGTGGGCTTTGGGTCGGCGCGCACCAGAGCCTCCATCAGCACCCGCCCAGCCTTCTCCTCGAACTTGATGGTGGGCTTCTCCACGAACACCGGCGCCTGGCCTGTCGGCTCCGGGTCCGACTCGATGTTGAGGTTCACGTTGGCTGTGGCCTCGCCGAATTGGTTCATTGCCACGCACTTGTACTTGCCGGCATCAGCACCACACGGATCCTGAGTCAGCAACACCGTCAGCCCAGGGGAACCGGCAGGCACAGGTGAGAGAGCCGGGGAGGGTAGATGCAAGAGGGACCGAATGAGGGGAAAACAGAGTCGGACTAAGAGGCTGGAGGGAGAAGTTGGGGAGACTTAAAGTGTGACCTCGTAGACTAAGGCTTTAATTCCCCCTTGATTAAAAACAGGCAAAACCCTCACAAAATACACTGAAATGTCTTAAAATCCTTAATATTTAAACAAAAGAGGTAGAGGGAAAAAGTCTCTCCCTCCTCTCCCAGGCCTAATAATGATCAGCCCGACTCTGAGCTATAATGCGGCAAACTCAAGGATGGAAAACCGTTTCAGTCATGGGAATTCAGATGAGGTGGAGCTCTTGAAGACGCCACAAACACACACAAACACACTCACACACGATGGTACCTTCTCATTCAGCACAATAATCTGAAAGTTATACAGTCTTATTGTCTGTTATGAGGGGTGAGGCAAGGAAGAAGCCATTCCCATCAGCAAGACAGGGAAGGGTCGTTTATGTCTCAAGCTCATACTACAAGACACTCTACTCTTACCCTCACACACTTGTACTTAATATTTCCCCTGTAGATGAGAGAACACCCTTACCTTACTTGTTTAAAGAAATAAACAAGAATGACGACAAAAATACCACTAAAACTGTACCAAGAAACTATCAAAGGTAAAGACATTCTCTCGTCCTATTATAAGGTGGAAGAGTAAATATCATGTACAAGTTCCTGAGAGTTGTCGCGTCCCTGGTCAGGATCACAAAGAAAAAAATACACAGTTTGTTTCTTCTCGTCCCATCAGGTGATTAGGAGACTCACCCACACCACCTACCCACACCATCTACCCACACCATCTACCAACACCCATACCACCTATCCACACAACCCACCCACCCACGTGAAGGTTTTAACTTTATTCCCTTAACATGAAGTGTCGATGGAATTTCTGGTTAATGTTTACGTGATATTTATCTAAATAATTTCACCCCACATTTACTTTAGAAATAAATAATTAAAGAAAACTGAAGAAACTTTGCAACTTTGGCTCAAGATAAATTATTATTATTTTTTTTTTTGGTAGTTTCTTTTTTAAGTTTAAAATCTAAAGTTGTATTAAATCCCTGAATCATATTACGTATTTTGTACTTTGGTGTTATGTCATCTGTGTTTACATTAGGTGGTGTTACAGTTGATGGCTCTACCGTGACACCCAGTAGTCGAGACTGAGAGACAGCGACTGAGAGACTGAGAGATCGAGACTGAGAGACCTTCACTACTTCTCTCACCTTGAGCCGAGAGTCATTACCCTGGTACCTGGGACGGGACAGGTGTAACGTAAAGAGACAAGTTGTGTATCGTTTTCTTAGTGGTTCTTGTTGATGGGGGGAAGAGAAGAAAGAGAGAGAAGAAACGAGAGAAAAGAGAGGAGAGAGGAGAAAAGAGAACATAGAAATATAGAAAAAAGAAAAAGAAAAACTATAACAAGAATAAGATAAAGATATCAACAGTAGGTCGGGTAAAATTAATTCACTTCAAAGAGTTGGCAGAATATTAGGCTCGTAGTCACTGCCTCGTCAAGTTGGCGGTAACCAGGGACTTGATATTCTACCACCTTAGGAAGACAATTGTTACTACTCAACTATGCAAGATGGGAGTGTAAACATTGAGATGGGTTGATGATGGGTGAGGGTGGATGAGGGGGAGGGTGGAGCAATGTGTCGTAACCTGTATTTATTGTGTCATTAAGAGCATCAAGAAAAGTGGATTCAGACTCAGTAGGGAGTTGATCTTCTGAAATGACGTCACATCAGCTTAGCAATGACGTCACACTCGCTTAGTAATGACGTCACATCAGCTTAGCAATGACGTCACACTCGCTTAGTAATGACGTCACACCAGTTTAGCAATGACGTCACATCAGTTGATCAGATACACCCCCCACTTAATTAGCCCTCAACTCCCTTTTCAAGATAACCCGAAGTCGACATGTTGTTGAGAGTTATTTTAGAAGTGATTTTTAATATCGTGGTGATTCAAGTGACCCTAAGTGAATGAGAAGTAATAAGGTACATTTATAAAAGCAGAGATGGGGGTTTATATGCAGAAGGGACACTCGTTGGGTTTTGTGGTTCATTTATATTACAATATTTGAGCCTCTCCTACTGACTAATATAAGTAACATCATGACCTTCACACTACAACAGTACTTAAGGTTGTTTCTTAGAATTTATATGGTCCAAATTCTAGACGTCGTCAGTGTTCGGTGTTGGAGAGTAAACAGTAATAATTCTCTCTGACTTAAAACAAATAAGAGTTGTATTGTCCCAGGTTTATGATGATATATAACTGACGGTGTATAGAGTTTAGACCTGTAGTTTAGACGCCTCTGTTTAGGTTTAAAAGTCGAATAACATAATTCTTTATGTGGGATATACTCAACATGCAGCCAAACTACTCCAAACATGACCAAACACACGTTTGTTTGTGGTCAGTATCTCATGTACTCAGTATCGTCCACCACACATCAATGTTCAACCTGCAACAAGTAGTACAAGTGACTCCAGTCAGCCTGGCCCCATAAGAGACCAGCCAACTTGACTACAAAGGCTTAATCACTCATATACTCAGGAACCAATCAGACTATATACTCAGGAACCAATCAGACTATATACTCAGGAACCAATCAGACTATATACTCAGGAACAGCTAATTTCGCCAGTCAGAGACCGACCTAGCCGCTCAGTTAAGGGTCACTCAGCACCATCACCGTGTCTCTCCTTACCTTAACAATACACGAATACTCGAACATCTCGGAGGTGACTTTATGTTCTTTGATAACGAGACGCTTGGCGGCCTCCAGCTTCTTGCCGTCCTTGAACCACTCCACCGTGGGCTGTGGCTTGGCCTTGCACCGTACCTGTGGGAGCGATACTTACTGTCACTTTAAGTTTATTAAGTGTGCGGCTGTGACAGACAGGTGTGTGTGACTGTGGCAGACAGGTGTGTAAACGCTCCAACAGTGAACACAAATACCTCTAACAATGCCAAGGGCAGGAATACTTCAATAAGTCCCGTGTCAGGTAAGTTTGTAACTGTTTATAGAAACAATGAGTATATATTTCTACTACTGTAGGCAATCAGTGAGTGACTTTATATCATTATATCAGTCATATATAACCAATGACGAGTGTTGCCTTATTCTGAACACTTATTGCCAGATAATACTGTTCATAAATAGAAAGACATTTTAGCTCAGTAACTGAACTCAGAGAAATATGTAAATTGTCTTCCATCTCCACAGTGCCACTCACCTTCATGGTAATCATCGTGCCAGACTCGTTGGGGATGATGGAGGGCTTGTCGAGGAAGGTGGGTGCGAAACCCTCTGGAATGGCTTTGCCCTCTGAAAGAAATAAAACATTGTTGAGTCTTTACTCTTATACAGCATAACCAAATGATATGAAGAATCTTACAACGATATAGTTCAGGGCTTCATACATCCTCTAACAATAACAAGTGTAAGAAGGTCATGTAACAACCTCTGAAGACCTAGTGGGAACACAGGCAGGCAGGACTTACTCTCGAAGTTAAGGGCGATGTTGGCGTTGGAGTCGCCGAAGGGATTGAAGGCGTTGCACCGCCACTGTCCTCCGTCCGATTCTTCAGGTTTCATGATGGTTACCGACACAATATATTGGTCCTTCCCGCAGATCTTCTTGTACATGGACACGCGACCTTGTTCCTGCACCATCTGGAGACACATACACACACACTGGTCAGCTCACAGGAAATATACAGAATATTTTCATCGAAAGTAGGAAATTATGTGACTTTAGAGATGCTAATATAATAGTAGTAAACAGTAATGCCATGTTAACTCTTTAATAGAAGCTCCACCTCTGTCCTTCACGCTACTCTATATACCAGCTCCTCCCCCAACGTGTCCTCAAGCTAAACATTTATCTGTAGAAATAATGTGACATTATTTAGTTCATGAACCTGATATCATGGTGAATATTACGAAGGGAAATAAATGTAAACGGTACAGGGTGGAACACTACAAGGACTAAATATTGATTGACTGATGATGAAGAAAATGTACAGAACAAATCAAGGAAGGTGAGAGAGAACCCTGAAGCACCTCACCTCAGTACCCTTGAACCAGGTGACCTCAGGCTCGGGGTTGGCCTCCAGTACACACTCCATCACCAGCTTATCGCCCTCCTGGCGGATCACTGGCTTCTTGGGGAATCTTGGGGCCTTACCATCAGGGATCCTGAGGGGAGAAGGGCCATGTTTACGACAACACAGAAATTGACTTAAACATTGTGGATAAAACACTTGAAAATATATGAATGGTTGTATAGTTAAGTAATCACTGTTGCTGAGAATATTATTAATCATTTAGTCTTTAGAAAAAACAGTGAACAGGACATCATAACAATACTTAGTGGGAAGAATATTATTATTTGGTGAGATAACAAAGTTTACCCTCAGTGATGTGGTTCACTACTGTCCGTCTACTGTTTGTCGCAGCTGATTCCTCGTCAACTTACTTTGGCTTGTCTGAAGCTGTCTTTCCCTCGAAGTGTAGGTTGATGGTGGCGACTCCCTCACCCAGCTTGTTGTTGGCGAAGGCCTTGTACTCGCCCTCGTCAGCGCTGGACACCCTACTGATCTCCATTTTGATCAGGTAGTAGATCTTGCCGTCAGGTTCTACCATCATCTTGTGTCGCGCGCCTTGACTCAGCTTCTTCCCCTTGAACTCCCTGTAACACACAACCTCTTAGTGTCAAGTCGTCCATACGTAAAAGACATTATCAGAAAGTGTCAAATTAGAGTTAGGTTAAACTGTCATATGTTACACTTTAGAGCTTAACATGATCTCGTTTGACTTGTAGGAATAACTTACTGTACGTCAGGATTCTTCATATTAATATCATTTGAAATAATTGATCAAGTTCGTAACATGATCTTGGTGATGTTTATAATTAACTATACTTTGAACATGTAAGGTAAAACCGTTTACACATCTGGGACAAGTTAGACCAATATTCTCCAAAAACCTTATGATCAATTTATTCCAAGTTCAGGGTCAGTTCTAAATGGTGTGGGTTGGTAATGATGCCTGACGCTGATGAGTGATAACAATGACACACTATACAGTAACAACTTATTGCCAGATAACTCTTAGTAATAGTTATTATCATCAATATTTTTACTTTGTGAAGCGTAGCAGAGCAATGCCATGGTGAGGACTGCTCAGTGTTTGTGTTATGTCAGTAGAAAAAACACTGTCATCAGCCTAGTGACTCCTTAAATGTCGTCCGTTAAGACAAAAAAAATTATAAGCTGATAGAGTGGACAGTCAGAAAGTTGGTGCACTCAGGCATGAACGAGTCTACACCGTACGTTAGTGTTATATCATCAAAATCAATACTAAGTTGATATTATAATGTCATTACTGTACTGCGCTTCAACAACCAAGGACCTTAACCCCTTGTGTGCAGGGCCGCCTCTGAGATGAATAAAACCATCTGGTGTTAACCAAATGAAATATTAAAAGTGGCGGCCCCGGAGTGAAGAGGTTGGTGGAGATAGTCTACTAAACCCGTAACAAAGTAATTACACCATTCCATCAATAATAACAAAATATAAGAGCTAGAACTCTCAAAGTCAAACCAGTGAGCCAAGGCTGGACTCTTGAAGACGAGGACTCACCACACGAAGGTGGGCTGGGGGTTACCCACGCAACGGCAGCTGAAGATGACGCTGGAGCCATCCTCGCTCTGCTTGATGCTGGGCCTCTCGGTGAAGGTGGGTCTGACACCATCCTTAGACGGCAACGGCGCCTCGTCGGCTGTGAGCATCATAAAGGAACCTGACGACGGCCACACGGGGAAGGAAACCCAGTGTTAGACGAGCCACGACGGAGGAGGTACACGGCGTGGTGGTGGTGCGTGATGTGATAAAGAGAAGAAGAGAAGGGAGGGAGAAAGAGGAGGTGAGTTGGAAGATAGAAGGAGGACGAGAGAGAAAGAAGGGAGACACATAGAAGGTAAGAACAGGGATAGGTAGGAGGAAGTTGAGGGACTGAAAAAGACGGGAAGGAGAATAAAGAAGATGAAGGAGGAAAGATAGAGGGTACAAGTAAAGGGCGGGAAGGAGAATAAGGAAGAGAAAGATGATGATAAATGGGGCGAGTTATGAAGATGTTAAGCCTCAGCTGAGTCAGATGTTACGTATTAACCAGAAGAGCTATCGAGAGCCTTTCTGGATTTAGTACATATGCAAAAAAAATAAATAAAGAAAATAATAATAGTAATAATAAGAAGAAAGAAGATTATCTAGAGATGGGCAATGAAGCTGGCGGGACACTTCAGGTCCACCCGGCAGCCGAGAGCCTAAGTGCTGGCGTCACTCCTAATGTGATGCCACTAAATCAATGAGTCTTGGGGAGCTGTTTGGTGTTGATCTATGTCTAAATATTTTTGTTTTGTGGAGTTTTGTGAACTGTAAAGTATACTGATTTGTATATAAGGAAACAAAACAAACAAAATTAGAATACTTTATAGCGTTTCATCGCAAATTTCTGTATTTTGAGTTGTTTTGACTTTTCGATTTCACTAAAGAAAGTACAATTGTAATCACACAAAGAGCGAAGGAAATTGGTGGGTACAGCATAAAAAAACTGACTTGACCTGACCTGACCTAACCTAACTTTACCTTTGTCTACCGATTTTGCGTCATTTCGTGAAAATTAATCGTGTAATGGTAGTCTGCACCAAACTTTAGACACTCTACGGAAGTTTGCAGAACACTATAGGCCTTTAAAATGTTAATATCAGAGACAATATTTACACAAACATGTCGAATTGTTTGCCGTTCTGAGAAAGAGCAGCCCCACTCAGAGACGTCACATTCGGACTGTGTAATTCCAACTCCAGATGACCTCGAGTCGTGAGCTGCGCAGGAGTGTCAGGTTAGTCTTCTACACATTGTCTCCTCTATTTTGTTTTTATAATATGATCTTCGTCAAACTAATTTAAAGAATTTCGATTTGTTTTTATTTGTAAACAATTAAAATGTGTAAATATATATTATTAAACAGATATTGTTGAATTACTTAATTGTAAAGATATAAATAGGTAATTGTTTAATATTTTTTTACGTCCACAATATTCAAAAATTAACTTGATAAAGGTTTCGTTTTAACAATATCAGCTCATAAACCTACACTATCTTTTATGCATCGCTAAAACACACGATAATTATCTACATTTTATGTGTTTTTTATATACAATGTTAACAGTATTTACGTTATTTCTGTAATTTTTCTTCAACGCTTCATGTACGAGTCGAGATGAATTATTATAACTACAGACGCAAAATAAGTTCTTGAAGCCCTCTGTCAGTATCGTCTAGGAATGCATTAGTTATCGCATCGTATCTATCCTAGTGTGATATGCGATTATGTCTGGTAGTATTTGGGTGAATTTTTAAATTTCTTTTCATTGGAAAATTCACCTTAAGTGTAATTTATTTCTGATGTGAATAGGCTTCGTTATATGGTGAAAACTTATGAATAAGACAATATTAATTTGTATAAACATAAGTGTAGTGGATGTAGTTGGTGACAGATGAGTGGACAATAAACTAATTCACTAAAGCATATATATATATATATATATATATATATATATATATATATATATATATATATATATATATATATATATATATATATATATATATATATATATATATATATATATATATATATATATATAAATTAATTATATACATTACTTCTCTATATATCTGAATATGTTCATATATATATATAAATCAATAAAGGGGCGGGGTATAATGGTGCCATAACAACTTCTGGAAATACTAAGAATATGCAAATCTCATGTGTTCTAAAAAGCAAAATGAAATTGGAAATTGTATTGAGCAAAAAGAACAACTAATAAATACTAAGAAAAAGTCAATATAACGTAAATAGACACAGATAAATGAAAGAAATAAAAGAAATCATATAATCATAACAAGAGCAGCAGCAGCAGCAATAATAATAGTAATAACAATAATAGTAATTACAAGAACAAGTATAAGTCTGGCAGTCCAACATATCTCCAGTATACTTGTCTGTCAGTTGGTCAGTGTAAAGTATACTCTTGTGGTATACTTTTTCCATATATTAGTATCAACACTTTTACAAGACGTTATTGTTGAGGGTGCATTATGGTGTCAGACGAGCGTATTTTTTTTTAATACTTAAGAGGGATAACTCCGTTGTTAATATAAGGTCAATGAGATTTTATTTTGTTTTTTAGTAACGTTATTGTCATAGGTTAAAAAGAATTACGTGCGTTAGTTTTGGTTTGATTTTTAAAGACGTGCGTTAGTTTATGATTGGATATGTAACACAGGGAGAATAGACGAAGGATTCACAACTGTCACACCTTACACACGTCCTATTGTCATACAAACATATACACCCTCTTTTACTCTACACTATAATGTCGCACCTCACACGCCAAACTGTCACATCCATATTATCATCATACGAATTACTCACTGCTGTCACACCTCTCACACGCTGTTGACTAAAACTTATTCTCCTCTTCTCCCGAACGTATGATCTTCTATCTGAACATTCAATTTCTTAACTAAAACATTCGAACACTTTTCCGGACATCTGAAATCTCATCTCATCTCATCTCATTTCTTGAAACATTCGGACGCTCATCTAATCAATTTTCTATCCGAACACACAAACATAGGAACACGTTTTTTGTCTAAGTGAACAGACACAACTTTCACATCGACAAGGACAGGACAGAATCACGACACTAAACATAAAATAATAATCCTAGACACTTTAAACTAGTTTTTTAAGCCAAACTCTTTGTTGATATGAATGAATTAAGTTTAAACTGACATCTTATCCTAGTTTGGTCTGTATTAAACGGTCATAAAAATATATATATATATTAACTTTACCATCAGTTTATTTTTTATAGTTTTCTTATATAGTTTAGAGTAGATTTTCTTTTATATACTGTTTCAAAGTACATTTAAAGTGAGTAAAAACCCTCGTTAAGTATTAAATAAGATTAATATCAATGTTTGGCTTAACTGATTCTTACTGCTCTATGGGTTCAATGTACAACTTCAATACATAAGATGTTAATAATTGCCAAGACTTGTTTTTGAGAACAATTAAACATTCTTACTAGGATTCGAACCCACGTTGAAGAGGTATTAAAACCCCAAACGTGTTTTTTCTAATCCCAGATGAATCGATTCTCAAATGCAGTTACTAACATCTTTTACGGATAAAATTCTTCCAGTCTTGTGATCATAATAACTTGGTCTAATGGCTTCAAACTTAACATACTGTATAAGTGTTGATCTTTTTTCGATAAGTGCTTTAAGTTATCAAGGCCAAGAATATTATAACATTTTATTCTTTTATCATATGCCAAAGAAAAATTACCAGACCATAACAATGCACTAGACTGTCTTATGCTCACACGACTAGAAAAAGTGAAGACGGGGAAGGGGAACTATTTCTCAAAGTGAGGTTGTCTGTCTTTTAAAGCTATTTCTATATTTCTATTCTATACGATACATTTAGGATTTTTTTTCTAAGTATAGATTAAGAGACTAGATTTCTGAGGGTGGTGAAGAGGGAACAGGGACAGTAAAAAGGGAAGTTCCACGCCACCAGGGAAGACAGATCATTCTAGTACACACAAGATGTTTGGTTTCTTCAGTCAGAACTTTCGCGGACTTTGAGGTGAAGCTGAGATGTATCCATTGTTAGCGATTATATATCCTCTGACCTTTGTTCTCATTGTAGGTTCATTTTGGAGGATTTACAGTGATTTAATGAAACAAAAAAATCTGATGTTTATTCCGACATTAAATCCTGAAGGACGTAGACCGATTGACTTAAAAACAAAGGCGTCTTTTCTCCTGGAGGACACTGCTGTACGGCTTCGCTTCTCCGATGACAAAAGATATATCGTCAATTTCTACGTCTTTATTTTATGAGGTATTTATAACCCCTGAGTCCTCGTGAACAGCCACTCAGTTACGAAAAGTCATATTCTTGTCCACCACTGATGTGATCTGTCTGCCAAAACATAGTATCTTTCTTTCCTCGGACTCCAGTATTAAGTGGAAATAATCACAACTGTACAGTCAATGATATGAGCACTTAATATACATTTGTAGTAAGTTTATATTCTTCCAACGTCTGGTCTTTATTTATAGTTTTGACGATGTTTAAGTAATTTAAAGGATAGATTAATTATAACACTTTCTTAGCCTATCGTCTCTTAGATTAGTACATCATACAGCGTGTCCGGGTACGCTGTGTGTTGTGACTGGCAGATCAAATGTAAACAACTCCATCTGATTCTGGACAGTGAGATAAAAATATACTTATTTGAAACACTATTCAGTAACTGCATTATACTACAAATCCCAGGAAAATTCCCGTATCTGAAGCAATAGTGGTTATTGTATTTCGTAAAGTTGCAGATGACGATGAATTGTGTTAAGGCTAAGTCAAGAGAGCGAGCGGCGAGTGATAAGTGGAGTTCCTCAAGACAATTCCTCGCACCAACGTTGTTTTAGATTTACATTTCATCCTGCGAATTTAGGAATTATTCTTCAAGAGTAAATCTTCAATTACCAAGTCTCATGTTTATTTACAAATTAATTTTCTTTGTATTTAACATAATTATTTTATGTAGTATATTTAGAGTATTATTATCACCAATTTTCTTTTGTCGGTCTAGTTTTATTATAGACTTATTACCATCTCTTTCTGAAGGTTTATATAACATACTGAAAGAAAAGCGGAAGTTGGTATTTTAAGGGGCAACACATACTCGGGTAGGTAGCATCACGTTCTTCTGCATTTTGCTCTAAAGTTGTTCATTTGGTTATTATAGTCAAGGTTCGTCTACTAGGCAAGCAGGCGTGCTTTTAGATTGATATGCACTCATGTGAGGTAAATGATTAGTTCATTTAAATCAGCAAGGTTCTCGTTTAAGTTAAGGCTCGTCCCTTTTATGTGAGTGGGCGTCATGTCCCTCTTCTTTTCTGTCAACATCGATTATTAGTTTTTGTATTCGTCAACATTTATTCATTTAGGTCAGAATTCGTGCTTCTCTGTCAGTGTTTGTTCGTTTAGGTCAATATTCTTTATTCTGGGTCAGTTTTTGTTGCATTTTTGTCAATGATCATTCTTAAGAGTCTTGTATATTTGTTTTATATCATTCTGTTAACTTGGTATGCCTCCGTTATCATCCGAATTTTAAGGGGTCATTATGTTTCGTTCTCTGGAGTCAACAGTAATTACTTCCAGTCATATAACTGCCAAAATAGGTCACTACCACTGTTTGTAGGTCAGTAATATCCCTGTAGGTCTATGTGTTCGAGTCCAACGCTCTGAAATAATAAAGAAAATATTAACTAAAAGAACTTAACAGCATATGTGACTCTGAGGCAACTAGAGCCATAAAGCCCATTGTCCTCTTGACTGCTGGGGACAATGAGCCTTACCGACGACTTTTTTTAATAGAATTCTCTGATCGTTTTACAATCATACGTTGGGGTTACGTAAGATTCTGACTCGCACCATAAAAATTACTCCGGCGAGAGCAATCACGTACGCCTGGCGTTCTCCATCACCCGTGTATAACCTGCCCAGTAAGGTTACATCAGGGGAACTAACTCGCCCGCCCTCTATCTATAACAACGCTCTTTTTATGGCGCGAAAACAAAAGCAGATCGACCAGAGAAGACGTTAAAAAAATGTGGCTCTTGGTAGAAGCTGTCCGAAGGAGGAGGAAGGAGGCGCTGACGGCGAGGATGTTACTCAAGAATATACTCACTGTCGAAGTTAAGGCTAATAGTGGCATTGCTCTCTCCAAGTTCGTTCTTGGCCGTAACCTTGTACTTCCCGGCGTCCTCCACCGTCACGTTGGTCAGTGCCATCGTCACGAAGTACGACTTCTCATCCTTCTCGATCATTACCTGCAAGGGGAAAGGTCTGGTTACTTGTGGCTGCGTCATCATCACCAACAACGACAACATTACCAACAACAGCAACAACAATAAACACTAACATCAACAGCAACATACAAATAAAAACAACAACGACTTGACCAACGAGACCAACAGGTTGAGGACGTCTAAGTATGAAGATTCGGGTCATCCTCCCTCTCTCTCCCTCTCTCCCTCTCTCTCTCTCCTCCTTTATCTCTTTCTCTCGTCTCTTTCTCTTACATCTCACACTTACAAAGTCTACTTAACTCTCCTGCACTAAACATCTACTCTACTAACTTTCCTCCTAAACTAACTCTACTTCACACCACGAACCAACAACCCTACTGACTTTCCGCGATACTTTACTGCACATTACTGACTCGACGTTATAGTTATGTAAAGGACTCTTAAGACTATATATATATATATTAGGACTCTTTTTAAGTATGTGGTATAAGACTCTTATATCAACACTGGACTGGACTGGACTGTACAGCAACAACAACAACAGATAAATAAACAATAAAACAACAAAACAAATAAAATAAACTACAAAACAAAAACCCAACAATGAAAAAAACAACACAACCACCACCACCACAACCACCACAACCACCACCGTAACCACTACCACCACCACCACCACCACAACCACCACCGCAACGAAAAAGACAATACCACACCACACCACCACCACCACCACCACCACCAATCCTTACCTTGCACCGTGAGGACTCTTGCACCTTAAGTCCATCACGGAACCAAGTAATAGCAGGTTTAGGATCAGACTGGATACGGCATTCAAACTTGATGTGTTTACCACCTTCCTCCTGCTTAATGACCGGCTTCTGAGCAAATGTCGGGGCAATTCCATCAATTTGTCTGGTGAGGGAGAGAGAGAAGTGACAGATAAGTAAATAAGGTCATTAAATATTTTTTTTAGGATGAATTGGTTTGAAATGGGGTGAAAATGGGTGGAATTGGTTTGAAATGGGGTGAAGATGGGTGGAATTGGTGTGAAATGGGGTGAAAATGGGTGGAATTGGTTTGAAATGGGGTGAAAATGGGTGGAATTGGTGTGAAATGGAGTGAAAATGGGTGAAATTGGTTTGAAATGGGGTGAAAATGGGTGGAATTGGTTTGAAATGGGGTGAAAATGGGTGGAATTGGTTTGAAATGGGGTGAAAATGGGTGGAATTGGTTTGAAATGGGGTGAAATAGGGTGAGATGTGATTAAAATTGATGAAATTGTGTTGAAATGGGGTGCAAACTGATTAAAAATAGGTAAAATGGTGGGAAATTAAGTAAAATGGAGTGAAATTGGTGTAACATAGAGTGAGATGCGATTAAAAATGGGTGAAATGGGTTTAAAATAGAGGTATAATGGGATAGTTATAAGGGTTAAATAGGGTAGTAATAGTGGTCAAATAGGGTGATGATAGACTGAAATAGGATGACGATGAGATGAAATAGGGTGATGATAGACTGAAATAGGATGACAATGAGATGAAATAGGGTGATTATAGTATAGGGTGATGCAAGGGCGAAAGAGGGTAAATAGGGTAAAATATGATGACGATGGAAATAGAATTGGGTGATGGTATTTAAATAGGACGATGATAAAATGAAAATAGGGTGATAATGGGGGTGACGATCATGTGAAAAATTGGCAATGGGGTGAAATTGGGACCAGAAGTAACCTGGGGATATACGAAAATCCACAATTCAAGAACTTCAGATTTAAAAAAAAAAATTGGACAAAATTAACAGCACAAATATGCATTCCCAAGTCTAACCCCTGGAGAGAGAGAGAGAGAGAGAGAGAGAGAGATTTTCTCATAATATTTTTAAAGTCTAACCAACACTTGATTTCTATTAGAGAAAGTAGAGGGTAAAAAAAGTTTGGTGTCTTTAGGAAGGACATTGATAAAGTGAAAGTTTAAAGACCTGTTTTAGAAAGTACCGTGTGGGAGTTGGTGTCAGTTCAAGAAAGTGGAGAGAAGAGAGAAAGTAGAGAAAGTCAAGGGTAAGTAGTGAAAGTTAAGAGAAAGTAGAGAAAGTCAAGGGTAAGTAGATGAAGGAAAGTAGAGAAGACAAGGTAAGTAAAAAATAAAGTTAAGGTGAAATAAAGAAAGTCAAGGGAAAGTAAAGAGAAAGTAGTTACAGAAGTAGAAAAAATCTCACTGAGACTCTAGTTTAATAATCGTGTGATCCTAGGACAAACAGGTGTGATCTTAGGACGAACAGGTGTGATCTTAGGACGAACAGGTGTGATCCTAGGTCAAACAGGTGTGATCTTAGGACGAACAGGTGTGATCTTAGGACGAACAGGTGTGATCCTAGGACAAACAGGTGTGATCTTAGGACGAACAGGTGTGATCTTAGGACGAACAGGTGTGATCCTAGGACAAACAGGTGTGATCTTAGGTCAAACAGGTGTGATCTTAGGTCAAACAGGTGTGATCTTAGGTCAAACAGGTGTGATCTTAGGTCAAACCCTATTCATTAACCCAAAATTCCGTTTACATTCAGAACTTCATGAAATATCACAGAAAAAATAACTGACGAGTAATAATTAAACCACAATGGAACAAAATATTAAACCACTATGGAACAAAATATTAAACCACAATGGAACAAAATATTAAACCACTATGGAACAAAATATTAAACCATTTTTACTATTAGGTTTAAGTCATAAATATTGAAAGATCGTTCTCTTTCCTCGTCTAACTGGTGGATATTCTAAACTAGGCATTGTTAGCGTCAATTACCGTAACTAATAACCAATTTCTTGTGTATTGTTAAATTGTTGTGATAGGTAAGTTAAGAGCTATTTCATTACAGTGCCAACTAACGTCTACTATCTGCAGGTTGGCACTGGCACTCTGTTACTTGATAGTGTAAACCAAGACGACCCTAGGTACACCCTCCCTGCCTGCACAAGATTGGCTACACCTTCCCGGAAATAGTGAGGAAATAGCTTTAATTTCTTTCTTTCTCTCTCTCTTTTCCTTCAATGTCAAGAGAATCACAGTCCGAATTCTCAAACAGACCGATGGTATTTAACTCTTAACTAGGGATAACGGAAAGGAAGCAGTTAAGTTACAGTCTCAGTGCAATTTCAACACCATTACTTAAATAGGTGGAAAGTTGACTGACAAAGATAATCCCACTCTAAAAGTTCCCAGTCAATTGAAGTTGTGGTCATTTACAAGTGGCTGACAGTCACTTGTACAGCCTCTAGTATCTTTGGTTTTCCCTCTGTATATATTTATGTAAACAATATCACCATGACAACGTTTATAAATAGTGTATCTATCAAAATACTTCGTTCGTTATTGTAATTTATGGGACGTGTTTATTTCTTAAGGAGGAGGTGTCAGGTGTAGTGTGGAGGAGAGTAATTCCTTCCTTCCTTCCTTCCTTCCTTTTCTCTCTCTCTCTCTCTCTCTCTCTCTCTCTCTCTCTCTCTCTGTGTTTGCTTTCTTGCCCATTGAGCCTATATAGTCGTGTACCTTATTATAGCTGAAAACAGTGAAAATAAACCTCCCAGGGGTCGACTTTCTAGGATCACTTTCTTTAAAACTTTCCCTCAACACTTGGGAAAATAATTCATTATTTTCTTCAACCTAAACAACGTGAAAAATTCTCCCCTGTAGTTAAGTAGTATCGAGTCTTTTGTTTTTGTTTTTTTAAGTTAAGGAATTAATTTGCTTCAACGTTGGTAATTCCGGACGAGCCAAGAGGTAATTGGATACCGCCCAGGTAAGAGTGTGGTAAGGCTCTGAATTCCGACGTGAGGACAATTGGCGTCGTCTCACTTTCCTCACTTCCCTTACCTCCCCATCCCTCCAAACACGTCCCTCCCACACCATGTCCCTCCCACACCATGTCCCTCCCACACCATGTCCCCCCCCCCATGTACCCCCTCACCTCCACCTCCTCCAGGGCCAGGTGTGTCCCCGGTGGGCCAGGTAAGAGAGAGAGAGAGAGAGAGAGAGAGAGAGAGAGAGAGAGAGAGAGTACCACAGACGCTCGAGTTACACTAGTGCCAGCCCCAGAGTGCCAAATATCGTGGCACTTACCGACACACCACTTTGTCACCACATTCTTACCATCACTACACAGTACCTTCTTATTATCACCACTGCCACTTCCACCACTAACACACACTACTTCCACCTGTACCGCCCACTGCCACCCGTCAACCATCAAGCCCGGGTAGACAGACAGACAGACAGACAGACAGACACAGACAGACAGACAGACAGACAGACAGACAGACATAGACAGACAGACAGACAGACAGACACAGACAGACAGACAGACAGACACTCATCGACTCACCGATCATCCCAACACTTCTAGGGTAACAATAAATCATGTCAACAGAGGCGTCATTCTCTTCCTTATAATATGGGAGAGTCTCACTTAAAGCCGGAAGAGGATTATCACTCTCTTGTCACCACTTAAAGGAAGATTGACCCACGTAAATCTCCCGAGGAAGTATATATAGGAGTCCCCCCTCCCAGTAAGCACCTGTTCCTCCATTTTCTTTTCCTTCTTCCACATTTTATCTGTTTTTCCTCCTTTATCTTATTTCTCTCTTCGCATTTCGCACTTTGATATATCCTACTTAGTGAGAGAGAGAGTGAGAGAGAGAGAGAGAGAGAGAGAGAGAGAGAGAGAGAGAGAGAGAGAGAGAGAGAGAGAGAGAGAGAGAGAGAGAGGAACAATTCTTTCAGTGAGTAAAGACGTCCATAGGGTGGGAGTGTCACACCTCCCACCTGACACCTGACACCTGACATTCATTAGGTGGACAGGATGATAACAACACAATTACTCACAACCACCACACCGAGTTATTAACACCACAACAATTATTCTCACCACTATCTTCACCCACTACCACGCCCACACTCACCAACACCACGCCCACACTCACCATCACCACCACCACCACCCCTACCACCACCACCACCCCTACCACCACCACCCCTACCACCATCCCCACCACCATCCCTACCACCTCCCTACCACCCTACCACTACCCTACCACCACCCCTACCACCACCATCCCTACCACCACCACCCACACCGTCAGTCTGCATATAGCTAATGTCCTACTGAGGTGATCTGAAACGCCCCAACATTAAACACACACATACAGATTGTGTTAAATTTAGTCATCGCTGAACTATGTGGAACTGGGAGTGTCAAGGTAGTGTGTGGGTGTGTGGAAGAGTGTGGGTGGGGTGTGGGTGGGGTGTGGGTAGTGTGTGGAAGAATGTGGGTGGGATGTGGGTAGTGTGTGGAAGAGTGTGGGTGGGATGTGGGTAGTGTGTGGAAGTGTAGGGGGTAGCTTGTAGGAGCGTTAGTAGTGCGTGGGTATTGTGGGAGTGTGTGGATGGTATATGGGAGAGTTGTGGGTAGTGTAGGTAGTGTGTGTGTGTGGGAATAAGAAAGAGTGTGTGGGTGTTGTGTGGAAATGTTGGTTGCGTGCGGGGGAGTGTGGGACGTGTGGAGGAGAGTGTGTGTGTGTGTGGGAGTGAGGAAGAATGTGTGCGTGTGTGTGTGTTTGTTAATTTTTCCCTGACACACACACACACACCCAATCATCACGCCCCCCCCCCACCCCCCCACATACCTCGCTATATATATCACACGACTAAGGGACGCGACTCTGCAACGAACGATTCATCATCAACAATATGTAAGGCAATAAATATTTTATACTTGTACTGTTTATCTTTTGCCGTGTCCAGGTTAATTACAGGTGTTTCATGTATGCTAAAGGTGTGCGGTGTTATTTTACTGTACTGATATTACATTCTGTACCGTTATTTGTTTTAGTGTGAGAGAGAGAGAGAGAGAGAGAGAGAGAGAGAGAGAGAGGACCCGGGTTTGATCCCCCGTGCAGGGTGAAACTATGGGCAAGGTTCTTTACGCCATTTGCCTCTGTCTACCCAGCAGTAATTGGGAACCTGGATGTTAATCGATTTGTGGATCGTGTTCTGGGGTAATGGTTAGCCAGTGCAGTTGGTAAGTTGTCCGGTCTTCTCGGACTATTCCTTGACACCTTGGCCATCCTCTATACACGGGGGGGGGAACTATTATTCTTTATTTGTTTACCTAAGTTTATGTATGTATGTATGTATGTATGTATGTATGTATGTATGTATGTATGTATGTATATATGACGACTTAACTACCATTAACTATAACACAAAATAATATTCATTCACTTAACAAAACCAGTTGACAAAAAAAAAAAAATTCACCTTAAATCATTCTTATTCAACTAAATACTCCCCAGATAGTTCACATTAACGAGCGTCTTCGGGAATTGGCCAATGATTACGTATGGTCTCAATAGAACACCTGTATGGTTCATGATGCATACTTTATATCTATCTACCTGCCGAGCCTCTTCATCCTTCCATCCATCCGTCCGTCAGTCCGTATTTGTCTGTCAATTTATCTGTCTGTCTATCCGCCTATCTATCTATCCCTCCTTCTATCAGCCTACCTATCTATCTATCAACTTGTCTATCTATCTATCTATCTATCTATCTATGCGCGAATACCATCCACCCGTCAGATCCGGAGAGGCGAGTTTATGGCTTAATTTAAATTCAGATATAAAGGCTGTGTGTGTGTGTGTGTGTGTGTGTGTGTGTGTGTGTGTGTGTGTGTGTGTGTAGTGAACCCTTTAGCCTCTCTTGTGGTGATTTTAACTAACAAGTAATTTCTTTTCATCTTCATCTATAAGGTAATATTTTCTGTGCCACCCACCTTCTGTGCTAACTACTCTGTGTCCCCTCTGTACCACCCACCCTTTGTGTCACCCTCTGTGCTACCCACTTTCCTTTCTGTGCCACCCACTGTACCACCCTCTGTAACACTCACAACCTGGGCCACCCTCTGTGCCACCCACTCCTTGTACCACCCTTAGTACCACCCACCCCGTGCCACCCACCCTTTCTACCACCCACCCCATGCCACCCCTTGTACCACTTTGAAGGGAAAATATCGCATCTTTATTACGCCTTTATAATCTTCTATAAAATTACTTCATTTTCTTAAGTATGACATAACTCATCTTTAAAGTACTGTAAAGTGTCTCAAGTACTTCAACTATACAATAAGAAACCTAAAACTCTGAGGTAGTGTCGTAACCCTGAAAATACAATACGTTTACATCAATATATTACGATACCCTAATCCTTCACGTACGATACCTTAATCTATATACGATATCTTAATCTTTTTTGAGACGATATTTCAACTCTGAAGTCTGACAGTTAAGCCTGTAAGGTACGATGCTGTGAACCCTTTATGTACGACTTTCTCACACGTTGAGTATGACGAGTACACCTCTCCCGAGTACGAAATCACGACCCCTTGAGGACATTCACCCGCGTCTACCATCGTACTTGAGCATTGTCAGTCTTACCCTTCGTCTGAGGTGGTCGAGGAGTCGTCGTAGGCTGAGTACCTTCCCTCCTTCCTCCTGATAGAACTCCGCAACTCAGTCGATTCATCGTCGTCGAATAAGCGATCATATTCCTTAGCAGATCTGTCGAGTTTGGAATAAGCGCTATTCTGCTGCTTCGAGCTGTCGAATCTGGACGAACTGATGTCGTCCTTTATGTCATAAGAACTGTCGTGCTTGTAGGACGAGGTACTGCCCCTTTTACCATAAGAACTTTCAAATTTTGATGCTGAACTGTCTTGATTTCCACGAGAACTGTCGAACACAGAGGAGAAACTGTCTCTTTTCGCGCGAGATGTGTCATACTTTGAAAAAGCACTGTCTTGCTTCCCGTACGAGCTATCGAACTTAGATGAAACACTGTCCCGTCTTTCATAAGAACTATCAAACTTGGAAGAGGAGCTGTCCGCCTTCCCATAAGAACTGTCAAACTTAGAGGACGAGCTCCTCCTGTCGGACAGAAGGCTATCGTGTTGTGAGAGTGAACTAACTGACAGTTTCGCGTCTTTTTTATACGTCGAACTTTCCAAACTCGATGAAGTTTTCCTCGAGCTTCGAGATAAACCATCAGTGTCGCCAGCTCGGGTGTGCGACCACTGCTTCGAACTTGTCCTCTCCCGTGAAGACATCTTGTCGTAAGGTTCGTATCGAGGTCGAGGGTTGACGGAGAGAGAGTCGGTAAGGGGTGGTGCCCCTCAGCGGATTGAGGTTTGACTGAGGAAGAGGTGCGGCCTGAGGTTCCAGAGTGGCCAGTGGAGGGGGAGGGGGAGGGGGAGGAAGACGAGTGATGCAACGCATATGGTCTACCTGTGAGTAACTTGCTAGGTGTGATCATATGTATACACAGGAGGCCTCGCTCATGCCAAGATCAGCAGCGGCTGCGATAAACCGCCTATAAATACCACAATTATAACACCATCCGCTCCTCCTCGCCACCCCAGCAGGAGGCGGGAGGCGGGCGAGACGACAGCTGAGTGTCTGTCATCACTGAGAACCTGTCACACACATACACACACAGAGGCTATCATCCATTATCACTTTTTTCTCCCGCCTCTGAGAGCCCCGTCTAAGGTTCTCCTTGATCAATGAGCAACACGACGGCAGATGGCAAGTCAATAGCTCAGTAACATTCTATAATCTTCAGCTGATGAATCGATGAGTTACAGGTGTCTATAGTTACGCAATGGCTCGAGGCTATAATTGGCGCACATCAAGGTCAGGCTACAGGGAGCGCCCCCAAGTAGTAAAAGACAGCACACCTCCCCCCCTCTCCCCCCCATCACACGCGCTGCTTGAAAATCATAATTACCACCCCCAGCAGGTGACGAGGAGAGCCAGAGACACCAAGCGGCCTTTTTAATGCTTCCTGTGAAATAGTTCCAACAATAGTCAGTGGGATTGGGCGCCGGCCGACGTCAATAGCGAGGAGGAGGAGGAACGGAGATGTGACCCACCGAGGGGAAGTTATCTTTAGTTTTGGCACATAGTTATGAAGGAAGACCTGCCCTCCCTCACTCACCTCCCTGGCCACGCTGACTCATCTACACCCACCATCACCACCTGCTGCCACCACTATCATCAATATCACAACCATTACTACAACCATCACCATCACCATCACCTACAAATCATACTTGCCACTTAATTTATGATTTGATGGTGACGGTGATGATGTAGGTGATGTTGATGGTGCTGGCAATGGTGATGATTATTATGATGATGGTGGTGGTGATGACGATACTACCACTACTGCTATTACTAGGCTACTACTACTACCAAAACTACTACCATCAGAACTATTACTATCACTCCTTCTAATAGTACTGACAACATCAACAACAACTCTGTATAATAAAAACACTACATAAACTAAACTACCGAAAACAACAACAAAAATTATAAAACTTCTAATACTTTTGAATAAACTTTTAGATAATTTTTAACCTTTAATATAAACCTTTATCTCAATAACTACAGGCTAAGTCAGGTCCTGTCTAGTCCCTGTGTAATAATAGGTAGAGGCCAGGTGAGGTAAACAGACAGACAGACAGGTGTTGGAGTAGGAGCCTCACTTGACTTGACCTGACCTCACTTCACCTTGCCTCACCTCCTCTGCTCACATCACCTCCTCACTTCACTTTTACTCATCACTTCACCTCTCCTCACCTCTCACTGGTATTTTTCTTGGAGGTGATCCCACGACTCCTGCGTCTCTCTCTCTCTCTCTCTCTCTCTCTCTCTCTCTCTCTCTCTCTCTCTCTCTCTCGATAATCTGAAGACTTACGACACAATCCAAACCATCAAAACAGAGGAGGGTCGTGTGGGAGGGTCGTGTGGGAGGGTCGTGTGGGAGGGTCGTGTGGGAGGGTCGTGTGGGAGGGTCGCATCAAATGGAAAATAATTAACAACACTGGACTATTGGTCAACCACGTGCCTCCCTGACTGAACTCACCCCTCGAGATTTACCTCCCTCCCTCCCTTCCTCCCTCCCTCCCTCACCTACCTCCAGTACCTTCTACCTTCCCCAATTCCCTTTCTCCCTCTCCTCCCTGCCTCCGTCACCTTCTACCTCTCTCCCTCAACTCTCTTTCCCCACCTACTTTTCTCCTCATCTTTCTACCTCCCTTATCTTTCTCCCTCCCTTACCTTTCTCCCTCACCTTCTACCTTCCTCCTTCACCCTAAGCCTACCCTCTGCCCTCCTCCCTCTGATGAACCCGATTTAGCACCGTGACGGCCGTGCATGCCAAGATCCCTCCCTCCTCCTCTTCTTCCCCCCTCCCTCCCTCACCTCCTCCCTCACTAGTGCCGCCTTTACCTCCTCCCTCCGGCCAGGTGACACTTTACTGCCACAAGTTCTTAAACCGACACACAATGGTTGTACTCCCCCTTACATATTGTCTCTCTCTCTCTCTCTCTCATGGACAAGTTTCACATCAACTGGGCTCCTCCTGCCTAATTCTCAAGTGAATCATAGTCAAGGTAAACAAACTACAGGTTAACTAGAACCTCTTAATTCCTCTTACTATCCCTTTCTTCCTCTTCGAGTTTTTTGTTTCTCTCTTCCTTTATTCCTCTCTGTATTTTTTTTTTATAATCTCTTTTTGTTTTTATCCGTCGGGGTTCTTTAGCGTTTATCCTTTGTCTCTTGTATGACCGAGTGTTTCTTCGGTTCCTTACGACACTTGTATAGTACATCCATACCCGCCACCGTCGCCATTCTGGGATGAAAAACGGCAGCCAGCACAGGTGAGTGTGTCTGCTGTGGGTGAATCCGGGTACACACATACACACGCCTAGTCTTATACAAGTTTTCCAAGAAGAACGTCGGTACTATAGACATTTTGCTACTTTTGGCGTCCCATATCTTTTACCCTAGCCACTAAGTTCCCCGTGTCGCTTCAGGATTTCAGAATTATGCTGGTTAGATAGTGAAAAATTATCGACCTGAGTGTCTATCTCTGAAGAGGAACTTGGGTATTAGCGGGTGTGGGCAGTGAGCCAACAAGGTCTCTGGCGATGTTGACACGAGGGGCGCCCACCTTTGTAATCAGGTAAGTACACGGGAACTTCCTGGTGGGGGAGAGAACTTAATGTCCTCGTCGCCCCTTCTGACACTGCCACGACTACACCGTCAGGGAGTTGGCTTTAAGAGACTCTGATGAATCTTATAAAAAAATCTTTTGTGGATTTCTGTTGTCCTTTTTATGAGGTCCTATGGAAGTTTTATATACATAGGACTTAAAAAAAGATCCCAAAATAGGCCTCTGGTAGTCTTTGTACGATCCTTTAACCTGTCGTAGGATGCGTTAATTAGAAGACTGTACTCTGTCACCTGGCGGGTTTTCCTCCACATTAATTGGTGACGAAAAACAAACAAAATATACACGAAGATATCATACAATATAACGGTGTCCACAAAAATATACGATATACCAAATACAAGATCTAATGCAAGAATCTACAAAACTGTTCTTGCAATTATTAATGCATCTTCAACCTCCAAAATACAGACTTAAAGATTTATAAGTATTTGTAGAGGCGGAAATTCCTGAGGCAAGACGCAGCGATGATAAAATATGAAGAGTAAATTAAAGAAGGAAAAAATATGGCGGATGGTGTCTACATTCTTGAGGTTTTCCAAACACTAACACAAATACATAAAACATTCATTTGTTTACATAATATTTCGCCTCAAGAAACATATGGGGATGAACCATAAGGGAAACCCACATAAAGAGACTTATAACTCTATAACCATCGACACACAAACACTAATTATAGATGAATAACATTAAGTGGAACAAAATATTATTATTACATCAAAACGTAAGTGATTCAGCTTGTTTGGCAGTTTAGGGAAGCACAGTGAATGCATCAGTTATAGAGAGAAAATATTAAACAACACAAAATAAACTTACTTTTTGTCTGCAGGTTGTTCGTTCGCTGCAAGAGAGAGGAAGAGAAAGAAGTAAAGCAAAACAGCCCATGAAGATTAGGCGAGAGGTAAGTAGTGAGGGAAGAGGCAGAGTTGGCGACGAGCTGCGACATTTTCACTTAGTAACTCGATTCTGATAAAGTTTCCCCTTAAAACAAACACTTTATTTCAGTTAGCAATTATACCCAAGTAACAGCAGTGATTATGACTGTGTGTTTCTTTGTTTAGGTTTTTAACTGATTTATAAAGTTCCATTTGAAGATGATGCTCCGTCCCCTCCTTCCCTCCCTCCATCCCTCCCTGAGCTGCGACAGAACGGGTCCTCCGCCAACTCTACCTCTCCCAGCGGCACGATGTCTGGGCGTCTCAGTTGACAACACCGACATAGAACAACCAGCCAGTCATCTTAGCTATATTAGACTACCCGGGTCTGGCTCACTCCAGCCCTCACTCCAGCCTTACCTTTCTGGCGGCTCATCAATAGCTGTAAGGAAAACGGTTTACAATAATTAGTTGCTTCCAAAGAGACTTGGTTGATGGTTGTGTGATGCAGACGCCCACCAAGAGCCAAGAAGATGACAACATTAACTCCTTCTATCTCTGGCGAGTCTTTGGGATATTTTCCTTCAGTTCTGCCACAGGAACCAAGAAGTCGAGGTCTTTTAACACTCCGAGGACGTGACGAGCAGAACCAGAGTCGATTGTTGCCATCTTCAAGTCACTCTTAAAGGGCATCAGCAGTAAAGTGTGTGTGTGTGTGTGTGTGTGTGTGTGTGTGTGCGAGAGTGGTGTGTGGGAGCGTGATGTCAAGATCAGAATATCTTAGACAACGTTAAACCACTTAACACTTTGACATCCATCATCTCGACTCAAGGTTAGGTGATTCTCTTCTGGTCGGCCATTAGTAAATATTTACGAGTGAGTGAACTATTAATAACTGCCAGGTGCTGACTGAGACAACACCGGAGATGTGGAGATGACAAGTAAATACTTCTGGGGGGGACGGGGGGACTTATGTCTGGAGGAGGGGGAGGAGGGAGGGGGCAAAAGTTGGTCTTGCTCCATGGAATATTTTGGTCCACGAGCAAGATACAAAAATAAAAATAAAGGAATTAATAAAAAAATACAAAAAATGGATTTATTCAAGGTTTTTTTTCAGGAGGAATAAAGTAGTTTATTCACAAACATGTGTTTTTTTTTCGTTTTA